TTTTATTTTATTATAACTTAATATAGTCTTATATATATATATATACCTTACTTTTTTTTAACTAACTAAAAGCTACCTACTTTATATTAATTAAATATATACTATTTATTTAATATAATAAATAGTTATAAATAAAATTAGACTAACTTTATTTAACTTATATATACTATAATATATATATATATATTTATTTAATATTAAATAGAACTTAACTTACCAACTATTAATAAGACTTCTTTATATTAATTAACTTAATATATATTACTTAATTATTAAGAAATATAATATTTAAGCTAAGCTTAATATATATACCTTATATTTCTATAAATATAAACTTAATATAAATTAATTTTCCTATTTAAAACTATAACTATTATATATAAGTTAAATTGCTAGTTAATATAAATTTTAGTTATTTATTATACTTATAGAGGTTTAGCTATAAAGTCCTTACCTAAAAGAACTATAATTAGTAAACCTAATTATTATAAAATATATTAAATACATTAAGCAAAAAGCTAGCTACTAATTATAATCTTATTATAGGGGTTTTAATAAGCAATAAATACTTAATTAGTTACTTAAACCCCTATAGCTATAGGCTTTTAATAGAAGGTTCCTTTTATAATAATCTAAAGCTCTTATACCTTAAAGTACCCAACAAGAGTTTGTAGTTATGGCATAAGTTCTTCTGAGCAAGAACTTTACGACCTATCCTCTATACAATGCAAACTATCACATCTCGTGACTACGGCTTTAGTAGCTCTAGGCCAATTGGCTATGTCGAGCAAGAATCACGTGAAATTCAATCAAAGCTAGCTCCACTCAGCATCGAGCAGTGATATATTTACACCTTGAGAGAGCTCATTTATGGATGCATGTTTCAGATTCTGCCTTATCCCGATCCTGTACTGCAACCCCACAATCACCGTTGCCGGAGTTTATAGGTAGTAAGATCCACAGGCCGGGTTGCTGAAGTCTGCAAGGAATGCTCCTAGAAATCACGTCTGTACTTTCCATGGCCCAATGGCTATCTTTTCTGCCTCCTCCATGGCGAATCCAAGTTACGTCAAATTGGTGGTCCGTCACGAATGGTCACACTTGACTCCAACGCTCTCTCCATACGGGGCAAAGTTGCCGGTTATCGTCGATAAAGTAGATCAGCTGCTCCATCAATATCTTGACTAACCTTTTCAAGTCAACTTGAAGTTGTTTGCCCCTTCTTGCCCCGCACAGGATGTGATAGCTTAACGCCCTTGGCTGTAGCCTAAAGCCTTCGAACTCTGTCTTGACGAATGGAGGGCGAGCTCCTCAGGCGATCTCCTCGTATCAGTTCTTAAGCCTGTAGACCGCTATTTCTGTTGGCTCAAGTGGCGTAATGACCGAGCCTAACAGGAAGATCAGTCGGTAATGTGCACAGGGTGTTGCGATGTGTCAGCGGTTTCCAAGCGAAGAGCGTCACATCGTGGTCTACAATGATGATCACTGAAACCCTCCGATCGGACTGCCACACTCAAGACAGGGGTTATGAAGTTAATTGTGTGATAAGTAAAGATCGAATAAAATTCTCATGTTACTGAAAACACACGACGAATAAACCCAAAAGTCCTTTGCAGGTTGTCCCTCTTTTATCGCTTCAAATCCATTAAGCCTTTGTAGCCTGATCCCAAATCAACAAAAGAAACGCCCAATGCCCTCTGCCATCCCGCAAGCTGTTTTTTCCTTGTGATTGATACTAGTAAATGAATGGCTGTGTCCGAAAGATCACCTCAATATGGTAGGGCTGGCCTTTGTGCATTAATGCGACGCATGATCGCCACAAATTCGAACGATAACCATTACTGGTGAGTATTGGTGAAGAGACTAAGCCATTAAAACCTGGCAGAGGCGTCTCATCTATCCAGCTGAAGGGATAGACAAAGACTGCATGGTTCTCGATAAGCTGGCGTGCTTCTTCATTGGTAGGTCCCCGAGAGACGAGTCGTAGTTCTCCAATGAGGCATTTATGCAGGACGTATGCGGCATCTTGAGGGGTCTCAATGGCCCTGTGGCAAGTAATTTGCAGTTCAAGGCTATGATGTTCCATGTTTGTTTGTTAAGATAACACTTGCAACGAATTTGTGAAGATGCTAAGAGAAATAGATATGCCTCATTGCGTTAAAAGATTCGTTACCTGTGCCAGAGGAGAAACCGCTTCCTTTAAAAGCTCGGAAGACAATAAATGTCTGTATCGCAAATACTCAGCATTTTCATCACCAACTGTCACATCTGCATTGAGCCACGGGCGCTTAAAATATGATACGATTCGCAAGGCTGAGAACCCTGGTTGCTGAAGCATAATCTTTCGAGCAGCTCGCTCAACTTTCGCCAGGACAGCCAAGTCTCCTCCCATCCAAAAGGGGAAGCCAAACCCATTGCCAAGGTCGAGGGGGGTGCCCGGTACTATTTCCCGGCAGCAAAACCACCATTGGTCTGATGTGAGAGGCCCAGTTTTAGTAATTGTCTTTACATCATTGGGTGCGGGCGTAATTGTAGATCATCTGATCCGCTAGTGGTCGGATTGGCGAAGGCTGTCTTGCAGCCAGGATGAAACAAGAAGAAGCGAACATGGATCTACGACTTACAGAGCAACACGGGTAAATCTTACAGTTTTCCGTGTGGTGTGAAAAGGATGAAGGTTCCTGTCAGAGCTCTGTCGCTTCGCGTAGGCAGACAGGGGTTGATCAGGCAGCCAGCCATCCATGATTCTCAGGTAGCACCAAGTCGAGACCTGAATGTCTCACCCTCCATTCCTCACGGCGTCATAGGAGGGAGGTTGGGGTCTTGGTCAAAGCCATATCGGTAGAAGTAACTGCGTTGCCGTAGCAGATCGAATATCTCTATAGCCGGTTTTGTCTAGCTTAAAGACGTTCGGAGAATAATAGAAGAGACTGACTGCAAGGCACTTCATTGACAAGGTTAGCTTTCAGCTGCATCAGCCTCAGTAGAAGCAGTACTCAATTAGAGATGTATGTACATGAGTATAGCCGGATTTGGCAAAGCTCAGTGTTAGAAAGTTTGGTATCCCAGTCGCCGAAACGACTCGGCTCTTCTGGGCTCCATGGTCATTGACGTTGAGATCTGCGTCGGTCACTCGGCCTGAAAAGACAGCCAATCCTTGCTTAGTCGTTCGATGACCCTCCTTCACTAAGCCCTTGTCATTTTCCACTGGCTAGTTAGCTCGATTGGGCGACGGTCAGTCAGAATTGTCGCGATAGCTATGCAAAGAACTCACGTATATGGTCCAGTAATATAGGAGGCAATAAGTCACTACTACGAATCTTACTCAAAAACATGATGGGAAGGAGGAGATCAAGGGTTGGGGAGCCACCACAGAAGAGTTCTGTTTTGCCATCTTATCTTGGCTTTCTTATTGTATGGATGACACTACAACAGAAATTGACCGTCCCTAGGAAAATGGAACAAGCCCTGTGGATCTCCGTTAGTTGATCATTAGCCAATTTAAGTAAGATCATCTATGAGGCTGCCCTTTCCCAACCGCTTTACGCGTGATCAAGACTTGATCTTGTTATTGTGTTGGATCGGCCCAAACGTCAATGCGTCTCTCTAGCCGAAATAAACCAACACTTTTTCCTCGCTGGAAGAGATCTACCAAAGTAGCACTTGTCTATTACATTCAATACGCATCCAGTCTGAGCAAATGTTGTTCGTCGGTATTTTGACCACCAATTGCCTTTTACCTGTCGGCCGTTTTCATTAACAAGAGGACGTTCCTGGTTACTGGAGTGCATAAGGTCCCACGTTGCCCCGCTGATGTGCAACCTAGTTCCGCTAGCGGAAATTCAATCCTTGCCAGGGTTGCGATCTTATCGCGATTGACAGCACTTCGCTAAGGAATTACTCACGGTTGCATCTGAGACATGCCACTAGAATACCCTGTAGCATACGTCACCGTTAACCTTGAATACTGCGTTCACCTTCCTTTATCATCACACTTTCTTGGCATAAAATTGTTAAGAAAGTGGTCCTATCGACACCAAAAAATCCTTAACAAGGAGTAGACAGGTTGGATCTGGGGGGTACTGTCATGGTTACCCTAGTACAGAGGATCGCCTAGTACGGAGGAGGCTTTGTAGGAGTCAGTAACAGCGATCCTTCAATGGCTGCAGTATTGCTTCCATGAGTTTCCATGAATTTCGGCGCTACAACCTTCACAGCCGGCTAGGATCGGGGGAGATATTCTTCTTGCCGATGTTGGCTGCCCCTCCAACCTAGCCGATAAAACGTACTACCGTATGACTCATGACAGTTGTTCAGAGGTACTAGTGTGAAGATAGAATTATCTCAAACCGGCTAGCTCTACTTAGCATCTAACAGCGTTAGAGAGTTTGACGTAATCGACGATCGCGGCACTGAATCATGGCCGTGGTTGTGAGTCTGCCTGGCCGTCTGCGTTGTTTTGGTTTCTATGGTAGTTGATAGGCTCGGCCCTCCAATCAAGCTTTCAATCTGAAAAGATTGTTTCCCTTTATCGTTTGGGGTTTTCTTCTGCTGATGTTCGTTTGGTGACCATGTATGGAAGTCATCGAATGGAGTGGTTTTCTTCCTGCCCTAAAACCTCATTAATCGTTGATATGCAGTGTTTAGCTAACGACTCACAATTCTGTTGATATAGTGAGAAAAGATTTGTCCAACGGAAATACGCTCGCCATCGTTGGATCTTCTCTCGTACGAGCCGATGCAATGATCGATTATCGCTGGTACTAGTTTAGACGCGGTCGCAGGCTGTGCTCCACTACCGCCGTATTCTCCCTGTTTGCTTAGAGAATTCAGGATCTCTTCGACAAGTAAATCAGGGCTGCCACCTAATGGTGATGAGGTAGCTGTAATGACACAGTATTTGGGGTTCCGTTAGCTCGAGACTTGTTCGAGGCCATATTTAACCTACTTGTTGAAAAGCCCAGATCTAGACTTGGTTAACACGTACAACTGTCCGCTGATTAGGCTCTCTCAATGCTCATATCTCCTGCTCTCTCATTCTCTCTGAGATACTTGCTCACAATCTGGCTCTCATTCCTACAGCTCTGGTCGTTTATGGCTCCGTTGTCTTCTCCAGCGAATTGGTAGTACCGTTCATCAAGAGTTGGCGAACCGTGTTGTTGTTCATCCTTCCCCTTGTACATATCCAACAGCTCTTCGTAATGATCATGCCCTTGTTTTAGATCCCAGTCGTGTGAGAGTAGTCTCGGATCCCAATGACTACAATAAGTAAAATAGGATAGGTATGGCATCTAGAAGAGGTTATTAGTCTCTAGAAACCTAGATAGATGTTCAACAAATATAGATGGTAGATGCAGACACGAATTCGTGAGACTTCTTTGGAAGCTGGTCAGAATTGCATTCCCAGTCATTGTAGATCTTCTGATTCTCTGTCTTCGAGTCGGCGAGACCGGTCTCGCTCTCCGCAGCTTCCGATCCCCGACTTCCATCTTCCGTTTTTTCCGTTTCTGTGAGTGTAGTAGATTCTGTTGTCTCTTCTTCTTTTAACTGGAGGTTCGTTGACTTCTCCGTCGGTCTGATCACAGACCGGGGCCTCATCATTCGTGAACGAGATTCTTTGTCAGGGACTTCAACCCAGCTATCTCGGAAGGAAGACCTGACTTTGTAGTAGTCGCGAGTACGATAACGTTCATGTGACATAATTGTGGTGAGAGGATCCTGGGAAATAATGTTAGTATGACTTCTGCACATATGTTCTACGTTTAGCTCTGAAAATGCAATTAGGACACCGACATTTATCCAAACCATCTATCTCGAGTCAGCGGCTTTTCCAGTCGGGTTTGCACTATTACCTACCTTGGTAGAAGGTAAATGAATCCATGTGAGTTTGAGGTTCTCTTTGGCGTATAGATTGCTGTTGAAATGCATTGATCCTCTTTGAGTCATGCCAAGCAGATTCCTAACTGCCGTCCCAACTACTTCTGTAGGTCTTAGATCGTAAACAACTTCCTTTATCGGTTGATTTCTTCTAATTCTACCTGATTCCCCTTTCGCTTTGAAGTATGCTATAACTGTGGCCTCGGCCGCTTGGACTATCCGCCTGGTATTTGGTCCAGGTACGGGAGGTATGTAATCGACTTCGTCTCTGTGCGTTTGAGATATCTGTGCAAAAGGGGAATCCTTGAGAATGTCCTGTAAAGTACCCAAGATGGTAGGACTTTTTACCGCTTTGCTTGCCTCGACTCCTAACTCCTTTCCGCATTGCCTATCGTGTCTTTCTCCTGTTTCCCGAGGTTCGGGATCATTTGAATTTATGCTTTGAGCTTGCAATTGTCTTTAGGTGGACTTGACTCTTTATCGAGACGAAATAATTTGCTTTGTTTTTTGTTGATCTCGAAGATAAGATGTTCGCTTTCGCGACATATCACAAGACCCTGCAATGTTAGATAGTGTTGCGCCCGCCCGACTAGTCAACCCATTCCGCACGACGTTCTAGACACCTCTGACTGCTCCCATGTTCTTGGGCGTTCGTTGAGAGTTCGTGATAAGAATCCAGATGACTTGGGCAAAGAGTTCGCAAGATGGCTCGTGCTCGAGTTCTTGAGGGGTTATTGACTTGGACGTTGCCAACAATGCCTCATGGACCATCCTACCGATGTCTTCAGCACGAACAGAGTCATCGATAAGTTTGGACAAGACATTTGGAAGTCTTTGGTGTGCCGCCCACTGGATCGGACCCCAATTATCAGATCCAGTGACTACAATTTCGCACTCGCTTGGCATCTCACAAAATAGTAAACCCAGAATATCAAAGGGCTTAATCATTTTAGCCGCCATTTCGATGACTTGAAGCTTTCCACCGTTCTTCCAAAAAGGCGCTTCCTTGACTTCCTGTGGCGAGCAGCGATTCCATGGCAGCGAGCGGATGCTCACCCAGAAGCGCAGAATAAATTGGGCTGTGCTTCCAGTCTCTTCAAGAAAGAGTATCTGGTCGCATCAAGTCGAGGAGTTTTTCAGCAATTCCTTTGTGCACAGCTATCGCCGCATTGTGCAGAACTGTGGAGTCGTACTCTGCGATTATGGTTGGATCAGCTCCATATCGCATCAGAAGCTCAATGACGGATACATATTGTCTAGGCGAGGAGTCCCAACAGCGTTTCACGGATTCTGAATCTTCGAAAGAGTCGCGATCAGGTTTTATCAGATTCCATTCTGGTGTCCGTTTTCTCCACCCCGAGCCGTAACCACTAGCGAGATGCAATTAAGTGCCTCCTTCATCGTCCGTAGCATTTATATCTGCTCTTCTTTCAAGTAGCAACTTGACGACACGCTCACTCCCTACTAGGCTTGTAGCGTGCAAGGGAGTTCTCCGATTCTCTGCTTCGGCATCAACCTCGACCACTGGTAATGGCATCTCTGGTAACAGAAGACTAACGATTTCGTCTTGATCATGGAAGCAGGCGACATGCAATGGTGTCCATCCAGGGGCATCTGGACAGTCACGGTCAGCATGATCGTTTCGCCATCTAGCATCGCAATCTGCGCCAGCACTGATCAGCTCAGAGACAATTCTGCAAGACCCCTGCATGCTGTCTACATGGAGAGAAGTATAGTGACACTCATCAGTTATTTCCAAGTAACCGTCTGTCTATCTGACTTTATGCCCAAGTATCATCCTAATAATCTCTAAATCCTATCCTCTCGTTGCCGTTGTCAAAGGAGTCCAATCTATAGAATCCTTAATACAGAGATCCGCATTATTTAAAGAGCAGATAAATAATATAGTAATAGCCTATTTCTATGCCTATATTGAGCGGTATCTGGTTCATTTTCGCTTTAATGGCGTTAATATTCAGTCTATCTACTTAAAGAAGACGCTTAACAATCTCTTCTTAATCCCCTAAACAGGCCCAGTAGAGTGGCATCTACCTATCATCATTAGAAATATCCTTATCAGCCCTGTTTTTAAGCATTAGGTTGATAATATCTAGGTGGCCCATCTGGCACGCTGCGGCCAGAGTTTCGTTATTGATGTGTGTATCGTTGATGCTCGTAATTCTCCCAAGCAGCGATTCCCCTACCTCAGTCTGCCCGTTGAGGCATGCTAAATGGATAAGCTTCTCCTCATCAAAACTGCTTAGGGTGACGTCCGCTCCAGCGAGGACAAGAGTGTTTGCTTCCACCACAAGATTAAGCTCAAGGGCAACTTGAAGTGCTGTTTTTCCTGCTGCACCTCGAAAGTCAATCTCAGACTTCTTCTCAGAAACCAAACAATGAAATGATTCAGATTTCTCCCGAGCCTGTGAGATTTTGCGTAGTTCCTTGTGTAAGAATGAGGTCTCAGGTATATCGTTTCCAATCATATGATGGCCGCTACTGCTTTTCTTGACGGCATAAGATGCCAAGGCCGTTCTTGCGTCATATATGATCGTGGTAGCCGTTTCCTGGCCTTTGCACTGGACAGTAGTGGTAGATGAGCTTGCCCCAGCTGTCTCAATCATGACAGAAGGAGACTCCGGAATGCAGGAATAGACGTTTGTATAAAATAGTATAGTGTGATTTGTGCTGGTGTTCAAAGATTTCTAGCGACTGTTTGGGCTGGGCAGGTGTTATACAACCCTCCTTACTTGTTCTTGTTGTTTTCAGCTTGATGATTCTTCGCAAAAAAGCCTCAATGAGAAACTCGTGTAACTTCGGTTCCTATCGTACACTATTGGTTTAAACTCGACTATCTCCAATCTCTTGCAGGAGTCGAGCTCTTGTAGTACCATAGTACTCGAATGGCTGTTTGGTATTGGTTGCGTAACGCGAGTGTAGCCTGGTCATGGCGTCAGAAGGCTTGAGATGATCTAGTCCCTCATGTTGGAAATACTCCTTTTAGGAGCTTCATGAACCACACGGCTTATCTCTTCGGAAAGCAGGAGGAAAGAGAGAAAGAGTAGTAGTGAGGCTAGTTGAGTTGAACGAATTTGCCAAGTAGTCTTTCGCAAACATGACCATATAATCCCAGCTGCATGGCACTATCGAATCTGAGACTTGTGTCAAATTACACATGTTTCACTAATCACTGCACACAGCATGTATCCGCTCTGATGACCATATGATATTATCATTCCCGGAGATCTGCCCACTACAGCCCTTTGCCTACACAATACTTACCATTCTAACGACACTATCGACGTCTCTTCCCAAATGTGCAGCTTCAAAAGACCGACGGTAGCTCTCAAGCTGATCCGCAGGTAAACTTGCTCCAATATTCTCCCACTTTGAAACCTGCCCAACAATCTTACATTTTCCATCGTCACTTCTCCGTATGAGAAAAAGAGTTGATAGACCCGGAAAAGCGCAAATTGCATCCTCAACAGCTGCTACTGCGTCACCGTGAAGTAACTGTCCCACTGTTCCATCTTGTAGCACAAAGTTACTACACCCAACCAAACTCTGTTGAAAAATGGAGTCTGTGACCATTCCATATGCGCCTTGCAACTGTTCTTTCGTTCCAAATCTTATCCCCAGTGCGGACAGTGGTTGACGCTGGACCATGCACACATAAGCCATCATGACTCTCTGCACGATGATGGGATTTTGAGTCAAACGCTCTTCGGTGTATATATCTGCAAGATGAAACTTGAACCACTCGGTCATGACTTCCATGCGAGTAACTCTTCTAATAGCTGCAGCTACTTTGACTACAGCCTCATCAAATTGCAAAAATGCTGCCGGTGATACGGTACCAGTATCGGGATCAGGAGCGACGGGCTTGCAGACAGACACACATTCTCCGAGGATGATCGCTGGCATAGTAAGAATCCTGCCGTCCTCAGAAACTTTGAAACACTTCCCAGGGCTGGGGATTAGATTGGATCTCGCTGTCCAGCTATTTCGGAGATCTGGTGTCCACGAGGGTACAGATGGGAGACTGCCGACAGTTCCCAGGTTCAAGATGAGGATCTCTTGAGTCTGTTCAAGAACAAACATTGAGAGCCTGTAGCAGAGATCCTCGAAGGATTGGGTGTAGTCTGGCTGAAGGGCTGAAGGTAGAGGATCGCAATCCAAAAGACCAATGAGGGCGTACAAACGATCGTGAGCCACCGTAGCTTCCAATTCCGTCGTCTCATTGAGCAACTTTACGATGTCTAGAGCACACTGCTTTTCCTGACTCACGGCGGCTTTTGCTTCTTCTGGGGTATTTTCGCTTCTGACTTGTAGAATGTTCTTGTACACCAACTCAATGCCTTTGAACCTGACTGGGTTTTCTGCCATGAACGAGTACAGCAGCTGTCCGTCCTCAGATGGATTCAGCATCAGAACCCAAGTCTTGAAGAATATCTCGTATCCCAGCTCGAAAGGTCCGCATAGCAAGATTGGTTGTTGCTTTGCTAGGACAGCTTCTTGAAGAATCCAGATCCTTCGGAACCATGGGCGATGACCGATGGATCTTAAAGCCTTCCGCACAGACTCGACTTCGATTGCGGCTGTCTCGTCAGAACGTCCAGACTTCATGAATGCTGTGATTCGGTCATCTTCAGAAAGGCCTTGACTGGTTAAGTCTGCAGGTGATTGGAAGTACTTCAATCTCTCTGCTAATCTGCAAACATGACTCTCCTCGTCACTGCCAACTGGGCCCAACCACGCCGACACACGTTCACATTGGCCGTAGATCTCTGACATGCGGGGAACTTGAATTGACTTTTCGACCTGATCGTTCTGGTTGATGCAAATTGCATCCACCCAAAGCAAAGCCTTGTCATCACTGCCGTAGCCCTGAAAAGCATGACGGCGATACTGATAGAGAGCATTGTATAAGTTTCTCGTGACGCTGAATGGCTGATCATTCAGAAGGATCGTGGCGGGGTTTTCTCTCGCGCCCCAGACGTAAGACAAGGCCCAGAATCTTTGCGACGTGCGGGATTTAACAGTTCTGAGCTCGACGCGTATCAAGCCAGTATCGCCAGGTTCTACGTGCAATAAGCGTAACTCGTCGGATTTTAGGGGCTCGTAAGGAAAGAGAGCAAAGGGTTGAACATCCATGGTGAGGTCGGTGAAGATGTCATGATTTCTCTCCTCCTGGTTTGCCCCCGCTCTGGCAAGTCTCCACTGACATTTTCACCCCTGCAAGTCCAGTCTCAACGTATATATCGGTAATCAAGATAAGTAAGACAAGGCAACTTGCCAGCTCAAACGCGGTGAATGGCTTTCAACAATCATTTTATCACGATATGGCTAGACCATCGAATGACTGTCTGAAAAGAACCGATTGCCAGCGCTCCATTTAGGTCCCATCTTCATGTAGATTCAGTCTTATCAATGTTTCGTTATTGTGAGCCCTTTGTTCTCTATAGCGGATGCCCAAAAACAAACGTCTAGGAGTTCTTAGCTGCGAGGTTACGAAAGTGAAAAGGGCTCAAGTCGACATCAACGCCTATAAATATCTGACTATCTAACCGGCACTCTCATTTCTCTAGCCATTTCTCCTTCAACACATTTCACCAACTGTCAAATCGATAACGCAAACTATTGATAGAACAAGGTTTTCTCCCCGCGGATATGAAGATTACATATGGTTTAAAAGAGTCCCTGCGTACATCTCTCCACCACGTGAGTCAATTCCCCGATCTGTCCCAACGCATCGACGTCGCCAAGGAAGAACTGGGACGTTTAGTCGATAGACTCGCTTCCTATGGTAGGAGGGCCCCCAAACAGACAAAACTCAATCATGACATATACGCATTGAGGACGAGAATTTTGGGACATCGCAGTACTATGAGGAGCCTCAGCATCGAAATGAACAGTGCGTACAATGGAATTAACAGAAGTGGTTACGTTTCAGTAGCACAGTCTATACTAGCTATGCGTGATGGGGAAACACTTCATAATCGCACACCGCAGCGGGAGGCGTTGATGGTTGTTATGGCATTTGATGCGCAGTGGGGGCGGATGAATGGTATGCGGGATGAAGCCAGGGCTTTTTCGGCACAAGTTGAGTATCTTGGGAACTGTTGCGCTTGAGGTCAGTGATCCTATCCATTGCTGGACTGGGATCCGTGATACGAGTCTGAGCTTAGCTCAAATAACTGCATCACATTACGGTATCTTATCTTGAACATTCCGCTCTCGCAAATTGTATCTCTGGTATTCCCTGCTCTCACTATATGACCCCTAGGAATTTTCTGGAAAGACGCTGGGCGCGTTTATGTCCGCAGTGATCCCAGTAGTCTGGAAATTCGAGTCAATCGTGACAAGTGCGTTAACCGCAGACAAAGTATCCTGAAACTCTTTCACAGCGTTGGCGATTCCCGCTTGTATCGCCTGCTGGTTCGCAATCAGCGATGTTCTGACAGTTCCATCCGCAGCAGCCATCATCGTTGCAACCTGTCCCAGGTTACTACCAATTGCTGCAAAGGTAGACTGAATCTCTCCCAACGCCCTCTCGACACTCTGTATCTTATCACACAGGGCTCCATTCTGGAAAGAAAGCAGATTTACTGCACCAACAAGAGCATAAGCTGTCTTATTGGTGTCATTACTCTTTTTCGCGATTTGTGCTTGGTACTTATCCCATGCCAGTCTGACATCTTTCTGCTTTGTAAGGATAGCGTTTGACCCAGAAATCCAGCCGGCAACAGGGATATAGATGTAAGACACTGTGGTGCCAGCTTCCATCATCTCACGGTCCTGTGCAACGTACCGTCAGTATCAACTATGGCATCAATGAAACATAAGGCCAAGCACTTGCTGTGTGCAGTAACAAAGACTTACCCAATCTGCCTTCACGGCCTGAACTGCTTCGAAGATGTTACTGAGGAATATTAGATTCATGGGAGTTTTCTCATCAAGCGTAGAGATATAACCGTCACCAGCTTCGACACCAAACTTCTGCACGACGGCATCGATTTCGGTCTTGGTCGCCTGAATCTTGCTTCCTTGCTATGCTGAATCAGCCTTATTCATAATTTCTCAAACAGCCACATCGGACCACTCACAGCCGAGATAGTGCCTGCTAAAGCCTGAATACTACTCGTTCTCTGGTTCACTGCCTGGCTGAGATTCAAGAACATTTCGCTGGCGCTTTGAGCAAGACTTTTGAACTCAGGGTCACTCCCGGAGCCTGGCTGGGAGTATGTCTGGCTAGTCAATGTGTTAATGACTCCCTGCAGGCTGGATCCTCCCTCGCCCGTGAGCTGATCGATGAGAGCTTGGCAAATCATCTGCGTCTCGATGAAAATGGTCCCTGCAAGTCTGTCAGTCTTTCCATGAGTCTATTCCCAATGCGCGGTCTATGAAGTACAGAAGCTCTAGAGAGCGAATTGATTAAAGTCGCTACAGGCGTTCCAAAAGTCCAGAATCGCGGTCTCTGTTTGCTTCGCGATAGGTAAGCAAACACGTCGAGACTCTATAGGACAAGCATACCTTGTATAGAAGGGGATCAAAGTTATGCAACGACTGTAGAGAGGCATTGGGATACAGGGTCTCAAATGATGCCGCATCCAAGGGGAAATTCTGGCTGGCGACGAGGGACGCCCTCAGATCTGACAGTATGAGGTCAGTTGAAGAAGCGCTACTAGGAAACGAGAGTAAGAAGTACCGAGGTAGCCATTAGACTGAAGAATAAAACGAGAGCCCCTTTTGCCTGTGATATTCCCATCTTGATCAGCCAAAAGTAGTGATCTTGTCAGATTGCCTGTTGGGTTGTTCAGTGCATTGATCAGAGCTTGTCCAACGTCGGTTGGACTCGTGGAAGTAGTGGCGGTAGACATAGTTTAACTGCAATAAAGACCTTTTTTGAGAGAGATTGCTACGGAGCTGCCATGGCGCTGTCAACTATTAAGTATCGAGCACACTACAGGTTTAAATGCCTTTGATAAAACAATTCAAAGTCTAGAACAAGCCACAACCAGCCAAGTGGCTGGGCTATTGAGTTGCAGAACCTATTTCGGCAACTATATTTGAGAGTAATCAGCGCCTATGTAAATAGTGCTGCAATAGTGTCATTTCATAAGCCCAATGTAATTGGAGCTCTATTCGTGAGTGCTAACCGACATGTGATCCGCCTTGACACTTCCAACCAGTACAAAGGGTTTACTATCGCCAAATTGAGAAGCAATTGCATGACCGGCAATGCGCCGTTGAAAATAGCCGGTGACTTGGTCAATCTTGCGTAACCGTCCTTCGCGCATCAATTCCGCCCTCACCCTCCCCCCAGTGCCGAAATCCGATTATCGACTCGGTACGGCCCGTATTACGGTGCAAAGACCGCTCGTCACTGGGGGAAAAGAAACTGCCGATGGAGGGTAGGTGATCACCCTTGGCAGGACTAAACCGGTTAGAGCTGCAGTGCTGCGGCACAATCACATTATCCCCGTGAGGATCTGACGTCGATAGACTTTCGCGTTATTGAAGTTAATCATACATTTGAGACGGCTCAGAGTCTGCACTGATTTCAATAGAGTTCATCTCAAAGCGTAGCTTCATACTACTGATGCAGAAATCAGAGACTTGTAGTAAGCTTATCTTCTACTGTAATTTTGTCTTACTTTTCATGTCCTTTGCCGCCATTTTTAGCAGGCGTTCACTCTCCACTGTTCTCCTGTTTCACAACCACTCTCTTGGTCATCGCATGACTCGTCTCTGTCCCCCTCAATTCATTCCGCTCTCCGTCCGCGGAGTTTCCATGGATTCTCCATGCTTGGCTGTCGTGGCCCGTGAGTAAGTGTATGGCGCAGGGCTTTGATACGAATCCAAACAGGAAATGCTTGGCGAAAATCTCGGTTATAATCGTATACACCTATTATCCTATTGGCTCATGCACTGCCCTTCGTGCGTGGCTATACGACCCTAGTGTTACATTGAAACAGAGATATTCACGGGGTTGGGCCGATATGATGTGTTATTTCGTTTATGCATTGTCGATGTGGTGGTGTTTTGTTAAGGACTCGGGCTCTCGGGGTCTCAGAAATTCGAGAGACGCCAGCTGGGGTGACACAATAATGGACAAAGAGTCCCAGGCAACGGTCAAAGTTGTTTGAGCCACTTGTTTTTGACATGCTGGACTGAGGCCCTGTTATTTTTATGCCCCCCGTCGGGGCTCGCGTCTTAGAGCTCCGGGGAGAGGGAGACTGAGGCAATGTACAGAAGAGTAGCATTCTATGCCGATCCTTCTTTTGATATATACCTCGTGGATGGTATAAGTACAGCATCAATGCCGTGAAGGATTCAAATCCATCATCCCACCATCGGCAGTTCCCCAAGATGTCGACATACTTCGATACCATACTCCAGAATCCGCAATATGCGGTTCTTTCCGCAATTTCCCTCATCACAATCTTTATCGTCAACTTCTCTTTCTTCACTCAAGACGAAAAATACCCATTTCTGATTCCCAAGAAGCCTTTGGAACTGACCGACAGACGGGTGGTCAAGGAGTTCCTCGCCAACAGCAAGAGTCTCCTTGCCAACTCACGAACAGCCTATAAAGATCAACCATACAGGGCTTACACCGAGATAGGCAAGGTTCTAGTTATTCCTCCTTCGTGGGTCGACGCATTGAAGAATAACCGACAGCTCGACTTTCTGACCCCGGCTAAAGATGCAAGTGCTGGTGTTCAAAACGATGGCGTGATGCTAATGCAAAACAGGACTCTCATCAGTACATTCCTGGTTTTGGCCCTTTTGGATTCGATCCTAAAATGCCAACCGTCATCAACAAGTATATCACAAAGGCTTTGAGTTAGTTTTGTGAGCTCCTCTCTCTCGGCTACTTATTGACCTTGATCCTCTAGCCAGGATAACTGGTCCCGTCTCTGAAGAATCATCCTTAGCGATCCGCGACTGTCTCACGGACTCTTCAGGTAATTGCCTCGTCTTGCAGTTATGATCACAGGGCTGACAAAGCCTAGAATGGCACGCGATCCGACCCCAGGCAGACCTTATCCGCGTCGTATCCCGCGTATCCTCCAGAATCTTCATGGGTGAAGAGCTCTGCCGGGATGAAGAATGGAATAGGACCTCAAGCGAGTATACACTTTTAGCTTTTGGCTACGGAGGCCATCTACGAGAATACCCCCGATGGCTTCGACCATACATCCACTGGTTTCTTCCTCACTGTTGGGCTATCCGAGCAAAGCTGAACGAAGCGCGAGCGTGTCTCAAGCCCCATATTGAACGCCGAAATGCTATCAAGCGAAAGGCACTTGCTGAAGGGAAACCGTGTCCCTTTGATGACTCACTTGAGTGGTTTGAGAGGGAGTACGAGAAGCATGACCCCGCCAAGGAACAGATTGCTGTCTCAATCGTGGCGTATCATACCACGTCCGACTTACTTGCCGAGACACTTCTCAATCTCAGTCAGTATCCCAAGGTATTGCAGGAGCTACGGGAAGAGATCGTTTCTGTCTTGAGAGCCGAGGGCGGGATGACCAAAGCAGCTCTATATAACCTGAAGTTGATGGACAGCGTGGTCAAAGAGTCTCAAAGGATGCGTCCAATCTTGTTAGGTAAGTTCTGTTCACACTTCCCGACACGTTATCACCCTCTAACATTTGCTCTAGGTGCTTTCAGGAGGGTCGCGACGGCCGATGTTACCCTTCCCAACGGTGACATCCTCAAGAAGGGCGACAAGATCATCGGAAATATGTCGCACATGTGGGATTCCGACACTTACGACAACGCACTTCAATTCGATCCATATCGATTTGTGAAGATGCGTCAGACGGGCGACGACAAGAAAGCGCATCTTGTCAGCACCAGTTCTGATCATCTTGGCTTTGGACATGGATATCATGCATGTCCCGGACGCTTCTTCGCTGCGAACGAGATCAAGATTCTCTTGTGCCATATGCTGCTAAAGTACGACTGGAAGTTGCCCGAAGGTTGCAAGCCGCAACCATCTTTCTCAGGCTTTAAACTGCTGGGTGATTATTCTTCGAATTTGCTGGTTCGACGTCGCACTGAAGAGTTGGATTTCGATTCTCTTTCCAGCTCATAGGGTCGCAATTCTCTGTTGAATGCATTCTCTGGGGCGCTGCAAAGAGAAAGACCAAGTCTGGGGGGTGGTAATAGCGGGGCAGAGATCAGGATAAAGCGCTCTGCATACTATAGTTATCTAAATTGCCAAAAAATGTAGGTTTTTTTCACAATCTTTGCAATATCACTCATTAACTGAGCTGCTTGGCCCGATTTATTCTCATAATGCAATTAGTGGTATCAGTTTCATATTCTCATAATAATTATGAATAAAGAAATGAAATTAAAAAGTAGATAATTGCTTTCAAGCTAGCTATAATCAACAGCCCAGGGTTATGCATGAACATGTGACCAGAACTGCAGCATCACGTTAGCCCCTCAAAGCGGCTGCCCGCACGCCCTAGAATCCTAGCTCTTTCATCTCATGTCAGCATCCAATTGAGACATAATGGAGCTGGCCGGTCTTGCTATTGGAGTCGTCCCCTTAGCCATTGAGCTTTTCAAGCAATCGATTTCCGCATACAAGATTTTTATCGAAGCAAAGGAACTCGAAAAGACCGCAACGCACCTCGGAACAAGGCTTGCTATCGAGGAACGTCGTTTGGCCCAATGGGGGCAAGGCACGGGACTGTCGAGCGAAACTAAATCTGAGTCTGGTCTTGAGCCTGACGACAGTAATCTGGATCGACGACTTCTTGAGAATGAGGCCCTTTGCCAGGTCGTTGTTCGGACTTTGACGTGTATTAGAGATGTCTTCGATGACACGGACTGTTTATTCGACAAATATGGTGTCAAGCTATCGTCTTTCGAAAAGGCAGATTCAGAAGCCAATTCGTCTTCGAAGAGCACCAGGTCTTATATTTCTAGAATCGGGCGATTCAAATGGGCTATCATGGATAAAGAAAAGTTTCACGATCTGTTACAACAGTTGAAGTACTACAATGACAGTCTATACAGCCTCCTTCCCCGCGAAATTGGCTTCACAATTACCCGAGACGTTCTAGCAGTGCTTCTCGCCTCTGCGAGTAAAGATAGTCTGGAGGTTTATCGATCCTTGGGCACGAATCGGGAAAGTTTGGTCTCTTCAGGCAGTATGGATCAATACAAAAGGATCTCATCCGCAGCGTCCGTGGCACTGAAGATCAGCGGCCAGAGTCCCAAGGCAGATGAGGTCTTGGTTATCCCGCGAAATGAGATTCAACCTGATGGGCAGGGCTCTCGCTTGGGTACGTGGGACCAGAGGCGTGTTTTCCTAGAGACACATCAGACAATTCGATCAGACGCTCAGGGTAGCAAACATCGGAACACTCGGCTTTTGGCTTCTCTCTTGAGTCAAGCGAGGATGTCTCAGGATTTTAGCACGCCGCGGTGCCTAGGAATTTCTTTTATGGACACAGAAACCCCAACGATGATCCACGAGCTGCCTGATGATGTTGACCCAGTAGCGGAGCCAGTAACACTGCACGAGATGATGAGTAACGGAAATAGCCGGATTCCTACACTGGACGATCGATTTCAACTAGCCCAGGCCATATGCAGGGCCATCTTTCAGATGCACTCTGCCGGATGGATGCATAAAGATATATCATCGAAGAATATCCTCTTCTTTAAAGATATGGACGCAGGTGGAACATATCGAGTTGATCGACCATATCTCAAGGGCTTTAGATTTTCTCGCAAAACAAACTTCGTGGAACAAAATGAGAAAGAGACTCGCAAGACCGTCGGGATGGGTTCAGATTGGGAGACTGAGGGGTCCGCTGATGAAAAGGCTGCTGCGCCGCCAAAGCGGGATAGATCACCCCGAGGGTCGGATAGCCGCAGTAAGGGAGGTGAGAGCAGACGTTCTCAGCCTTTGAGACGAACTACAAAATCAAATCAAGGGCTTTTCACAGCGGTCCAGGGAGTTTTTATACCTTCACTGTGGAATGGCTTATCAGGTGGATCTGGCAAGCGAAGTTATTATTCTGACAGGCGAAGTAATGCAAATGATTCAAGACGGTCTGGACCTTTGAGGCGAAAAGTCAGACCGACTACCCAGTCGGAAGAGTCATATGTGGTTCTCCGAGGAGAACATGAGAACACCGACTTATTACGAGAAGCAATCTATCAGCACCCAGCCTATATCTTCCACAAGCTTATATCCGAAGCACCTTCGGATGACAATTACGAACTGGGGGAGTATGCACGTCATAATAAGCGAGACTCATACTACAAGCGAAGACACGAGTACTACTCTTTAGGTCTATTACTTCTCGAGATCGGGCTATGGCGACCGATTGAATCTATGGGTCTTCTTTCACAACCGGTTGCTTCGATAGGAATGCGAGACGTGGCCTGGCTCGCATACAATTTCGGCTTCTGGGAAGATCGGGATTTGAACGGCCGGTTGATCACGGCTACAAAGTCTATCCGAGCAGCGCGCGGAAGACTTTTTGACACGATGGTACCTGACGTGCCGATCGCATGGTCAGAGGAGCTCGAGCCATATATCAGCCAGCTGCGCCTAATTCTCGACGAGGAGCACATAGAAGGTATGTCGCTTAGTGCGTGGAACGCTGCGAGCGCTCAGGAGAGGGAATCTTTCTGGTCGTTGTGGGATGAGGTCTATCCTCATGTTCTTTTGAGAAATGATGCTATCGAACTTACCAAGCGGAGTGTTGGGTTGGCAATGGGTCGTAGGTACAGAGATGTAATTATTCGATGCTTGACTTCAGATTTCAGTGTATCAGGGTCGTCAAGTGAGTTTAAGTGGCTGAGATCGTTCAATTGGCTGATAGTCAAAGAATTAGAGAAGTGCCAGGCTTAGCTAAATTAATCAAGTACCTTATTTACAGTTTTTTACTATCCTGCATAAATTCCATTTCTTGCTCTCCTAAAAAGCCTCTCATCAAGTGATCATCTCGTCCCGATTCATTATCGTATAATAAGCGTACCGAGAATACGGGCCCGCCAATCAGAATTCTCTGACATCAACAAACACGAGAATGAGCCCCAAACAGCGCGCACTTTTTCTCCTCTTGCGTTCTAGTTAAAGAATAACGGGCTATCGGGGTTCTCAACTGTACCGAGATCATGGTTTTCGGGTCATAACACTGGACCGTTTTCGGCAGTTGATCTTGCGACCCGATATTCTGGAACACTAGTATTGATATAAAGCTGTATCATACTTAGCATTATAATACAATAAATATTATATATAGATATCATTATAAACTTCTCGAGATCAATCATTGCAAGAAACATCGAAAAACTGCATCGCCATCTTCTATCCCACGTCATCATGAACATCGACTACTATGGACGCATCGCGGAGAGTCTCCAGTTTGACAACACGCCGGTCATGATCGCGACCACCGCATGCTTCGCAATCGGCTTTCTACAGTACACATACGCCATACGACTCCTCATCCGCGAAGGTCAAGGCCCTATGCCCTTCTGGATGCAAACCTTCTACGTCGCCCACGAATTAACTTTCGTCTATCTCTTCGCCGAAGCAGCGCCCCGCTACGGTTACCACTGGTTCTTTGTCTCAACCTCATTCTCACTCGCAGTATGGGCGTTTCTTGAGATATTCTGTATGTGGTATACCATCCAAAGTCCCAAAGACCGCATCGCCACGTTTTCGCCGCTATTTGGAAAACATCCGACTACTTCATCTATCTTGACGTATACTTTCTTTCTGCAAATCGCCATGTTTGCACTAGTCTGGATATTGATCGAGTTTCTTGGTGCTGGTAGCTTCATGCTCACAGGGGCGCTCACCAATGTGCTTTTGATTATCGGGCCGACACACGAGTATCTGTCTCGTGGTTCACGGAACGGTCTGTCCATTGGATTCTGTCTTACGAATGTGGCTTGTGTTATATGGACGTTTGCTCCATTCAGCTTGGGCGCAGTTGTTTTGCCTGAGATTTTTGATCAGACTATCATGTATGTTGCGGGATTTATCTTGTTAGCATACTCTCTATGGTTGACAGCTGTTGTTGCGTCTTATCCTCCCAAGACAGCTACTAAGGGACAGCCGACACCAATCTGGTAGGGAATTTGGAACGGCATTCAGTATGTGAGCACGAAGTGGCCTACAGTCTCTTTGTACTCTGGTGCTACCAAGGAGACACCACCGCGTTTTTATTTGCAGGCTTCGGCTATCCTCTATAGAATCACTCCGCTCCAGTAGCATAAATCCCATCTCTAATAAGCTGACTCAACTTCTTGTTCGTCTTAATGTACCTGGCCAGATCACGTCTCTTCTCAACCAACAGATCCATCACAATCCTTCCAAAGACCAATTTCCCTGAGAAGTTTAGATGAGTGCGATCTCCCTCAATCTCATTATACTTGTCGGCATTTTCCTGTCCAATAGCATTGACATACTTGGTGCTTGCGGTGTTAAGATCCAAGTACTTTACACCAGCCTTGTTCGCAACAGCAATTGCTGCATCGCGCTCGTTACTAAGGTTTTCAACCACCTTGCCGTCCTTGAAAGTACGGCGGGTTAGGGACGTGATGATAATCTGTCAAAATCAGTCGCTGCACCGTTAATTCGAAATGCTAAACTTACCGCAGTCCCTCCAGCCTCTTTAACCTCCCCAATCATAGTAGTAAGGTTATCCGAGTATTGCTCCAGCGTAAGAGTCTTCTGATCATTATGTCCAAACTGAATCGTGACAATAGCTTCATGATCCTTCTTGTGACTCTTTACATTGTCAAGAGCAGTGTCCCATAAGCCCTGGGATCGGAAAGATACAGTCGTTGCACCGTTCTTGGCGATGTTGATACCGCCTGCGGGTTTCTTGGTGCTGTTCAGAAGGGCATCACCCCAGCCTCCACCGGTGGCAACGGTGGAGTCACCCGTCAAGATAAAGAAAGGCGACTTCTTGGCCTCAGCACCTCCGAAGAGGGTCAGGACGCTTGCAGCGAGGGGAAAGAACTTCATAGTGAGAAATGAATAGTCACAGAGCTTGGCCGATGAAATGAACAGATCTGTCCCCTCAGTGAACTATATACCTTCATATCCGGCAAGTCTGTCCAATCACTTGATGTCTTGCAAGCATTGCAACAGCTCAAATAATTCCGCCAATAATCGTGTCTCTACCAAAGTTTGGGGGCACGACAAGGCACCCCGGATTTTCAAAGCTTAATGCGCCAACTCCATGTCGAGTCGTTGGGGTTAGTGCGGATCTCCACGCTCCGTTTTACTAGGGTGGCCGATTGGTACAACTTACGTACCGGCAGTACTGCTCGGGTCTTGATAACCCGAATCTCTTCGGATCGATTCATGATAGTTATGTTCCAGGTTCGATCAATAATATCATGAATTTTTTACTTAAGGGCCTCTTGGTCTATCGGTTCTTTTATTCTTGACTGGGTATCACCAGCCCTGATCTCCATTTTCTTTTCATTCATTTACATATTTCATACTTCCTTAAACATTCAGCTCAGCAGCCTTGGCCTTCTGGATAGAATCCTGATAAGGCGCAAGCTTCTTCTCCAGCTTACCTCCAGGTCCACAGAACTTGTCAACCAACTGCGCGCTGCGGCCAATGTACAGCTCGGGCTTCATCATGCCATCGAGATCAGCCCAAATGGGCTTGAAGAACTCGGTCTTCTTGATTCGCTCAACAAGATCGTTGGACTTTCCGAGGCTCTGGACCTGGTGGGAGGCCTCGAATGACAGAACGCGGATTTGCTCGTGAGCCCTGGGTTGGTCAGTATTTGACGGTCAGTTTGAGATCAGGATGGACTTACTCTTGTCGGGAAACACCCATTGCGACGAGGCGCATAATGATGTTCTCGGTGATCATGAAGGGAAGCTCGGCCATGATGTTGGAGTGAATCTTGAGGGGGAAGACGACGAGACCCTCTGTGACGTTCTGGAGGGTGATGGCGACGGCATCGGCGAGGAGGAACATCTCGGGGATGTCAATTCGCCGCTATAATCTAGTTAGATTATGCCAGACACATTTAGGAACAAAACAAGGGTACTCACGCAGGCGGAATCGTCCAGCGATCGCTCCATCCACTGAGCGGAGTGGGTGCTCATGTAGGTAGCGGCCTTGGACTGGAGGACGCGGGCGAGACTGGCAATTCGCTCGGATCGCATGGGGTTCTGCTTGTAAGCCTACCGGGGCATTAGTATGTCGTCAATCTCGTAGATAAGTATGACTGACCATGGCGCTGCTTCCGATTTGACCCTTCTCACGGGGCTCGCCGACTTCCTTCATGAAGGCGAGATGTCGCAGATCCGAGGCGATCTTGGTGACGGTGGTGCCGAGGCCAGTGACGGCATTGGCAATGAGACAATCGACCTTTCGGGTGCTGAAGAAGTATTAGTATCAACAAAGGGGGTCAATCGCATCGTCAGACTTACTATGTCTGTGTTGAGATCTGGAAATTGTTAGAAAAGTACCATAAAAAGGGTATCATGCACTTACGTCGTAGCACTCCTCGAAGCCAGCCTTTTGGCAGAGCAGCTCATTGAGCTTATCGCACTTGTCATGATCACCACCGAAACTAAAAATGTCAGAAATTGGTCCAGCAGGAATGAACGACCAACTCACATCTCGAGGAAACTGGCCTGGGTACCAGTAGTGCCCTGCGCACCACGGAACTTAAGCTCAGCTCGCACGCGTTCAAACTCATTAAGATCCATCAAGAGATCCTGCGCCCAACCCGCAGCTACACAGCGTCAGAACACGATTGATCTCCCGACCAGAAAATACTAACCTCGCTTGCCGACGGTGCTGATCTGCGCAGGCTGGAGATGTGTGAAGGACAGAGTTGGCTCGTTCTTCCACTCGAGGGCGAATTTCTGCAGGTTGTACAGAACCTTGGCGAGCTTGGGGATGAGAAGATCGAGAGCGTCGCGCATGAGGATGAGCTCTGTATTGTCGGTGACGTAGCAGCTCGTCGCGCCGTAGTGGATGATGCCAGCCGCAGCAGGGGCAGCTTGACCAAAAGCATGAACGTGCTATACTCTTAATCAGTTCTATAAAAATTTCATTGCACCGTGCTTCTTACAGCCATGACATCCTGGTACGCTAGTTAGCTCGCTTATCCCCATGACACAATATCAATGGACTCACATGACGACGAATCTTCTCCTCATGGCGCGCAACCTCAAAGTCATCGTCAGTAACAGTGAGATGAGTCCTCATCTGCTCGAGCGCCTCGTCGGTGATGGTGTTGATGCCGAGCTCCTTCTCGCTCTCGGCGAGGTAGAGCCATAGCTTGCGCCAGGTGGAGTGGCGGGAGCGCTGGCTGAAGAGGTGGGACAGCTCCTGGCTGCAGTAGCGGCCTGTGAGGGTTGTCTGGTAGGTATCGAAGGCGGCCATTTTGAGATATTGGATTGTATGATATGGTGAGTAAGGCTGGGGGCGGGGGAGATCGTTTTTGACGTGAGCGTGGAGAAAGAAAATTTTAGCCTTTGGCCCGGATAATTCTCTAGCCGTTTGTTGTTGTGCACTTGCAGCGCTGCGAATGAATGCCAGTGGTTGGAAAGTGTGTTTTATGATTGGTTAGATATACACTTTTGGTGGGGCATCTTCCCTTAAACCGCTCATCAGCACATCAGTCCATCAGTGCATGGCAGTGCACAACGAGAACAGCTGAATACATCAGCCCATATCTGACCACAGGTCTCTCGCCTGATCTGCAGTGATTTGATGATTTTCCTATCATTTATTCTCTTCAATCAACCAGGAAAGGTGAGAGGTACTTGCAGATTAGCATGACTGGGCTGAAACTTCGAATATGCCCCACCACTTTTGTGTTTACCAGCAAACCTTGTCATTCATTAATGGCAGATCTTATCTAAGTTTCCCATCATACACCCAAATTTTTAAGGCGTAATGTTCAATTCCCTATACCAAAGCCATGTTTTGCGTTGTTATTGTTGTTGTTAACTTTTCGCCTAATGATGTTGGCGCAACCCTGTGATTGATACCATGGATCTTATCCAAATGACATGATTCTGGAAGCCGCTTTTGAATAAGAGGATGAGCAGCATGACCTACATACAGAATTCTAACTCATGCAGACCTTCAGTCTTGAAAGTCCTACAAGACAGAGGTTTACATAAATCAAGCGTCTGTATCAGGTGAGAGTTTGTAATTTGGCATGCTCTATATTGTGAATATTAATGCCCAAACATAGAGCATTACTCAACAGGAAGAAGAAATATGAAGGTTTTGTCAATACTGTAGAACTACTGTAGTCATCTCGGTTCTCGAATTCAACTCAGACTTACGTGGGTACGATCCCGGCTTATGCCACCAGCTGCGGTCTGAAAGGTTTGTCGAGATTTGTTTCGGTACGAAAATTCGCGAATGGTAAGGCGACCTGATAGACCCTCTTTGCAAACTTGACGGGCGAAATATCTCGTTCTGATAAACTGATTGTAACTATCTCATTCTATACTCTATTGAGTACTCGACATGTAAGCCATTTAGCTAAAGATCAAAGTCTTGAACTAAAAATAGCTGAAAAACCGAGGTTTAGGGTACGGGCTGGTCAGTGTGGACAAAAGTGGTGATCCGATAAGACAAACTGATAAGATAGACATCCTAGCCCATCAGAAGCGAAACCACTTAACGCGTCCCACGGCACAACAACTCACCCCACGTCACCAGATCTCGAATCCTTCCATCTCGGCAATGACGTAAACGATATGAATTCATGCCAAACGCATTAATGTTCATCTGATCTCTAAAATGACCCAAACCTCTCCAATCCCCATAAAACCCGTCCCTAGCGCCACGGAATCACCGGCGCATCTACAAAAATAGCACCACGCTTACGAAGAATTGGTCTAGAACGCCTCGCCAGCATGGGTCAATACGAGGATCCAGCGGCAAAAAAACCAAGTCTACCCCTGCAAGGAAAAGGGGGTCGTTTAATTTAAATAAACACTCGCCCTTCCCCAAACTTTTTTTTCTTTTCCATCTCTTGGCTGTTTATACCCGTCACTCGCTTATTCATCACTTTCGTTGTACTTTAATTTTTTCAATATGAAGCTTTTCGGATCTATTGGCGCCGTCGCGGCGGCTTTGATGCTTCTTCCTGGTCAGGCTTTGGCTGGGCAGTACAAGGGCTTCAGTATGGGTGCCAACAGGGCTGATGGCCTTTGCAAGTACACTGCGGATTGGAAGAAGGATTTCCAGACTATCAAGAGCTGGAACAAGGGTTTCAACGCTGTGCGCCTCTACTCCGCCGATGACTGCAACAGTAAGTTACCCCTGCATCACCTGAGTTGCATGAACTGACGATCTTTCAGCACTAGTCAAGGCTGTCCCCGCCGCCAAGCAGACCGGCATGAAGATCCTTGTTGGCGTCTGGGCCACCGACGATGCTCACTTCGGCCGTGACAAGGCCGCTCTTCTCAAGGTGATCAAGCAGTACGGCACCGACTGGATCGCCGCCATCTCCGTCGGTTCCGAGGACTTGTACCGCAAGGACATCTCGCCCGATAAGCTGGCCCAGCAGATCTACGACGTGCGCGGCATGGTGCGCCAGTTCAACAAGAACCTCAAGGTCGGACACACCGACACATGGACCGCGTGGGTCGACGGCCGCAACGACGTGGTCACCAAGGCGTGCGACATTGCCATCACCAACGGCTTCCCCTACTGGCAGGGCGTTCCCATCAAGGAGGCTCTGCAAAAGAAGACGTTCCAGAACTCGTACTGGAGTGTGCAGAAGCACGTCAAGGCTGTCAACAGCAAGGCTGCTGTCTGGGTTGGAGAGACCGGATGGCCTACCAAGGGAGCTAATTACCAGAAGGCCGCTGCTACCACCGCTAGTCTGCAGAGCTACTACAACAATGTTGGATGCTGGCTGTGGCAGCAGAAGGATGCTAGTGGTTTCTGGTTCACTGCTTTTGATGCGCCTCTGGCTACTCCTGAGGTTGAGGCGAACTTCGGTATTGCGAACAAGGACCGCAAGCTCAAGTTCAGCCTGACTTGCTAGATGGAGCGTATCTGACTTCGAGTATCTATTTTTTCAAGCATGGGATCTGGCTGGGAAACAGGCGCTGGAGACACAACTGCATATACATTCATTTATAGACTATTTCTCAAAAGCCATCGGGGTAAAAAATATAATGGCATTGTAATTCACTCTAACTCTCTACCTTGTGACATGCGGCAATAGTTTATCTTCATGAGCCTCAAGCCTTGATTCCAAAGGGAGGGCCTAGGTAGCTTTTTGCTATGCCTCCGCAGTTGATCACGATCTTCTCAAGCAACATGTTCGCATGTCCCAACCTGAGACGTAGCGTGTGTGCACCAGGTCCCAACGTAAGCGCATGCTCCCGAACCCACACATTATCTGACGCAGCAAAGAACCAGCCATCAGCAGACGCCCATCCCTTGTCAGCGGCATTTTTCTCACTCTCTGGAGTTCGCTTCTGCAGAGGATAGCTTTGGCTTTGTTCCTCATCGATTCGAACGTCGTAGGTCAGCACATCTTCTGAGGAGAGATCAAGAGTGGTGCCGAAGTATAGTACCAACTTAGCGCTGGAAGTCTCGCTGAAAAGGTAAAAAGGGTAGTGAACGTAGGGTATCGAATCATCGCTGACGGTTCCTGGGACCAGAGTCAAAGAGCCAGTTTCAAGTCTTCCAGCATCAGGTAGCACCAGATAAGGAGTCTCGAGGTGACAATCGGTAGCAGGGATAGACACGAAACCGTCCTGCTCGACGAAACCCTTGAACGAGTCTGGTACTCGTCTACCATCGATTGGTAGATGGACCTGTTCAAAACCTCCTTCTTCCGACCGAACGTCGATGAGTATTTCCTCTTTGAAGTCATGGGGCACTCGATCCCAGTCAACTGAGATCTCAATCCGGGCATCATCCTCACCGGGCTCCAAAACCCCATAGACCTTTGACAGCTTGATCCAAGGCTCAGGCGCTGAAGTAGACCAGTTGGTCTTCGGCACTCCTCGGGTAAAGATATCAAAGTATCGAGCCTCAGGTCCGTACCGACTGATAGGCCGTAAAGTCAAACCAGGAACAAGATCCCTTCTGCTTGGATGCGTTCGCTCAGACTCTTCATTGATTCGACCTGGTCTCACACCCTCATGGCCCTCAACAGCAACACCCATCTGTCCAACAATAGGATTCGAGTTCTGACGTTTCTGAACAAAGCAGAGTCCACCAATCATGTCGCGTGAAGGAGCGTGCCATGTATCCTCGTAGCCGTAGTGGGGCTGCATCAGAATATGGTTCCACTTCCCGTCTAAAAGGCTGTGATATTCTTCTGACAGTGTGAAGTCCTGGTCAAACGCGTCCAGAGCGATTTGGGCGTATGTGTTTGCTGAGTTTCGTCTTTGGCGAGCGTATAGCTTGTTTAGCGCTTGACTCCAACGCACCTTGTTATAGATGTAAGACGCTTTGGTTGGATGGAGAATTAGCTGGAAAGACGCTGCCTTTTCTGCTTCAGAAACACAGGCATGTACTCTTTCAGCGTCGTTAAGAAGGTCTTTCCATCGACGATAGATAGTATCTGCTTCTCTGTAATGCAAAACGGAGAAAGTGTCAGGCTCGATATGCTCATGCTTTCTCAAAGAAAGCAGCCGATCGTGTCGTTGCCAGATTGACCCAATTTCATCCGCAAGACCAGCGCCGAACTCTCGTTCAGCGGCTTGACGGAAGAACTGTGGAAGCGTATCGTGCTTGATGCTGTTGACATCCCAAGCTAGAGCCATAGCAAAGGATATGGGAATTTCTTGAGGCTTTAGGTCACCCACGTTGAAGACCCAGATTTGGCGAGCGTTGTGATGGTACGCTTGCTGGAGTTGATGCCATACTTTTCCCTTGTAGCGTATTAGCAGTTGATCGGGATATAGGGACGAGACTTACTAGTGAATTAGTGTTGATCCATTTGTAGCTTCGAGGATCTCCGACGTATTGAAGATGGTAGTATACCTAGACGGTAGTTAGCGAGCGCTGACATTTGAATACACGAACTTACACCAGCTCCGCCCTTCCTCTTACCCTCTTCCTTCGTAGGTAGTCGACGAATCGTGCCAAAGTTGTCATCCTGGAACAGAAGAGTGACATCATCTGGGACACTCAGACGGCCAGTTTCGAACATGGACTGGACCTCTTTATAGATTGCGAAGAGCTCTGCCCGACTTAGCTACGTCCAACCACGAATGGGGTAATACTCACGAGGTACAGCGTCTTCAGTCCCATAAACCTTCTTAACAACCTGCCTCTGCGTCTCAATAGCATCTTGCACTACCGCAGCAGGATCCTCGGCTAGCATCTTCTTATCATATTCTCCTCTGATGCCCAGAGTGAAGTATGAGTCGCAGCCCTTGGCTCGACTAGCGCCGTGTTCAAAAAACTCGGTTATTTTCTGCTTATTCGTCAACCAATTCCAGCTTCCGTCTGGATTCTCGGCAAACCACTCGTTTGAGAGCCTTTGCATGGGTTCGTGGTGGGATGTTGATATGACGATGCCATATTCGTCCGCGAGCTTTTGATTCAGTGGATCGTCTGTGAAGAAGGATGCGCCTGGGTTGGGATAGCCGGGCCACATTGCTGGCCAGAGGAAGTTTGCCTGTTCTCGTTAGTAGTGCCGCAGTCAAACAGTTGATTGTATACCTTGAGTCTGAGTAGAAGTTCAAAGACCTTGACATAGAACTTGGAGTTGTATCCTCCGAACTTCTCTCTCACCCAGCCTGTCAAGGCAGGTGCTTCATCATTGAGGAAGATACCGCGATGTCGTACAGATGGTTCGCCATGGAGTGTCTGTTTCTCAACGGCATAGATCTCTTTATGGTGTTTTGGTGGTACATCGGCCCACCAGTACCATCTTTTCCGTGTTAGAACATCTCGTTGGATTGACCTCATTTGGAATGACTTACGGTGAGACACCAATTTGTTCAGAGAGCGTGTAGATGCCAAAGATGGTACCTCGCTTATCACTTCCAGCTATCACCAGAGCCTTCTCACACTTTCCGAGAGGCTGATCGGTGATCTTTGTGCTAAATGTCTCCCATTTTCCCTCAATTGCCTTGGCATCAAGTCTCCCCTCTTGCGCAATCGTCTTGATGATTCCACTTGAAGCAAGACTACCGACGATAATGACTGTCTTTGTTTGTATCCTCTCGTAATCCGAGTCATTCGATACAACAACTAACGGACTTGCATCTCCTTTCGTCACACGAGCAAAGTCCTGGGCCAAGTCACCTGCGGCGCGGATAACACCAGGGTAATCTGATTGGTCCACGACAATCGAAGCACCAACCAACGGAATTGACCCAGGAGAGGGCTTGAAGTCAACGATCTTTTCCTCAAACATGATCAAGTACGTTTACCCTACCTGGAACACTTATTTTTTTCGCGAAGAGTTTAATAACTCAGTTTGAGAAGTCGGCATGACCTCCGAGGTTAGTCACCTGATCCCAACTTGCCCCTCAATCATTAGCTCGGTTTAATGTCGTCCCGAATATTCCGCACTTGAAAAGACAACATCGTGGCCTTGGCAAACATGACATCTTTCCCCTCATTTGTTCAGACCATAGTGGCCCTTTTGCCATCGGTGAGAAGGCCGGTTTGGAAATTGCTTCATTTCTAATTTCTCTGACCTTTAATCACCACCCTTACTCGCAAAACCTAGCCTCTAGCAATTATGCCTGTGCATGCCGAATCGCATTCATAGCCATAGCCGTAACAACACCTCGGCTCCCAATCTTGAGCGGTTTCGAACCGTATCCCCACAGCCACGCCAGCTCCCATCCGCCATCGACCTGCTGAGCTTCAAGCACAGTCTCAAGATCTCTATTATTCTTCAAGCCCAAAGACTGAGCACTCAAAACTCTCATCGCAGCGCTGAGGACGTTTCGATCGCAGCCCATCCGCTCTTGTATACATATGTCCAGCAGTTCTCGCATCTTTCCAAGGTTCGGGTCTGAGGGCCGACGGCGGCAAAGATCAGAGAGAATGTAAAGCAGCCAATCTGGACTTTCGTAGTACCGGCTGCCATGGAGGTAGGCCCTTGTTTCGAGGAGCTGGCAGAGAAAGTCGTAAACCCCGGGAAGCTTGTCTTGCCAGTCATTGACGACAAAAAAGCGAAAGACGGTCGCGCATATACAGTGGCAGAAACGAGGTCTAGTCTTGCTGAACCAGCACTAGAATGTAGTGAGCATGGCTGAGTAGACTGAGGGATGTCATTAACTTACGTATGGGAGTCCATCAGGGCTTAGATTTGAGAGGATTTTATCTCTTGCTTGAACCTTGTCAGCCATCGGGATTGACTCCAAGATTGTCATGGCTAGTGACGTGGTGTCTGAGTCGTCAGGATAAGTCGTCCCACCAAATGTTGGCGTTCCCTGGAAGTAATTCCAAGTATATCGCTCGTTTTCTAGGACAACCAAACCCCTGCGATCACGGTCAGCCGATGCCATAATTTCAAGCATTAGGATACACACGAATCTCCTGTGTTTTGTAGAATCACCAACTGCGAGTAATTGTCAGGCTGCACCTGTCCTGTACTCAGTGTGCAGAACATCTTCTTTGCATTATGGCTTAGAAACCTCTGGGCTCGGGATACAGGATCGCCAAGTGCGTTGTTCAGGACTCTGACCAATGAATCGTTGTCTTTGAAGACGATACCTTTGAAGCCGAGTGCCTGAGCCGTAGTCACGTCCTCAACCTTATCGTCAACAAAAATGCATGATGATGCAGGTGCCTGCACTTGCTTCAAGAACTTTTTGTAAATCGCCAGGTCTGGCTTTCGCTCTCCCAGATCTGACGATGCAGAGAACTGATCGACAATTCCCCAACTCTCGATCTCATCTTTCAGAAGCTCAACTTCAGGTCTTGGGATGTTGGACAGACAAAAGACTTTCATGATCGGGTAAGTATGCTTAAGGTCCTTGATGGCAGATATAAGGGACAGGTTGGCCTTCATGCCATCCCTCATCTGCTCCAGAGCCTGTGTCCAGGTCTCCAGATCAATGTTGAAGTCTCTCGTGACCTTATCGTAAGCCTCTTGCTCGGACATTTTACCCCGTTCGTAGTCATGCCAGCCAGGTGAGTCTAGAGCGCTGGCAATCTGGCTTGACGACAGGCCAACCGTGTTTTTGGTCGTATAATGGACGAGCACTCGGCCCAGATCAAGGACGACTGCGGTATAGTTCGGACCAGTCATACTGAAAGCGTGTTGTAATGTTTAAATGAGTGGGGAGACTAAGTTTTGTGTATTGTGATGAACGGAAGACGACGACGACGAGTAGCTACTTATAGGCTGATCGGAGGCTCAAGAGGTGTGATCCATTGCCGCTAATCGGACACTATTCTGCCCTTAACAGCGCTCGTGACGTCTTTGAGGTTGTCCAGCTGTGACTTATGGAAAATGTCTCAGATATCTGATCTTGGAGTTCAATTCAAAGTGAAGACTTGGCTGAGACTTGCTGCAGGTCGCTTGCTCCAGAGGTAAATCACATACAATCTCTTCCTAGCGTTCCAGCCGTTTCATAAGCCACAATGAAACTAGAGGTTCAAGGGCGCCAATCGCGTAACGGTCATCCAGTGTCGCTCGAAAAAATGTCTTAGATGATCCGCACACCACGTCCACTTATTGGCCTCTGTTCAGTGGTTGCGCTTCCACTAGAACTGGGTATTAAGCTAAATTTGGGCCGAAATAGATCGGATAGATCTTCCCGTGGATTACAGGTCCGGTTGATCACGACTAATTTCGAAATGAGCATTGATATGACGAGAAAGTTCTTGGTGCACGCTAGTAAGATGTGAGAAAAGGTTGCTTTTTCTTTTCAGGCAGCTCCTGACTCTCGTGTTGGGGTTGTGTGTTTCATGAACGTCATCTATCCTGTTCTACGGGGCGTATCTAGCACAGACGTCAAAAGTAATTCGTGAGAACGCCGGGGGCTAATGAGGAGCTAATGTTACTATGGAACAGCGATTGACAACTTGGCCACAGAGCGATGGGTGACCTCTGAATTCTTGGTTGGTTTTGGGATCCTATGATCTGTTAATAGCATTTTGGGGAAGACTTATCTTTATCAAGGTCTCTGCTCTAGCCCATTATTCTCGTCGATTGAAATGAGTGAGGATGCAACATGAGTAATGCTACGCAAAACCCGGGAACAAAAATAACATGTCAGTTTCTCAAACAGGAGACTTTGTGTTTTTCACACGCTCTAGTATAAGAACTCCTCGAATGACTGCATGCAGCCTCTCAAAGAATGATAGTTTTTATTTCTACTCAGATCTATATCGAGCTCTCAATTTCAGCTTTCTGCACTATAGTCCTATATTCACTTCCTTATGTTTAATTCTATTTGGCGTCTAAGAACTATTACCAATAGGCGATGCTGCTCAGAAGAAACAAAAGTTATTCCTTATCTCAGCCCTTACTAAGTCCTGATAAGATAAGTGCTTGAACAACAATATCCTAGTATTGCCAAGTCTTAAGTGTCCGTGTTTCGTTGTGAGTTGGGCCCCCAAGCTTGGCCTGGAGTCTAGATCTCGCGGAAAGAGACACGACAGCCCCGACAGTCTTGGCGGGTCACATAGCACGTTTTTACCCCTGCCATCATTGGGCCTTAGACTCTCGACCTCCTGGACCATCGTATATTTGTGCCTTCACATCTCAACGTAGCCTCAGAGGTCTCAGCTCACATTTGTCTATTGGGGTCCAAATTGCAGTGCATCGGCGATATGGCTAAAAGCGTCAGGTCGTAAGACTATTGTCAAAGCGTAGCGCAGTATTTGGAGTCCACCATGTTCGAGAATGCAGTTGTAATACCTGAGATGTTACTTCGAAGGATTCGTAAGTCTTGATGGAGAAGGTCGCTTCTGGTTCTGTGTTGCACAGCATGATAGAATCACGTTGATAGGATATTGCCTAAACGCCAACGAACATGCGATGGAATATGGCCCCCAAGTTTCTGGAAAAAGTATTCCGCTATCTTGCGATAGTGCCTGGCCCCCAAATGAGAAAACTTCTGAGATATCAGGTGTAAGTGGGCACCAGACGATAATGTAATGAGCAGGTACAAATAATACAAGCCGCGCTGGTAATGGTATATAGCTCAGAATGATAACTCCATCACTACTCATTCTACCAATCTCATCACTATGCATTCTTTCAAGATCATTCTCATCTCGCTTGCGCCTGTACTGGCGATGCCAGCAACCAGCCCCAGGAACATCGGCGCTGATGAGCCTTTCGACTTTGGACAAGGCTTTCTTGTCCCTGCCAATATTTCTATTGATGACTATGATTCTACTCCCATGATCCCACTGCCTCATCTCAACCTGCGCGACCTTGACAGTCTGGAAGAGCCCTTTGCTCCAGAACTCGGTAACATTACCGACTTCGATCTCGACACCCGCGCACCCAAAGAGACCAGGGTCTTCTTCGGCAAAACTCAAGTTGACTTTGGCTGCGAAGCCTCCATCAGAAACCCCCTCGGCACAGCCATCCACTCCATCTGCGGAAATGGAGATTGCGACAAGAGCGTCGTGTACACCCGAAAAGTCAAGCATATGGCTGGTGGTGGCCGCAGAACGGATGCCTGGCTCCGTATCTCAGTCAGAGGCGAGTACTACGGACGTCATACACGAGGGTACATGGCCTCAGCCGTCCAGCGATCAGTCACGCCCAAGACTGCGAAACCAGCTATGCGATACTATCTCCCGACAAACCCCAACTTTCAGGCGCAGAAGTGTAAGATGTCAAAGTTTAGCAACTACATCAAGATGCGCAAGAACTTTGGCGATACGATATATATGGAGATCGACATTACCCTTAAGACAAGTAACGGTGAGTCATTGAATCGTGATAATAAGAAGGTTCGACTAATGTAGACATAGCGCACTGTTTCACACCGAATGTTCTCAAAGAGGTTGCTGGTGCAGTCGGGGGTATTGGAGGTTCTTTTTTCGGATCTGTCCTTACTGGTATGCTTGGTTGTTAAGTGATCGAACAGTAAGGGGTTTAAGAGGGCAACCTTCAACTTCGCAGGGCAGTAGGCACTCAACTCCTACGTCATTAGTGTTTCGCGGCCATGATCATGCAAGAGAAATTATTCCTGAGTCTCTAATATAGATATTGTCTGAAGATTTCTAGATACCTTGCCCGGGACTATCTGTGATCCTTTTCGTGATGATGCCAAACTTACTCATGCCTGTATGTATAGTCGACTCATTGCGCCTATCATACTGTTCCTTGGTCCAAGGTCCCCTGACATCCTCCTCATCCATATGATCTTTGCCGATCATACGTCGATCGCGCTCCCAGTGAGGGTCAGCGACTTCATTGTCTGAGTGCCAGCGACCAAAAGCTTTTCCGCATCCCATCACTAATCCAATGATAGCAAACCCCTTCTCTGCACGGAGACAGGTAGGATGCCCTATTGGAAGACGAGCATGCTCATTCGTTTCTCCCCCTTCTTCATCCCGTTTCATGTCCACTCCCCATAGCACAGAGCGGCCCCAGTTCGTATGGATCTGAGTTGAAGTTAGCTAATTTCTCACCTACCTAGTCCACCTACCTCGATTGCTTTAGGCGCTGTATCATGATAAGGGCCGTGATAGATTTTAACATCTCCAATCCTCTCACCGCCTTGCCCATCAATTTTGAATGTATCCCAGCGTTGCTCGGGCCAGATCGATCCGTCGTCATCCCGGTCTCGTAAGTAGCGAGTATCCCTATTAGTTGCAAGGCGCAAGTTGCCTACATCACAGCTGTGAGCTCCCCAGCCACTAAGGCTACACTTGTCTCGTATAAGGTATGCAGAAATGCTGCGAATTTTGGATAGTTGGTCGGTATCATCAGCGAGAATGAGGGTGTTCAGGGGAACAAGACTGTGCCAACGCCCACTATACCGAATGCGACCTTTACACATCTGTAATCTCATATCGGAGTCAGGCGCGAGCATGCTTTTGAACATGTAGGTTTTCGCATTCCAACAGGAACCCTCCTGGGATCTGGCTTTGGGGAGTTCCGAGGGCCTTTCTCCGCCGTCGGTGCGGGCTTGCAAAAGCCACACTTTCTCGATAAAAGGGTCAACACCGTATCTTTTATGCGCCTTTCAATATTTGTCAGGTTAGAATCCCGAGAGGGTCTGTACAAACGTACTGTGAGAGTGCCTTTGATACCCATTATGGTCATATTCTCTGCAACAGCGAAGGGCAATCTGAATAGATGCGGGCCGTCTTGGCCATACGTGTGCTCCGAGCCATCGGTGAGATATACCTGCTACTGCGTAAGTATACCAGAATGGGGCCTCGCATTTCGACTCACTGTAACACCTCTGCACGACGAATAGTTCCAAGAACAAGCCTGCCACGGTCTAAGGATAGATGAAGCATAGATATGGAAGACAAAGCCTTTGATCCAGACACCGGCTGGGAAAGATCCTGTTGTCTGATATGAGCCTTTTTCCTGCGGTTTATGTCCGAAGATCCTATGGTCTTCCCCAAAGCTGATAGATATAGCTGATAAATCCCCCTCCGAGTTCCAAAACAGGGCGAGTGTCCACGGACGCAGGAGCTCGTGCCAGCCTCGCAAGAAATTGGCTGACCTGAAGTACAAGCCTGGCTCTCGAGTATCGCCCAGTACCTGAGGGCCACTTTTGAAAGCTTTGTATATGATGCAACCTTTTTCGGCGGGTTGACGTCGTGGTTCTCGAATATAAAGGCTCTAAATCTGCTCACAAACGTTCCAAATTCTTCGACGATTGGCGATTGAGAACATGAGTTTCGCGACTCCCGGCCGTGGCCTTGAAGCATACTCAGCCCATAGGAAAACCTTCCTCAAGTCCCTGCCCTGCAAAGTTTGAGACTCTTCTCTCAAGCATTCGTGTAGCTCAAAAAAGTAGGGCAAATGGGTTACTATTCGCCGCTTCCAGAAAGAAGCATGGTCCTTCAGACTCAAGAATGTCGCCCACGAGGCGCATAAGAGATTCAGGAGACTTGTGTTGTCCAAGAATTCCGAGATTGTGAATACCACTGTTTCGGGAAGAGCTGCCAATGGGTTTGACCCTGACTTAGCTTCATGGCAGAACTGAAGAGCCCTGCTGTTGAAGAGAGAACCTGAAATGAAAGAAGCGATCTCATCTTTCAGTTCAGTTCTGTACTGCGGGCTGGATACTGTATATTCTCTCCCAGGAATGCATATCCAGTACCAACCTTGAGCTTCATTGACATCCCCATAATCAAGTGAAAGACACCTTAACTCAAGTGGTCGGATCTTCCTGACAACCGAGAATCGGTCCAAGGCTCTATAGAGTGCGCCCTTGTTGATATTAGTATTGTCAAAAGTTCCAGTCAAATACCATGCCAAGGTCTCGTAGCATTCCGGATGGAAGGGAATCACTCGTTCAGGATACTTCTCGTTCTTGTAGACCCTCAAAGAACTCACGTCCATACCCTCAAGGGTGGGATCTCGCTGCACTTCAGAAGATAAGGTCAAGAACCGATAAACTCTAGCTGGTGCAGATACATAGAACCTGATCTGATCAGCATGTTATACGAGGAAATACCTGAGAACAGACTTTGACTTTTCTGCAGCTGAAGGATTGTAGCCCAAAACTTGGGATCGATTTGTCCACTCGACGTCAGCTGGGTCGATTACTTCTGAATCATATTTGAAACAGTCCTTTGGGCGGTTGTAATGCGATGTAATGTTGTATGAAGCGACTGGACCTCCACAAATAGCGCACCACACATTAGAATGGCTTAATTGTGTCATTCCTAATCGGACATCAGGGGAGCAGTGAGCAAAAGGCTTCAATAGCGTGTGACCGGTAAGAGATGAGACAGGTGGCGAAGCCGTTAGAGGTTTACCAGGCACCGGATACGAGAAAAGGCTGATCTGTCTTGCACTTTTTATGGAGTCCAGTTCATCGTGGATGTGATTGGTGTGTTGGTTGCAACATCGGAGGTTACTTGATTAAGTCAAGCTCGAAATATGGCCTGACAAACGTTTTGACAGAGGTATTGCTGTAGCCGTAATAACATTATAGCAGAACTTATTATAAAACACGCTGCACCTTGCTTGTCGAACTAGCAATCTCCGTGCAGACAACACACAATTCCTCAGACAACACCAAATCCGACATCATCAAAAGCGCCAATATGGCGGACATCTCAGAAATGATTGAGTTCTTATGGCGACCCCCACGAATAAACACAGGGCCTATAGTCAAGCATCTAGTCAATGACAGAAAAGCCCCAGAGAATTTTGGGTATTATCGAAACTGGGGTTTTACAGTTTACCGTACTTTCTATGGCCCTGGCTCGGATAAACACTGGGACACATTGATTGACGCCGTGACTCGACAGACCTTACTTGCACTCGGCTACCACGAAAAGGAGAGAATGTTCAATGAGGATATTAAAAGAAACTGGGGAAAATACAGTGATAAAAGCGAGTACTTGGAGGACATAAATCGACTAAAGAAGCTTTTTCGCCTCACCACCCGGGAAAATCCATTGTTGTTCGATGGTCTCGACATCCCCCAAATCCAAGAAGTCTGCCGCAGAGAGCTTCCGCAAGCTAGGGAAAACATAGAAGGGGCCAGACATTGCTTTGTCTTGGTTGCCGATGAGAGGGTGCTGAAAGATGTTGCAAATGGAGTCTTTGTAATCACAGCTGTTGATTATGATGAAGTCGAGGATCGATTCTGTCCGGAGTGGGTTAGAATGTCAACGGGTGACATACTGAACCTCTGGGAGTCGCTTTTTTTCGAGGATTCAATTTTTCGTACCATACACTGTGCGATGGGATGTGAGCTATCCAAACGCGACCTTGAGACTTATGTCTGGTCTGGACTGGATTGTATTGAGTCACTTGGCGATTGTTCTGAAGCTCAGACTGCAACACCAGGATGGAAACCCGAGTATACTCGGTTCAGAATTGACTATTAGTGGCTAGTAGATTGGAGAAAATAATGCCTAAGTATACAAATTTTATTATTTGTAGAAGAGTCCAATATCGGATAACAATCTCATTCTGGCAGTTCCAAGGGGAGTCGTATTCATGGCATTGAAATCACCCATCGATACAGAGGATGCGGGGATCTTGACTATTGACTTCGCCGAGTACCACCTTATGAAAGCGTTGGATTAAAGCGCCCTACAGGCCCAACGGGACCTAGAGCCACTGACCAACAAGAAGACCAACACCCAACACAGCATAATATAACATAACATAAATCACATGCAGTGAGCTGGTATTCGTTACAGGGATCAATAATTGAGTGCCTGAGGCCACCATTTGTTGATAAAACAGAATAAATGGAGAACAATTTCCTTTTATGATTTTCCCTCTGTAAGTAACAACATAAATTCAGACCATGCCCTCATTTTCGTTTATACATATTGTATTCGGTACTTAAAGAACCTAAACAACATGGTTAGGCCTCATGAAATGATCAACATGCTATGGCAGCCTCCCTTCACGCGTGTAGGGAGGGGTCGTCGAATGCAGAAGCTCGATAGAACGCTTCCCGAGAACTCAAAGTATCACGGCCACTGGGGCTACACTATCTACCGCACGCACTACAGTCCCGAGTCTGATAAGCAATGGCATACACTTCTTGATGCTTTGAAACGGCAAACTAAACTTGCAGTTGGTTACTATCAAGACGAGCCCTTTGAAGATGAGCTGATGCATCAACGGGCTGATTTCTTGCCAAAGACGTGGTACTACACAAGCCAAGAACAATACTCGGACGATATAAAGCGAATTAAAGACTTGTTTCATCTTGATATTCGTGAGGATACATCAATCGACCGCCTGGGAGTCCAGGAAATCCGCGAAATTTGCCTTCGTGATAGGCCTGAGGAGGAAGAAGCCATGGCAGGGCGTCTTTTCAGTTTCGTTCTGCTTGCTGATAAAGCCGTATTTGAAGCTATGGACAAGGGCGAATTTATCGTCAAGGCAGTCTCGTATAACTGGAGGGAAGGCTGGTATAATTGGGGCTGGATGAGAATCTCAACTGGGTATCTGCTTGAGCTTTGGCACTCGCTTATGGGAAGGGATGATAACTACCATACGTTGCTATCTTTCGACGGTCCAGAAGAGGACTTAGAAGAGAATATATGGCGTGGTAGATGGGACGCGGAGTCGACAAGCCAATGCTCCGACATACGTATGGAAGCGCATTTACTACCGTAACCACCAGTAGCCAGAAAACCCGATCTAGAGAAGAAGTTACTCTCTAAAGCTAGTCAATATAGAAGTAATGAGGTTTATATTCTAAAAAAAGGAAAATTAAAAAATTGCCGGATATCTCTCATTCACAAGACAATGTAATCAGAGACGTCGTCACTAGAAGCATTCCCATTATCTTTTCCTTTGAGATTCGACCAGGCAAGTGACCGTGCATATATAACGGGGGGGGCTGTGAAGTAGACCTTTGTCAACTAATAGTCAAACACGAACCGACTCGATATTAACTCATTCGCTGTTTGCACCTCGGAGTAGTCATCTAGTGCAGGCAGGGAAACGTTTCCAATCCAGGTGTTGGTCTCTAAATCGCTCTCTGGGCCATGACATCTGATCCAGTAATACTTGTCAGTAGATCCTATATCGGCAAGAAGGAGCATTTCCCAAAGATCCAGCAAACGGCCTGTTTCCAGCCGCACCCAACCCCAGCCACCGTGGTCGATACGATCCCAGTCGTAGCCGACTGCCTTGACCACAAATTCGTTTCGGGCGATGCTATCCAGTACAGCCTTGTCAGCAACCAGTACGAAACAGAACTTAGCCCCTGCCATCTTCTGCTCTGCCTCATGATGTTGTCTCCGGCAAACCCCTCGTATGCCATTCATGTCAAGACCTTCGAGATGAGAAGGATCTTGATGTGGAAATAGACGGAATAAGCTCTTGAATATCTCCAGTGAATCCAGGTAATTTGCCCTCGTTTTCCAGTGCTCGTAGCGCCCATTTGCGTCTCTCTCCCAGAGCTCTTCAGCCTCTTCACTCTCGTAAAACCCAATTGATAGCTTTATTCGTTGCCTTAAAGCTTGGAGAAGAATATCCCAGTAGCGATCTGATTCGGCGCCATAATATGTGCGATATATCGCAAAACCCCATTTTTTGTAGTAACCGAAATTCTCAGGCTTGAAACGACTGGGTCTTGGCATCTCAGGATGGCGGTCAGCTTTCCGGGGAGGATTCCATAAAAGATCCAGAATTTCTGAGAGTTCTGCCATTTTCGGACTTTGCTGGCACTATGGCGATGCTCTTTCAAGATTGACGCAGAGGAGAGGTTGACACGTTGCAAATAAAAACAAGGAAAAGTCGCTCCCTTTTTAGGCAGCAACATGGCGAGCCTCCACCCGAGACGGTGGCCAACAGTGTTGGCACCATTACTAATGATCTGCCGATGTGGAGGGCCCAGATATCGCTCAAGCCTCCATACAAGCTCAATCATATCCGCGACCGTTGGTACTGTAGCCAGGCTGGAAAGATTCTTGTTATTGGTATCCTGAAACCTGACGGATATGGATGATCAATTAGTGTTGAGCAATGAATCACGACATCGACAAATAAGGTGGAAGTGGCATGGTATCTCCACGAGGATATTATACAGAAGACTTCACATTACGATTTATATCACATCCATTCAAGAATGTATCGTCGGTACATATTTGTCTTCTCTGAGTGTAGCTATACTGATTGGATCATACACCAACACAAACCCAATACTTGGCCCAGAGGGCTGTGCATTTAGATCCAATTGCCGGATTCCATTTCACCAGCTGCGCAAGAGAAATACTGTAGTACTTCTGAATAGATGCGCAAGTTGTTGTAGACTGGACCTGGTGAAACTTCTTGCAATTGCTGATCAATCCAGTCTGGATCGGTGAAGGCGTCTCGACCCCATTACCTGGCTTGGTCGGTGTTCCACCAATAACCCCAACGCAGACGTTGTAGTCAGCCCACAGTCCCTTACAGTCCTTACCAAGAGCAGGATTCCATTTGACGAAGTCTGCCAAAGAAATCTTGTAATAGTCCTGAATGGAAGCACAAGTTGTAGTCTTCTTCAACATGTGAAACTTGTTGCAGTTGCTGACCATGCCAGCCTGCACAGGTGGAGGCGTCTTGATACCATTGGAAGAGCCCTTGGTTGTCGTGGCAGCTTTCGTAGTGGTCTTGGTTGGGGGCTTCCAGCCGACAGTCGCAACACAGACCCAGTAGTTGACAAGAAGCGAAGTGCAGTCTTTACCGACGGCGGGGTTCCATGAGAGGAAGGTTGAGAGCGGGAGGTTGTAGTAGTTCTCGATGGAGGTACAGGTAGTGGTGGACTTGATCTGGTGGAACTTCTCACAGTTTTTGACCATGCCATCTTGAATTGGTGAAGGCGTTGCGATGCCATTCGCAGGCTTGGTAGTAGTGGGTTTGGCGGTTGTTGTGGTGGTTGGCTTGTAGCCTTCAACGCTGACGCAGACCCAGTAGCCCTTCCAGAGAGAACTGCAGTCTTTGCCAACAGCGGGATTCCATGCAAGGAACTGGGCAAGTGGCAGCTTGTAGTATGACTCGATGGACGAGCAAGTAGTGGTCGATGCAATCTGGTGAAACTTGTTGCAGTTCTTCACCAACCCCTCTTGGATGGGAGACGGAGTCTCAATGCCACCAGCCGCTGTGGGCTTCGGCGAAGTGGCCGAAGGCTTAGCGGTGGGGGTACCAGGAACGCCAACACAGTAGTAGTAACTTGCCCAGATGCCACTGCAATCCTTGCCAACCGCGGGGTTCCACTTGTAGAAAGTGTCAAAGTCAAAGGTACCGAACTTGGACACGATCTTCGCGCAAGTGTCGCCCTTGGCAGCCATGTGAAATGATGAACAGCTTTCGATGAGTCCCCCTTGTGTCTGAGTTGGCTTGGGCACGCCTGTGGGCTTGGTTGTAGTCAGAATCGTCTTTGACGGAGGGCTTGTTGGCGTTCCGGGAACACCAACGCAATACCAGGTGTTGGCCCAGATACCGCTGCAGTCCTTGTCAACGGCTGGGTTCCACTTGAAGAAGTCATCGAAGTCAAAGGTCTTGTACTGGGCGATGATCTTGTTACAGGTGTCGCCCTTCTTAGCCATGTAGAAGGATGTGCAACTCTCGATCAGCCCGTCTTGGGTAGGACTGGGCTTGAGATCTTTCGTAGGCTCGGGTTCGGCGTTCTCGGTCGTTGTGATCTTAGGGGGGTTGTCTTCGGGCGGCGATCCAAAGTTCACCTCGACACAGTAGGCATGGCCGACCTGTAGACCGGAGCAGTCATTCTTGACGGTCGGGTTCTAGGAGTAAAAGACCACTATTAGATCTTGTATCATGATAGCTAACAACTGGAAATTTGACACTTACATATTGTACGAATTGCTTCAGAGTGATACCCCAAGGTTCTACCCAAGGCTTGCAATCGGCGGTCTCGTCGGTCCATGTGTCGTAGTAGGTGCAGTCAGATGGGATACCTGGGTCGGTAGGTCCGCCAGGCTTGACATCACGACGAACTTTACGGCCTCTGTACCCAACAGCACCAGCGACGAAAAGACTGTTGGCGATGATAGCTGAGAAGTGCATGATGAATTGTTCGCCCAATTGCTGCCCGTAACGTTTCAGACAAAAGATTGATGAGAAAGCTGAAGCCAGTCACTTAACTATTGCGGAACTATCCGTTAAATAATCTTAAAAGTATTACGCACCCGGTTCGACATGCCAGTCACCTTAAGATCTTCATCTCGAGTACTATTTACCTTGTATGTTTGCCGATTCTGGCAGTTTCTCCGTTCCTTGGATGTACTCTGATTGTCTCAGCAATCGAACGCGGGATCAAAGTTCACGCCGGATTACTACGCTCGGATCTCATCCGGTCTCCATCCGGCGAGTGACAGGTAATTTGCTGCGCGTTTGCCTTTTCACGAGAAAGCGGGTTACCATTAGCATGGCATGTCACACCGCACTGGTTATAACCCCAGATAGAGGGACGGCACGGACGACAACCGTGAATAGTCATGCTGTAGCCTGTCAAAGTATGTTGGTTGACAACTCTTGGCAAGTAATGTTTCCCCCTCACCATGTCAATGCGATAACATGCAGGGTCAGTGAAGTCGGTCCGAGTTTAAGCTGTTGGTTATAATCTCTCGCTTTCTTACCCCATTGAACACCGTTGATCCAACTCCACAACTCTAAATACCCTAACGCAGGTTGAATTGCCTAAAAAGCAGTAACCAACAGCGTTTTTCATATCTCCACTCATACTGTACCTGGCTGCGGGGCCCATTGCCGCACTTCACGGGGACTTTCACAAGCCGGAGTTATGATAACGATTTTAAGGTTTGCAAACCGGGAAAATGAAAAAGAAAAATGCTGGGTCCGGTATTTCGTTGCATATTTGTTCCAGTATGCGCTAATTAGTTGGCGTGTAAATCAGGCAAAACTGTTTGACATCACGTCCTATGAGTCGTGGCTCGCGGTTCGGCATCAACCAAATCCGCGAACCTGCCACTCTCGTAGGCCCGATCCACAGGCAGACATTTCGTCAAAGCTTACAAGGGTCATGGAGGTTACTCGTATGCGACCGAAGCTGAGGCAGGGTAAAGGTTGCTTCGAGAAGTGAAATATTTTAGGCAACAGATAACTCCAGTCTAAAATTGATACGGCAAGATCTCTACGGTAGACCATTTTAATGTGACTGCAATAAGACATAGGAAACACCAACACATGGAATACCTCACTGTAACCTTTTAAACGTTATGTCTTCTAATAATATTACATTAGGAGAATGGGGACTATGAGATGGCAAAGATTGTCCTAAACCGCTACATTTACTTCTGCTTATAGTTCTTGAGCAGGTCCAGTTGACTCGTACGTAGTATTCCAACCCGCAATAGGTGCAATGCACAAAGCCTCTCCAGGAACCAGGCCTTTGGTGCACTCATCGTTGTTCCGGGACAAAGTTGGGTTAACTTCATACATCACGTCCTCGTCGCAGATCTCATGTGCCTTGCAGATATCAGCGCATGATTCCCCTTCCTTGATAGTATGCCACAGGCCGCAACTGAGCGTCGTGCCATCAGCTACTTCGGCCTTCTCAGGCGGTTCCATAAGCACCACCGCCGGCCCGTTAGCACTGCTGAACTTGAGCGGTGTCTTGGCTACAGCGTCGGACGAAGCGGAACGAGTACCAGCACCAAAGGGCCCGATGCAGATTGGCTTGCCATAGAAGTCGGTTGCCTTTTGTAAGTTCGTGCAGTCGACATTGATCCATGAGTTATAGTCTTCAACAGTGTCTTCTATAACCTTCAGTGACCGCTCGATGGACCAGCAGGTATCTCCAGGTTTAACCACGTAGATGGGACACGTTGTAGGTAGGCAAAGCTTGAGGCCAGCAGGCAAGTTGCGGCAGTCGCCAATAAGCTCCTGGTTGCCCATATACAGGTATACACCTGCAACACCCGGGTTCGCCCTCGCAATTGAATCACAGGTGTCGCCCTCATTGGTGGTGTAGTATTTGTTAGTGAGGCAGTATTCTTCGGGTTTCTCGACCTTGGGCGGTGGTGGAATCTCGGTTGGGCCAGAACCGCCGCAAGTCTTGTACACCTTCTCGAGCCGCGACTGGTAGAAGTGATCGTAGATGGAGTACGATGAGGATTGCATGATCGCTAAACGGCGGCGGTAGCAGATATGGCAGAGTTCGTCACGGGGCATCTCCTCGCCATCCTTCAGCTCGGTGAACTCATCGATGATATCTGGCAACAAATAATTAGCTGTAAGTTCTGGATAAGTTGGTGGCCATATCTCACCATTGCAATATTTCTTGGTTTTCGGATCTTTGACACAAGTCTCATTCCAGCCATTCCAGATGTAGCCACCGTAGCGCTGAGGGACACCGTCTCCAAAATCTTCATCGGCGCATGCGTCTACAACCGTATTGAACCAGCTTCTGAGTGATGCTGAGCAAGTACCGGTGCAGATCTGGTCTGTCAGAGTCACATTTTCAAGGGAGCCACGATATCGAGGCTGCATGAATGAGCGAGTATGTTGGTGGCAGGCAATATCCGCAGATAAGGCCTTGACGCACGCGTCTCCAACATTGTAAGACTCGAGATCGTCGGCCTTGTAGATTTTGAAAGTGGCTCTGGCACCCAAGCATAGGCTGAGCAAGGTAACAAGATGTTGGAGGGCAACCATGACTGTTTGGGCCTGGCTTCAGCGTTTGAGGCAAATTGAAGAGCGAGGGAATTGGGAAAGTGAAACGAGCAGTGGAATTGACACAGAAAGAGGGCAGACTGAGATCTCCCAATTGATCAACGCTTGGACTCAAGTGACATCTGAACTGGCTCAGACCATTGACTAAGCTTAATGTTCCTTGGTTGTTTCTTGCCGCCGAAGAAGAAACTTTAAAAAGTTTAATCGCTCATGTGAACCGGCCATGCTGGGGGTCCGGGGTTGATTCCGCGTGGGGATCAGATAGCATTTCCGCAATACGAGGAACTTTTCAAAAAGCTGAACAGCAACCAACAGCGCCAAGAGGGCTCGGTGGAGCCACGTAAAGTGGTGAGCATCTGACTTTAGCAGCCAGGTCCCATATTTGACCTTGACATTTACTTGGCACATACGGATGTTCTCTCAATGTAACGCTGTGTTGGTTAAAAGTTCCGAATGGAGGAGGCTAGCAGGGGTAATTGACTCACGATTTCCAGGGTCCCAAATCCACTACGCAGTAATCCTCTTTGACCAGCTCAGTTGGCAGATGGTTGCCTGATCTCAACTTGTGGGCAAGGGATAATTTAAACCTGAAACCCAGCTTCCCATTTTGGGCGGATCGCCGAGGAGGCCCGCATCGTACCGCCATTGTGCGAATCGCGAGAGCGTGCTTCTCTCAGGCCGAGAGAAGGTCATTGCCATGTCTCCACCTACGGACAACTCTATGTTTGGGTTTGATGAAGAATTCATAGATGTTTCTGCGTTACGGTTAAAGACAGTAGCCATATCTTAAAAATCGCCTACTGGAAACTAACGTTTGTCTTTTCATATTATTCTGTCTGTCATATCGCATTCCGGTATTGAGATAACATCACTATACCCTTTCACGTCGATCGAATCCCTACCTTTTCCTATTGTGTAACATAATTTGCTTCTGGGTACCCTGATCTGCTGGCTTAGGGCTCTGTGCCTACTCTGAAGACAATATGCGTTTCCGCTACTGGTTACTCGTTGTATTGTTCTTCTGTCTCTACGTCGTAGATATAGCGGCAGATGACACGACCTGTAGTGCTACGAGGAAGTGCAAGCAAGGATGTTGCAACAAAAATGGCAACTGTGGTTTTGGCCCCGACTGTGAGATTGCTGTCACTGAGTTCCTTCGTATACTGACTGAAATCAGATTGTGGAAAGTCTGTTTGCCGTTCTGATTGTGACCGAAAGTCGGATTGCAACCCCGGTTTTGGCAAGGAATGGGCTAAGAGCGATAAGTGTCCTCTCAACGTTTGCTGCTCCAAGCACGGCTACTGTGGTGTAAGTGGAAGCGGCAAATAGGCTGGCATATTCGAAATTTGCTGACTACGAATTTGTAGACGACCAAGGATTTCTGCGGAAGCAAGACAGTCAAGCGCCCAAGTTGTAAGAAGGGCGGCGATATGGAGCGTGTCGTTGGCTACTTTGAAGGCTGGGCTAAGAACCGGCCTTGTGAGGTCTTCTGGCCCGAGCAGATCCCTATCGGCTTGTACACGCACATTAATTTTGCGTTCGGTACCATCAATCCTAACACATTCTCACTCGAGGTCAACGACCGCGAGGATACCAATATGTATGAGCGTCTGATGCTACTAAAGAAAAAGGACAAGAACCTCAAGATCTACCTTGCGATTGGCGGATGGACATTTAATGACCCAGGGCCAACAGCGAAGATCTTCTCCGATTTGGCAGCCTCACCAGCACGCCAAAAGTCGTTCTTCAACTCGGTAATGTCCTTTATGGCAACGCACAAGTTCGATGGACTTGATTTGGACTGGGAGTACCCGGTGGCAGAAGAGCGTTCCGGTCGCGAGATCGACTACAAGACCTTCCCTGTCTTCATGACCGCGTTGAAGAAGAATATGGAATCGGGAAACAAAGGCTTGACTATAACCCTTCCCGCATCTTACTGGTACTTGCAGTTTTTCGACATCAAAAAGCTAGTAAGTCGACGAGCCTATCTTGGCTGATCTATATCCTGGTCTTGAAACTGATCTGTTGTGTCTATCCAGGAACCTACCGTGGACTTCTTCAACATTATGTCCTATGATCTGCATGGTGCCTGGGATCAGAACGTGACCTGGACCCAGCCCTACCTCAACGCTCACACCAACCTGACCGAGATCGACTTAGCGCTAGACCTCCTCTGGAGAAACAACATCAAGCCCGAAAAGGTCGTTATGGGCCTTGGGTTTTACGGCCGCGCATTTACTGCTCAATCGGCTGCATGTCGCAAGCCAGGCTGTCTTTTCAGTGAGCCTGCCAACGCTGGCAGATGCAGTCGCGAGAATGGGATTTTGCTGAACTCGGAGATTGATAGTGAGATCAAAAACCGGAACCTGAAGCCCGAGCTTCATAAAGAGGAAGCTGTCAAGACTATCAGCTGGGGCAAACAATGGGTCTCTTTCGACGATGCGGATACGCTTAAGATGAAGGTTGACCGAGCTGGAGAGCGATGTCTGGGCGGTGTCATGGTTTGGGCAATCAGCCATGATACAAGAGATGCCAAGTACAACAAGGCGTTGGCCAAAGTACTCGGTCGCAAAGTCACGAGCGGCTCGTTGGACGATGACGAGAAAGCGGCCGACTTCGTGAAGAAGCCTTACGAGCAGTGCCGATGGACGAACTGCAAGGAGCCATGCCCTAAAGGCTGGGTACATGTCGGCCGAAGTGACCCGGGGGCTCGGAAAGACGAGCTGATGTATGATGAGACAGCCTGTGGTGGTGATGGCATTCATTCTTTCTGCTGTCCACCCGGTGAAGATATCCCAACATGTGGCTGGTGGGGGCATGAGAATGGCAAGTGTCAAAAGGAATCATCTTGTCCCAGCGGCATGGTCGAGATTGGTACAAACTCGATGAAGTGCGAGAAGCCACCACGCGTGCAGACTGCCTGCTGCAAGACCGACACTGTGAGCATGAGGGTATATGATACCTGTCGATGGGGAGAGTACCCGGAGTGCAACACTAGCCCCGAATGCCCTGGCGACTACTACAGCTGGCCCATGGCCTCATCTGGGTCTGGTTCCGGTGCATTGAGGTGCAATGGCCTCAAGAACGACCTAGGTACTCCCATCATTGGCGTGCAGATGCGCAACTACTGCTGCAACACTAAGCCCGGCCTTCGCTTTATTGACTGTCAAGTGCGACGTGATTTTGGTCCGGTACCAGATGGAGATCTTGATGGCTTCTGCCGTAGTGGATGCCCAAGCGACCGTGTCAGAGTGGCTCTTGATACCGCCTTTCACACCTGTACCTCAGAGCGAGGGGGAGGACAGGTTACCTGCTGCAAGACAGATTACTACGACGAGGTACTTGTCCCTAATGAGAAGCTCACGGCGTACAAGGAAGCCATGGCAGATTGGCTTGAGAACGAGACATGCCCGAACCCTTCCAAGGTATTAGGCAAGAGATCTGCGACAGACTTGGTCGTACGGGAGGATGATATTGACGACATTTCAACAAAGACGCTGCTCACAAACATTCTGGGCGAGATAGGAAGTCCGGTTATGTTAGCCCAAGAGACCAATATCTGGAACAGTGCTATTCGAACCCGGTACGAGTATTTGCAGATCACTTACATCAGCAGCTATATCAGACAGAACTGGCGCTTCGATTGGCAAGGCCCTTCCCAGTTGGCAATTGATATCTTGTGCGAGCCTCTTTATTGGGCTATGAAGATTAAGGCCTTCCTCACTGGCGATAAAGATGCTCTTGCAGGCGTGGGAAACTGTACACTTGCCTTTTGCGACGAGAAGGGATACTGCGAGAACTTGAGCGATGGTGAAGAAAGCCCTGATCTCAAACGACGCCACGCGCACCTGTACTATCACCCTGGCCGCCTGTCCCACTCACATCATCACCACAGCCATGGAATCCTTAAAGCCCGAGCCCCTAAGGATGTCAAGATTGTAGATCCTAGCGACCCAGCGACTACACATAAATACAGGATAGACATTCCTCCTGTGAGTTAACTCTGTCTAGCTACCTGACAGCCTTCGTTGCCTGCTAATCTGAGAAGCATCCTCCAATAGAAACACTGGCAGAAAGAAACGACAAGAACCCGACACTCAAGAACATCGTCGAACTAATAGAGCGCGATGAGTGCAGGAACGCTAAGATCATACCCAAGGCGTACCGCGACCCGCGTATTGTCAAAATAGAACGTACGTGCCCAGGCATTTGCCGATTCCCATCCAGGCTGAGCGTATTGCTGATACTTTTGCATAGTTGAACACGTGGTGGATAAATACATCCTGAAAACCTTCTTCGAAGGATCAGCTACTGGAACGTATGCATTGCCTTACCACTCACCGCCCGACCTAGAACCACGCTGACAGGGGTACCCAGACTTGCATCAGGCGTGAAATCCAAGTATGGCCCAATTCCCATCGCCTTTTGGGATCGAATGGAAAATATAGACATGAGATCAGAGCCCGGAGTACCGGCTCTTCCCGGAGGTAAAAAGACGGAGGAGATGAAGTTCATTATGAATCGCGCTTTTGAGTGTTTGGGAAGCACGGTAAACGATCAGGTCTTCATGATCGTTGAGGTGGATATCAATGAAGCTAAAGGCAAGGTAAGTCTACAATCACATTTACTCTTTCATATGCTCTGTTCTATATTCTTTTTTCTCTACTCTATCTGTTTTGCTCTCTTGCTTTACTATCTGGCTATCCCCTCAAAGGTGCCTAGAATATATACTGATTTATGCAGGCAATGCAATTGCATAGGATGGTTGCGGAAGATTATGTGTCGACCTTAGTTGGCACTGCTGGTAAGCCGAAAGAAGAAATCATAGGCGATAGGAGCAAGATGTTCTCCCGCATGCGCGCAGGCTTCAGCGTGTTCCGGTATCTGCAAATGGACGAAACAAAGAAGAAACTCAACAAAATTGTCAGGGACCTGCGAACGCAATTCAAGTTTGCGGAGTCAGTCTACAACAAGAAGTACCCTAATGAGAAAGTACAACTTGCCGATTATTGGATAGAATGGATCACGGATTACTATGCGCTCGTGTCGAAGAAGTTCAGGGAAAACATGTTGGCCACGGTCTCCGAGGTGCGGAAAGAGGTTGAGGGTAATAAGGAACGGTGGGCTGAGACCATGCGCATGAATATGCGATCATATGAGAAACAAGCAAGGGACGAGGCATCAATCTTCATCGACACTACGGGTTTTCCGAAAGACGACGACACAGAAATGGGAGGAACATGATACATTACTAGATAGAGGAGTCCATAGTTGATCCGAATTATGTATTCCCCGCAAGTCGTCCTCGCCTAGAAAGTGCGATCAGGTCTTTGACCAGTATAGTGGGAAAGCAATGGACGAACTTCCGAGAACCGTCCTGTACCTGGAAGAGAAACATCCCCGGGCCATACATAGGTATCGAGATCCTTCTCGGCCCCATTGAATCTGAGAACTGACTCCGTACCGAATGAATGCCGGCTGAGAAGCATCCATAGGTCTAGGAGATAGGCTGTTGGTATTCTCATCCAACCCCACCCCGAAAATCCCTCAGACCAACTCAGGGACACCGCCTTGACAACTGATTCGCCGTTTGTAATATCCTCCAAGACCGACTCATCAGCGACTAGAACAAAATCGTAGAGGTAACCAGTCATGGCTGGTTCAGCCCCCAAGTCCTCATCGCGACATAGTTCTCGGACACCTTTGATATCGAGGCCTTTCAGTAGCAATGGGTCTTCGCGTGCGTCAAGGCGAAAAAGACTCTTGATTAGCTGGACGTCGCTTTGGTCTACGTCCTTTTTACACTCAAAGTATCCAAATGCGAGCATAGTTTGCTGCTTCAGGGAACTCAGAAGTGTATTCCAATCACTATCAGACTCCAGGCTATAGTGCGTGCGGTAGATTGTGAAGCCCCAGTGACGGTAATACTGAAGATTGTCAGGATGCTTCCTGCTTTTGTGTTGGCGCTCGACACCTCGCGGGGGCGACCAAATATGCTCAATCAGTTCGTCGATGAGTGACTTCATGGTGACTGTGGAATTGCGGGATTAGGTAGCTGTGCTAAGAAAGGCTAAGCAAAAAGCCAGAAAGAAATTGTAAAAGACTTCGTTTGCTGTTGGCCCTTCGTGTAGAAGATTAAAATGGACAGTTGCCAAGATCCTACCCGGATCAGTGTTGATCCGCCTTAGGCCCACCTACTCTTCAAAGGCCCCCCCTTCGTAAGTAGTTATTGGCACAAAGTGACCAACAGTACAGAGTTGCTCAAACATGATCATAAAGTATGCGGTTGGCGAAACATTATCAGAAAAAGTCCAACCTCCGATAGACAACCAAAGCTCCTAGCCCATATATATTTTTAGTCCGGCGAGCTGAGCGTAAAACTCGATATCGGACGCATTGTCATGAGTGACCTTGAATTAGTGGTCTATACTGCCAAATTTTAAAGCAAATTTGAGTCAACGTACCTTGGGGAAGAGGGACGCTACTGTGCGTAGGTACTCCGTAATAAGTTGAGCTTCAGGTGGACTCTGCTCTGACTCTTCGCCGGAAGGTCTACTGTATTTGATTGGCTATCAATAGTCCAGCGCAGCCCCACTTATTGTTACATGTCAAGTTTGCGGACCTACGTACGGTTACTTAATAACTCCCATCGAACACTCGTCTCTATCCTTAATGGACTCATTTACTCAACAGCATGGTATCGTCCCTCCTCCCCAAGGCCGCATCACCTTATCATGAGTTTACTGAGAGACCCATGAACAGATTTAACTCATCTGGTCCTCCATTCGATGTGCCAGTAACTATAACTGATCGCGATGGTACTCTTATCCATGAACAAGAAGGCCAAGGTCTTCTTTACACGATAATCACCCACAACGACGTTGAATTTCTTGAGAAATACTTCGCTATTGATCCTAGAGCTATTCCAAACCTATTTAACCTTCCTGACGAAGATGAGGCCATTTGCGACTTCGGCGACTTGTTCCGTGCCGCAGCCGAAAGTGGCAGCCTTGGCACAATCCAAACACTTTTGAATTACACCACAAAAGACCTTGATGATGCGACGAAGCCTATCAGATTGATCAAGCCCAACTTCTTGCTCTTGAACGTGGCCGCCCAATTTGGTCGTATTGAGATTGTGCAATGGCTCCTCGACACCCAGCCATTATACGCCAGTATTCAAGATCGAGATTTCCAAGGCTTTACCGCCCTTGCAGCAGCTGCGGATCTCTTTTCATTTGGAAATTGTTTCTCCCCGGCCTGGGACGAGATCTGTTATGATAACAATGAGGCGATAATGAATCTACTGCTTGATCACGATGCCTGCGCTTCTGATGTTGTCCATCCGACGAACGATAAGCATCAAAAGCTCCCTAGCGTTCTTACCTTGGCTGCCCAGTGGGCAAGTAGCGATTTACTTGGAAGACTCATCGATGGCGGCGCCGATGTCCATTACAAGGTAGCAGTAGGCTCTTGGAACCTGGGCTTTGGGTCTCAAAGTGATTTACCTGTCGAGATAGAGGTCACAGCACTGTTTCTTGCATCCTTTCGCGCTAATCCCAATGGCGTCAAGACTCTGGTTGATCGCAGAAGTGATGGATTTAGTATCGCAGACATGGTGTGCTCTCCAGACTGCGTTGGAAGCCTCCCTCTTCACTGGGCGGCTCGAAACCAATTACCAGATTCGCCTGGTGCCATCCCCCTATCGATGCTACATGATAGAGCTGGAAAAGTCTACCGCACTATTAGGCAGCTCTTGGAATTTGCTCCCACTACAGTTAACATTCAAGATAATGATGGAAATACGGCATTGCATTACGCCACCGAATTCTTCAGTAAGAATGGCAAGATATATACTTCTATCTCTGAACTCCTATGCATTTGGGGCGCTGATGCAAGCCTTCGAAATCATAAGGATCAAACACCTCTGCATACCCTGTTCTATGCCTTCAATCAAGACACACCTGTTGACCCAGTCCTCATATCCCTTTTACTCGCCCACGGTGCCAAGGCTACAGATGTTGATGATGCTGGAAACACTCCTCTTCAGATTGCGCGCTTGGGCGTCAGAACTGGTAGCGATGCTTTCTCACTCTTGCTTCAGCATGGTACTGTCCCTGTTCTGCAAAGTTGCGAGCAAAGGGACGTCTACCCATAGGGTGGCTCATTTTTATTGTCCCGTAGAATTAGGCACCGAAGCGGAAGAAAATACGAGGGTACAAGATGATATAATAGATATAATGATGACGGTTGGAGGGGCACACTGGATGGATCTCGAAAATGAAGCTCTCAAGTCCACGCGACAGAGGTATCGAGACTCCAGGGCTGAGTGGTTGGCGCGTAGGCGTGTGGAATAAATGTATTAGTAGCGGAGTCGCTCTGAGGCACCGATGATCACCGTAGCAAGTCATTATGCAGAGAGCGAAGGAGCAACATACTGTAGCGCATCAGATTAAAGCGGTAACCCAGAATCTTGAACGTATAGGTAACTAACCTCTAAGAGTTCGATACTTGATCTACCAACATACTCCGACGTCAAGCACAGGTCCATATAAAACCCAACGAGTACATAACACGTATCCCAAAGGCGAGTGCATTTAGCCCCAACCGCTGGATTCCACTTAAGCAGTTGGGCCGTGGTGATATGATTCTACTGCTGGGGCCCACTTCTTAAACCCAGTTTTAAGTATAAGTACCGACCAGAGCCCGCACATGTTGTGACCCCATCAAACCCTTTCTCGATTCTTGAATATCTACCTCCAGTCATGCCTCTGCCGCCACTTCCCAACTACAAGTTTTCCTATGAGGAATTCACTGTGGATCCAAACCAAGAGTCTGAAGCTGATGGATTTGGGCGCCTTTACGCGACGCCCATGACAATGACTACTGAGGATGGTTCCATTCTATATGAAACTGGAGACTTTAACCTACTGTTTCAGATCATTTGCTCAAACGATACAAAGACCCTTGAGCGATATCTGGTCGCCGCACCTAGGATCATCCTAGAGGCATCGAAAATTTTGATAGGGTATCAGGGCATTCACGATAATGAAGATTGCCTTCTGGAAGCAGTCCAGACTGGATGTCTCAATGCACTCAAAATGCTTCTATCTCACTTCATGCAATTGCGGGAGGGGGATCTTATGCTGCAGGTCAGATTCAAGCAGCGGCGCTACAAGCTGCTCAACCGCGCGGCAAAATGGGGCCATATCGAGGTGGTGAAGTACTTACTCGACAATCAGCCACTGTACGCCGACATCCATGCACGGGGCTCTCATGGTCACACTGCATTACTGTGTGCTGCAGATCTCTACTGTACCTAGTTTCTGGGTCCTCCCAGTGGAGAGAGAGCCAATGCAACCAAAAACGAAGCAGTGATGAATTTGCTGTTGGATCGAGGTGCCTGCGCTTCTGATTCCATTCCCTTCTGGAATCAAAACGGGAAACTAAGCACTACAGTTTTGTCTTTGGCTGTGAAGTGGGCAAGCCCAGAGTTGATAAAGAGGCTCATCGCTAGTGGTGCCGATCCTAATACCAAGGTGATGAGAGGCCCTGGGGGGCTGATTTTTTGGAATCAACATGATCCGTTCAACGAATTACCTGCGCTGTTTGATGCCTGCACTCACGCCAACTTCAAATTCGTTGAGACTCTGATTAATTGCAGAGACATTGCCGTTGGTGTTACCGACGTCTTGTTCACTCGCGACAATCGAGGAAGTATTCCTCTCCACTGGGCTACTCAAAGTAGACTGCCAGCCGAGTTCGACGGCTTCCCTGACCTCGAAGAAATAGCCCAAAACATCGCAAACACCGTCGAACTACTCCTCAGTCTTGACCCTGCGACAATCAACGTTCAAGATAATGACGGAAATACACCTTTACACTATGCTACCCGGTCAGAAGGCCGACATAATAAGTTATATATACCCGTCTTTAAGCTTTTATGCGACAATGGTAGCGATGCTAGTGTACGCAATAAAAATGACGAAACACCTCTGCACACCTTGTTTCTTCTCCATCGAAACAACAACTCATTCACCGACCAAGATCCTGTCGACCCAGCCGCTATATCAATAATGCTCGCCCACGGTGCAAGCCCCACGGATACCGACAATGCTGGAAACACGCCATTGCATCTTGCGGCTTCTAATCTCCATTGGACCGAAGCATTGTTGTATCTTCTCGAGCGTGGTGCTGATCCTGCTCAAAAGAATCTGAAACAAGAGACGGCTCTTCACAGAGCTGCTTGCGGTAGTTATAAAGGGACTCATCTCCTCGTTAGATCCGATGAAAGGATCAGAGCCCAGGAGAATGTGCTGGCAATCTTAGTGAAGGCTGGAGGAGATGAGTTGATGGATCAAGCAGATGCGGAGGGGAAAACTCCGCGACAGATTTGCAAGAGCAAGAGGGATGAGTGGATATTGAGGGATATACGTTGAGTCAAGAGCATATGTCAAGGTTCGTTGCCTCAGTTACGAGAGACTTGAATAGGGGTCGTATTTAGTAGTAAGGATTTTAGCTGTGTTAGTGGAGAGGCTCAGCCATTGCATAGATTCGTTATGTATTCTCGTTTTCAAAACTGACTGACTGTTCTTCTATCTTCATAAAAACCTTTGAGGTTAGTTCGTCAAGTTCCCTTACCACATCTCGTCCTTTTGGTTACGGTAGTAGCCCCACTGGCGAATTTCCGAACATCCCCCAGTACAGAGAAGTGCCACATCCCCGGGCCAGATATGATCTGCAAGCTCTGCTTCAGATCCTCGAAATCTAATACAGAACTCAGTCCGGTATTTATTCCACATCAGAAATGTCCATAACTCCAACAGATAGCCCGTTGGGATCCTTGCCCATCCCCATCCCGAGTGACCATCAAACCACGACAATGAGACAGCCTTGACAATGGATTCACCTTTTTCTATGTCTTATAAAACGGCTTCATCAGCGAGCAAAACATAACTGAACAAATAATCTGCCATAGCTCGACCCTCGTGGGGCCGTGTGCTCACGCGGTACTTGGAGGCTGCTTTCTCCACAACCTCAGTCTCTTTGAGCTTTTCAGCGTTACAGAATTCCCGAAGACCTCGAGCATTGAGACCATCCAGACCGGGAGGATCCTCCCGGACATCAAGATAAAACAATTCCTGAACTCGTCGCAGGTCCTCTTGGTTTGTTTCCCCGTCGTCCTCAAATGCTCCAAATGCGAGCTTAGTCTGATGCCGCAAGGAGGATAGAAGCGCTTGCCAATCCTTATCAGACTCTTCACCATAGTAGGTACGGTAGATGGTAAAGCCCCATTTGCGGTAGTGGTGAAAGTTGTCAGGGTTTTGCCTCCCTCCTGGCTCCAGCTTGGTCCCGCGCCGGGTCACCCAAACCTCATCTATCATTTCTTTGATAACGTCAGACATCTTGACAGAGCTTGATTATGAAGATGTGTCTGGTAAATGTTTTACTTTCTGAGCTGCGTGTTACAGAAGTCGATTGACAGGTGGCGAAGAAAAGGGATCTGCTCGGATGTGAGCTTGAGAAGAAGGCTTTAGCAGAAACTGGGAATGGCTGTGATGATGTGATTGAAGCAAGAATAAAATCAGAACCAAATCATGTTGGTTGACATTCTTTTAGATAAGGTAAGTCACGTTGAGATAGCACGGTGCTGTTGATTCGGAGTATAAATTCCCCGACGTAGGCGAATGTGGAGTGATACAGGGACGAAAGATATAGCGAAGTCATCATCATTCATAGACAAGCTACAAATCTTTTAAATTCTTTCGTTAAGTCTCTGCGTATTTAAAGTCATTCATATAAAACTAGATGTAACTTAGCCAACTGCCATGTAGCCACACGATTAAATTAGCAAGTGTACTGTCCTTACTTGCTACATAGACTAGCAGCTCCACTCCAAATACATGCCGATGACTCATTCCCAGCAGCTGAGGGATTCTAACTATAAGTACTTAGTGATCGGTGTTTATGTATAAACAGGCTCAACCTCCCTTTAATCGCTTAAAGACTTAAGAATAATGCCGCCCACTCTGCTCAAAGATAAATCGCCCTACAGCAACTTCATTCGGGATCCGAACGAGCATCATAATGACGAAGAACTTCCATACACACCAATGACTATGCTTGATCACAATGGGTCTGTTCTGTGTGAAACAGATAAATTCGACCTCCTTCTTGCAATCATCCATCGGGATGATGTGACGACTCTGGAGCATTATCTCGACATTGCGCCGTGGGTTATCGAAGAAATAGAGGAGCTCCCTCTCTATTACTCCTTCTTCTACACGGCCGTATCAAACGGAAGCCTTGGTGCACTCAGGACGCTCTTTTGCTACTACGAAAGAGTCATAGGACCGATCCAAAGAATCACTTTTCGAAAACGCGGTTTCACCCTGCTCAACTAGGCTGCTAGACGCGGCTATCTGGACATAGTAGAGGATTTACTCCAAACCAGCCATTGTACGCTGATATTTATGAGCGAGATTATACAGGCTGCACTGCTCTTGCTGCTGCCTTGGATCCATATTCTACTAGATATATGGAACCGTTTAATTGGCAGCCTTCTGTTGATAAGAGCGAAGCTGTGATAAATCTATTGTTGGATTGGGGTGCCTGTCCTACTGACGTGGTTGCACGGGCTCACGAAGACTCACCATGCAAACCTGAAACGGTCCTTTCAATGGCATCCGAGTGGGCAGGTGCTGAGGTGATCGAGAGGCTCGTTAACGGTGGCGCAGATGTCCATGCCCAATTCACGAAAGACTCGCTGCAACTACGCCTGTACGACGAGCAAGATTATATCGTCGACAACATCACTGCAATCCACATGGCTTCTTTTCGTGGCAATTTTCTTGCTCTGGAGACTCTACTCGCCCATCATGGGGACGCTATCAGCGACCTGGAAATGGTGTCCTCTTGTGATAGTCGAGGGAGTACACCTCTTCACTGGGCTACACGGACTAAGCTGTTTAACCCCAATTCATACGAAAGAGCACAGAACATCAAAGCAACCATCGATCTCATTTTGGATATGTGTGCTGGAATAGTTAACATTCAAGACGCTGAAGGGAACACAGCCTTACACTACGCCTCTCAATACTTCGGTGGAAATGGAGAGGTCTTTATGTCAATTTTTGAAACGATTTGCGACAAGGGTGGAGACGCAAGTATACGCAATGCTCGGGGAGAAACGCCGCTTCATACTGTGCTCTCCAGTGCAGAAGAGACAATCGACCACCAGATCTTATCTCTCCTGCTTATCTATGGCGCAAAGATCAACGATATTGATCATGCTGGAAATACCCCTCTACATATTGCAGCTCGAAGACTAGATAATCATGGCGTAATAGCTTTCCTTATAACACAGGGCGCTGATACTGCTATTCGTAATTCCAAAAATGAGACACCTGTCCATTTAGCCGCTTTCGGGAATGTACTCACCTCGGGTATGGCAGAGAAGGTTGAGACGCAAAATCTGGTTCTCGCAACTCTAATAAGCGCCGGAGGAATTGGGCTGATGGATCTTCCCGATGCAAATGGAAAAACACCAAGGGAAATCTGCAAGGAGCGGAGAAGTAACTGGAAGAAAGATGAGGACAGGGACGGTCTGATAAACAGACGCCGTGAACGAAATCTGGCAAGTGCCACAACTGTTAATCCCGGATGTTATCATAAATAAAACTTGGAAGATTACGCTTTATCTCGGGAACTTTGTGTTCAGTGGAGTATCTCGCTCAAATCGAAGTAGTGCTGTTAGTGCCTTAACTCAAGTTCAGCTTCTCGCTATAGGGTATGGAACCTTCCTACCCCTCATCTTATCCCAATTACTCCCTCGCCTAGCAGGGTAACATTGCAACAGAATGCGACATCACTTCCTGGTAGTCCTTGCTAGAGTTACAAGTTTTGCGAGTGCGGAGCTGTGGCCATACAGTCGCTACGAGGGCTCTCATAATGCTGGCTTCGTCACGAATCCGTCTCGCCATCCATCGCGAGAGTCGGTTCAAGAGCCGACTGATTATTTCGTCCAATGGCTTGAAAGTCTTGTAGAAACGGACGACAATCCCGAGTTAAAAGATGCTTTCGAGAATGGTACCATCTCGGGCAATGTTAGTAGGATCGAAGATCTATCCGGCCAGATTGCCACTCCACAACGACCAGTCATTGGCCCGCAAATCCCAGACCAAGGTCCTGATAATGATCCAAAGGTTGAGCCGAGCCTGCTTTTCAGAAGCCTGAACTATGAATTGGAACAGGATTGTCTCTGTAACAAATCGACTTGGTGGTTTCGAACATATGAAGGGCACTGCAATTGGCTGAAGAAAGGCGAAGCAGGTGAAGGTTCAGTTGGATCGGCCAGACCACGCGATTATCAACAATACACGTATGCCGACGGCATATCCAAGCCGCGAGAAGGACCAAACCCACGAGCCGTTAGCAATGCATTCTTCAAGAGGAGAAAGAAGATCTACTATGACCATACGCCTCTCCTTCTGGGGCTCATCGAGGTGAGACTATTTCATCCGTGACGTCTAGATCCTCAATTTTGACTTATCCAGTTCATTATGCATGACGTTACATACAGCCAAGACTCTACCGATGAGTTTATTGACGTCCCGATGCCAGAGGATGAAGAGAGATTCCTGCTGAGCACCACACTTAGAGTGCCAAGAACAGCGTCAATGCCCGGGACCGGCACTTCAAGAAGCAACCCTCGTGAAAACATGAATATGGCAACAACGTGGCTCGACATATCATCGTTGTATGGCAGTAATGTCGATGTAGCACACCGATTGCGATCAAAAGTTGATGGCAAGCTTCTGACTCAAGAGGTCCAACCGCCTGGAACCAGGGCAAAAGCCTCTTACCTTCCCTTCAACACCATTGGCGTACCTACTAACACGCGCCCTGGTGTTGAGCCAGAAGAATTGTTTGCTGGAGGTGATCCCCGTACCAATGAGGACTGGCTAGTCCTCGGTATTCATACATTACTACTTCGAGAGCATAACAGGCTCTGCGATATTCTCAGAAAACAGAAACCGACTTGGGACGATGAGCAGCTTTATCAAACTGTACGAGTGGTCATGTCCGCAAAACATGCTTTGATAGCCAACGCGTACCAAATGGCCTATTGGACCGATGAGATGCCATGGCCAAGAGATGACGGATTCCCACTTTATCGTCAGATGTTTGGTGAGAATGCATTGGAGATAAACCCTGCCAACACCTATCCTTGGCCGCTTGTCACTAAGAATGGAAAGCCAATGACGGTCTCAGCAGAGATGGCTGTCGTCTATCGCTTCCACGAGTTCATCATCCCGAGTTTCCCGATCAAGGATCAGAATAATGCGACATTATGGGAGCAGAATTTGTTCGATACGAGCTTCAACAGCACTGGGTTTCTCGACGTTGGGTTGGAAAGAATTCTTACGGGGGCATTGTCCTCGCATATTCCCAACTTCAAGTCTGGAGTAGATGAGAGTTTTAGAAGCGCTGGACTTTATCGCGGCCGCCCCTTCGACATTGTCGTCTCAAGCATCGTGCATGAACGAGAGCAAGGGTTGCCAACGTTCAATCAATATTTTCGCGAGTATAACGCTCAGGATCCAGAGGTTGTGGTCCCGATCCGTGACACTTGGGATAAGTTTTCGACTGATCCCGAAGTCATCCAAAATCTGAAGAAGCTCTACAAGCACCCTGACGATGTCGACCTCGTCGTGGGCTGCCAACTTGACGAGGAATGGTTCCCCAGTACTACCGTTCCCAAATCAGCCTTGATAATCAGCCTCTTCAGCTTATTTGGTATGGGAAACTCGGACCGCTTCTCTATCGGCTTCGCGATGATGCGCTGTCTTCTTGTGGATCGCCCGTGGGATTGCCATCCCAGCAACGCTTTGGAAGATCTGATATGGGAGCGGAAAGACGTGCCTGGATTTCCCAACTTCAGGTTTTACAGCGACTTCTGGGTCAAGGAACTGGATCTGCCAGCCCATGGGACGAATCTCTTGTGGCGCTTGATCACGGAAAACTCGGAGATCAATTGCGCTCAGAGATCGCCTTTGTTCCCTCCTGACAAAGATACCAACCCGATTCTTTGTTCAAGAGAAGCAGGTAAAGTGTCTTCATTGGCTGTGCTATTTAGCCTCTTCCAAATTGTCCTATCCCTATTGAGACAAAGCCCTTATAGCTTCGTCGGTACAGTCATCATCACTGTGGGGAGTGGCATCATAGCAACTATGCAGTACTTAAGATCGAAGACTATAATTAAACGCAGATAATTTAGTGGAAAGAGGATTTGAATATAGGATTCAAACCCTAAGAGCCTGGCTTGGTGACTATTGGTATTAATAGAAATAAGGTTAACTCTAGGATACTAAAGAGCAAGCTGTACTTGATGCCTTAATGATAAGCAGATCGGGAGGTACTGCAAAGATTTGATGAATATAAGAGACTGGTCTAAAGAAGAAATGATGATCTACCTGGATTGAGATAAAACAGAGAATGATTACATTGAGTACGGGCAAGCTTTGGAGGATGCCTCAGCGAGATATCGATAAATGAGAAGCCCTGTATACTACCACAGAACAGGAAGACAGTTGCATTGTAGTTCAACTCTGACTATGGTAGAATTTACAATTAACTCGTGCTTTGGATACGTCAAGGCTATGTATAAAGTCAAGGCTATAAGTGTCAAAGATGAAGATTTGCTTTGAACAAACATTTGTAATCCGATAGCTGATTGAGCTGTACCAGATACGGTAACTGGGACAGTGCCCACCCGGCGCCCGCCCTTTCAGTCGCGCGCGGCAACTCCCAGGAGCAGAAACAGGGCGGGTTATGGTTAGCTCAGCGCCAGCCGGCGCGATAATTAAGTCCGGAATGGCGTATGATCCACCTAAACCTCTGTTCTGATGATCCCAGCGGCAGACTTGTCGAAATTGATTTGTAATAGAGCGCTGATTTATTACCTCGGGATTTCTTAGTTGACCGGTTTGCCTCCAAGAAAGAACTCCATCAACCATGGGTACCAATTTGGCAAAGCCCGGGGAAATCCCTGGGGCCAAGGAACTTCCGCCGTTATCGAAAGATGAGTTCGACGTCTGCAATCGTCTTGCAATGCGAATGGATCGATTTGTAGGTCATGTCCTTGCACATTAACCTTTACAAATGCGCCATTCTAATAACAACAAGCATGACCATTTCCGATACATGTGGGAAATGCTCTACCTTGCCGCTGATACCCAGCAACGGCCATCAAATCTTTCGCTGAAACAATTCATTGATACAGGTAAGCGCTCCTCCTACGCATCGCGGTCTGCACTAACAGCTTGACTGCGCAAGGTATCCGATTTATCGATAACCTCGAAGGACATCACGGAATCGAAGAACGGTATATCTTTCCGATACTTGCGAAGAAAATGCCAGAGTTCAGGTCCAATACGCGCAACCAAGCGGCCGCCGAGTTACTCCAGCAGCACGAGGAGATCCATAGTGGAATAACAGCAATGCGGCAGTACTTGAAAGCGTGCCGGTCCGGTAATATTGAGTTTCGGTTTGGTGTTCTCCGAAGCAAGATGGAACCATGGGGCAAGACGCTGCTGAAGCACCTGGATCAGGAAGTCAAGACATTGGGAGCTGAAAGCATGAGACGATACTGGACACTCGAAGAGATGGACGAGTTTCCATTCTAGCCTTGTCACAATTTAATATTAGTTGTTATCGCAATCAGGCCACTAAAATGGCCAGTCGCTACCTACTTGATTGCCGTGTCACTGACTATAATAAGTTGGGATAAGCTGTGAACTTCGAACCCCAAGATATATATGTTTTCATCTTCTTTTGATATTAGCCTCGGTCAACTGGCGGGAAGAGAAGATGGTGGCAGCATTGGCGGAGGTTGAAACATAATTGCTGCTGTGTCGAGTCAAAACCTGAATAGGTTTTAGAAGCTATTATTAAGAAATTGGAGATAATAGTGATGGCAGATACATACATTTCTTCCTAATCAATGATATCCCTGGTGCAACTAAACCATAATAATTTGCTAGAGTACCCGATCTTTTCAGCGTTGGGTAAAAGCACTATCCTGCTTCAGCCACTCCCGGAACCCCTTCACATTAGGGTGAATACTTTTGGCCAACTGAATATCGGCGTTATATCCTTCTGCCTTGAAACAATCCAACATAGTGCCAACCTCCTTTACTCCAGCTTTCAACGCTTTGCCCAGCACGCGAAACGTCGTTCCGATGCCATGGCCTGTGACCTGTTTAAAGACCAGATTCATATCACTGAATGTGAGCTCTTCTCCAGCGATACCAATTGCTTTCTTTGCGAAACGCTCGTGGTCGTTAAAAACCTCGGCTGCAAAGACGCCGATATCTGAAGTGGCGATCCATTGCAGCGGTTTATCCTTCATTACGTCGCGGTAACTGGTCATAAAGACCTTGGCCTCAAAACCAGGCGCAATGTTGTCAAAGAAGATGACAGGTCGCAGGATCGTCCAACCCATGCTGTTTTTGCCATTTGCGGTTTGATCCCGAAGGTACTTTTCGATCTGGTTCTTGACCTGGAAATGCGGGATATTGGTCGGGTTGTTCCACGAGTAATCGTTGCCACCGCGGTCGACACTCGAGTAGACAAACTGTCGCACGTTGTGCTTGATTGATTCATCGATCAGCCCCTTGCCTTGTCTCAACTCGGTCTCGGAAGTCGCTCCGTTGCCCACAACAGCTTGGACAGAAAAGACACCCCAAATCGGCCCTGAGGCGACCTTCTCAGTGGCTTTGAAGAGACTCGATACGTTGTCGAGATCACCCTCAACGACCTTGACGGAAGAAGACTTCTGGGCCAAGCGAAGGGCAGTCGGGGACTGCGCATTGCGCGTGACGGCGAGGATGGTGAACTTGGAGGGATAGCGATTGAGTAAGGCCTGGACAACGGCGCCGCCTTGCTTGCCTGTGGCGCCAGTGACAAGTATATTCCGGGACATTGCAGTTCGCGGTACCAAGATACTAAAAATGTGACTACACAAGGCTTTGTCTCTGTAGATCTAAACTGTTAAGAGTCTGAGCTTTTATCTTGAGAAGCATCTGAGGCCCGTTTACCTATTTTTTGTCTTTCTTTCTAATCAATCATCCACATTACGAAGCGAGGTTACCTCGGACAATTGGATTTGTCTCGAAGGGTCGTCCAGAACGATGGGGATAGTGTTCAGTGGGCACCGTGTTCATCCGCATTAGGAAAGCCAATTATTAATATGGCATGATAACAACGTACCGCGCGGTTAAGTCAGGTACAACAACCCTTGCGATTTGGTGCTAAGCTAAGCCCACTTGGAAAATCGAGATTGTTCTCGTGCGTGCCTGTGCCGATTCGAATTGGGTTGTTCTACCAAAGGGTCCGGAATGTCCGATTCTGCTTCCCTGGCTCCCTGTTTCTTAATGATCTTTTGCCAATAGATAACCCTAGCTATAGCGCCCCCAGACCTACTTATACTGCATAAGAAAACACTGGCCATACCGGTCGCAGTCAGCGATTACGTTAATAAAAGTCATGTACAAATGACTACCTTCACATTTCACATTGAAAGAGGTACCAGCAAACTTGCTTGGCATTACTACCTACTCCTTGCTACTGACAGGACCAAGAGGTCATACACAATGACCTAGTAGATAAAATATCAAAACTCCTAACCTATCCGTGATAAAAACATTCACTCGGTGATTTCCTTGCGCATCACTTTCGTATCGCCTCGTGCTCATCAAATCCTCCACTTCAGGAACAATTCCACTTTGGGTCAAGTACACTCTCACTTCTTCGCATTTGCCTTCTTGGCCTTCTTAGCCGCCTTCTTAGCAGCATTCTTCTTCTTCTTTCGGTCGGCCTTGGTCTTTTCCTTGGTGTCGATGGGAATCTCGTTCATGTTCTCTGCGATGTCCTCTGCAATGTCCGCCGTAATATCCTCCGCGACGTCCTCTGTCTTCTGTCTGTCGAACTCCTAGTTCTCGTTGACCATCTCGACAAACTCTTGCTTCTCCTGCTCAAGCTGGTCGACCATCTTGACGCGCTCCATCAAGAAAGCCTCGAATCGATCGGCAGCGAGATCAGAAGTGAGAGTGGGATTCTCGCTCTCTCGGAGATCATTGATCAGAGTGGCAAACTTGTCGTTGCCCTTCTTGATGTTGGTGATGATGTAGTCATGGCCTTCGATCAGAGCCTTGAGTCGTTCGTACTCGGCATCGACTGGAGCAGCAGAGTCGTTTTCCTTCTCCTTGTTCTTCTCGTACTCCTCTTCGATCTTTTCTGCCACCTGAGCCTTCCAGTCTTGCATCATATGCTTGAGAGTTTGGACATGGTGGTGAGTAGTCAGGAGGAACTGATAGCGGTAACGAGCCTTCAGTTCGATGTTCTGTTCCTTGACGGAATGTAGCTCCTCCTGTTCAGTTGCCTGAGCTTCGACAAGGCTCAGACGCTCGCGAACACGGCCAAGCTCGGCTTCCTTGGCAGCAGCCTCAAATTCAGCAGAGTGCCAGTTGCGGTTGGCTTCGTCGAGGCTTTGGGAGTAGTGCTCTTTGAAAGACTTCTCGTACTCAACTTGAGCCTTGATCTCATTGTTTTCTGACTCGAGAGCCTGAATCTTGGCAGCGTATTCAGACTCGGCAGAGTGCAAGTTGCGGCTGGCTTGGTCGAGGCTGTTGGAAAGCTGCTCCTTGGAGGACTTCTCGTGCTCGAATTGAGCCTTGAGCTCGCTGTTCTTGGACTCTAGAGCTTGGACCTTGGTAGCAGCCTCAAGTTCAGCCGAGCGCCAGTTGTTGTTGGCCTCATCAAGGTTCTTGGAGAAGTGCTCCTTGAAGGACTTTTCGTACTCAACCTGAGCCTTCAACTCGTTGTTTTCGGACTCAAGGGCTTGAACCTTGGCCCGCATCGCGTTGAGGTGAGCGATCATCTGATCAAAGACCTTGGGTTCCTTTAGCTCAGGATGATTGATTGGAGATTGGAGGCATACCTTGTCAGTGTTTTCAGTGTCAACCTCAGTAGAGGTAGTGTTGGTAGTCTGCTCGAAGGCGGGAGCAAGAGGGTTGAGGGCAACAGGTTTCTTATCCTCAGAGGAGATAGTAGAAACCGACTCCGGAGTAGGAGAGCGGGGAGCGGTCAACTCAAGGAAGGCCATGTCGAATTGTTGATGAGATGATGTGCTTGTTGTGCTTGTTGTGGATCGTAGTTGTGTGTGAGTGTGTCTTTGTTGACAACGACTGTTGGTAAGATTTGTGGTCGATGGTGAGTTGGTGAAGGTGAAGGTTGATGTTGGTTATTGTTGATGAAGAAGGGAAGAATGGATGAAAGTTGTTAAGAAGATAGATGAAGAAAGTGAAGATCGAAGATCGAAGATCAGTTGGAAGGAGGAAGAGAAAAGAGAAGGAAAGAGATCGAGCAGGTCAAGGTTTTATTGGGAGGTTTTGGGTGTTGACTCTGAGCCACTGGCAGCTGTCTGTTGTCCTGTTTGGCACTGGACGTTGACCATTGACAGTGGCAGAGCTACACGTCGCGTTTTCTGGCGTGCTGGCAGAAGGCATGTTCAGCATGGCAGTTAAGCATGAGTGTCAACACAATCATGAACGCGGCGCGTACACCGACGCGGCACTGCGACAGATGTGTTCACCTCTGTTGCGAGAGCCCCGAGCAATTTTCTGACTCTGATTTACATAAGATTCACTACTCTTCAGGATATCCAAGTTATAGCGCAGAGTGTTCTTTGAACACGATTGGTATGTGACGAGTTCAGATTCTCATTGACCTCGCACTAGGCAAACGCCTCAAATTTATTTACAAATTCCCAGAATTTTCAGAACTTTCGCCAAAAAGATAATCTACAACAGCTCGTTCCCAATACACCGATGCCTTATACCACGCGACCCGAGGTACACTGCCACGATTGATCCCCCTTATCGCTTCAGCCAATGCCGGACCCCCTCCCTCGTCCCGAATCTGCCGAAGAGAGTATTGATATGTCTTGAAGGAAAACACTAACGTGTTATCATTTTCCATCAACCTATGAAGCGTTTGCCTCTCACATCGAACATTCATTTCTTCAGGGTCTAGATCAGTATTCTTCATCGTCAACACCCCAATACCAAGCCAATCAAGAACCGTCCTGATCCAGTCCATCAGACACAGGGGGAGAACTGTCAAAGGGTTCTCTCTCGGTGCGAAGAGATCGCGGTCAATGGATATGTTCCAGTTGTGACGCTTGACAGCTTTGCCCTTTGGAAGGGACGTGAAGTAGCGATTCATTGGCCTCTCAAGCTTTTCTTTGTAACCAGGGACTGGGCCATGGATCTCTGCTAGGGTTTTATTCAACTTGAAGGCAGGGTTGAAGGAGAAAGGATAGCAATCAATGAGTGCTCTTGCAACGTAACTGTCGCCTTGCCGTTGGAGAAAGAACAGCTCTGCATCGATGTTTTCAGCCAGGAGGCGGAGAATCGCCTTGACGTCGTTCGGCGGGTCCAGGGGAAGCTTAGTTGATGCTGGACCAAAGAGTGTGTCGCCTTTGGAACGGTAGAGAGACGGATACCTTCGCGGCAGGTATGTTCTTACCATCCACACGTAAAACTCCTTGACGGCAGCCTCCGAACAGGGCTCAGAAGCAATGACCATATCGGAATGTTCAGCGACAATCTTTCGTCGCAGGGCAAGCCTCTCCTCTAACGTTTTGTCAATCGGTATGATGTCCGAGAATGTGCATTTCTCAAGACCCATCGTGAGGTGATACTTGGGCTTCCATGGCCGTGTCTGCACTGGCTCGGCTTTGTCTAAGTCAAAGTCTTCCAGTGGCTCGATGTCGTTGTAATCGCTCGGTAACTCTTGGTGGTGGTGGTGCTGGCTTTCTTGGGGAAGGGAGCTTTTCTGATGTCACGATATCAATGTTTTGTTACTAGCATGTTCCTCTGTGATCACAAAGGGCACTTCGCCTGAAGAGACGTACTGGTTCATGTTGTTTCTTGTTACTCCACCATACAAGGGTCGCGGTTAGTGCGGCCAACAACACAGAATACCAAGAGTATAAGTCAGCCATTATAGGAGGTAGGAAACGATGGAGGTGATTGCGGAAGATAGGCTTCTAAATGCATGAAGTTTCTGTTATTATTGATATACTTCAATGTCACGTTATATGTATCAGGCAGCCGAGAAGTCAATCATCTTCTTATCTCGAGATTCGCGAACATCAAACGCGGGGTAAATGATGAAGCAGGCCCGCGGACGCCGCGGCGCCCGAATTGCGGCGCCAGATACCCGGCACTCATCAGCTTGTGTCCTTGCCTAAGCCTATGGCATGGAGTGATATTGAACGTTCGTTCTTAGTAGAGTCTATACCAGGCAATTCAGGTATGTTAATTGATGCATTTTAAGAGAAGTCCAAAGTAATTAATAAATTGATATCTCTAAGCACTACTGATGGCAGTAGTACTCAGTGCTTTAAAGAAACTAAATATATACTTAGGATACTAACCTGCTAACTAGGTAGTATACCCTTTGTCTATTGCACAAGTAGCCAGCGCTGCGTTAGAAGAAACAGTTTCATGCTGTTATTTGAATAGTAAATCTTGCATCGTTATGCCCAACTTTGGCATTCTCACCATCGCCCCAAGGTAACACTCTTAATAGAACATAAGGGCCAAGCCAACAACAGCCCAGGTCACACAACGATGTCGGCTAGCTCCTGAAACAGTCATTGGCGTGGATCCTTCTGCGCCAGACTGTGACGGCACATTACTTTGAGCTGTCTCGTCCATTGCTCCTGTCTTGCTGGCCGAAGTTGAGGCGTCGTGGTTGCCGTGATGAGTTGTCCATGATGAAGGAGTCTCCAGGCCGTTGGACTCCTTTGCTGGGATCTGTTCGTGATGAAGAGAAGTCGTGGGTTGGGATGCCGAGGCCTCGGGATGATCATAGCCGTCAGATCCGGATTCAGATGACGGCTCTCCAGTCGCCTTTTGTGGTCGGTCAGTGGCCTTCGCCCCTCCTGCTGAAGCCTTGCCTTCTTCTGAGATCGTTTCTGGCCCTGCTACTGGGACGACCTGGGATGGCTGGGTATTGTCTGACCCAGAGTCGTTTTGTGGCACCGCTGTTGGCTGCGCTAGGTAATAACTACCATGGCCGGAATATGTCTGAGACCATATCCAGCCAGAAGGATATTGGACTGCAGACTGTCCAGCACTGGTCATTGTCTCACAAGCCTTAGGGACTGTGAGGGTGATGGAATCCTTCGCATAGGATGCGTCAGTGCTACAGGGAGAGGTCACAGTTGTCATATCGACGGTTGTGTAGGTCTCGTGCTCACAGCCACAGGGGCTGTATACCAGAGTGACTGGTACACAAGTGGTAACCACGGATAAGCTTGTATCAACTGTGACATATGTGACGCTTGTTACTGTGTCTGTAAGTGTAGTGCGAGTGATGCAAGCAGTGTTGATAGTCGTAGCAGTGGCGACATCGGTGAGCACAGCACTCTCAGATGTCTTTGTAGTCGAGTCACCGGAGGTGAAGGCCGCGTTGCTGTTACTTGTGGTCGCATGTGCAGTTGATGTTGGCAACGTAACGACTGGGGAAGAGGAGGTCAGCGTGGAGGAAAGAGATGCCGAGGATGCTGAAGATGCTGAGGCTGAGAGGCGGTAAAGCGTCAAGAAGAAGTTAGATGGGATGGATCGACGTCTTCTGGTCTGGGCGTTGTTATCGCCACCACAGAATACAGTGGAATCGCCTGGACACCTGATATTACACCTTGTATCTGCGATGAATTCGGTACCAGAAAGATTGTCCGCTTTGTAGCAAGATCTAAAGACAATTAGATGAAGGACTCTCACATATTGTGTGACTTACCGTCGGTGAACACCAATATACTGGCTGCCGGCCCCAATTTCAATACATTTCTCTACTGTCATATCTGATGCAGTGCCAATTTCTGTGAATGACGGGAACTCCTCCTGCGATGATAGGCAGCCTAGATAGTCGTACATATCCAGATGGGGAACGTTGGAGGCAGAACTTGAAGCAGTTGAAACAGTCGTGGAAGCCGAGGCGTTCGTAGGGTTGGCGGTCGAGGTCTGGAACGCAGTGGTGATAGTGGATAGAGAGGTTGATGCAACGATCGTCACGGACTCATCTGTAGGTGCAGTTGGGAGAGTTGATGTAGACTCTGAGGTCGAAAAGTCTGAGAACGACGCAGATGTAATGGTTGATGACTCTGTAATAGCTGCTGAGGTAGACAGAGTAAGGAATGTCAAGACAGAAGATGTCAAAGACGAAACGGTCACGTCATCCACTGTAGTTGAGCCGGAAAGAGATATAGATGAAGATACAAATGAGCCTGAGGTTGTGAGTATCAATGTTGATTCAGATGTAGATGTCTCTGTTGACAGGAATGGGGTGAAGCTTGATGTAGACAATGTGGATGCAGAGTCGGATGAGGTAGACAAGATATCCGATGTTGTTGCCGTTGAAGATGGGCTTGATATGGATGCAGATTCCGATGTAGACAGCAGGTCTGATGTCGATTCCGTTAAGAGTTGGGTCGTAGAGTCTGATGTAGACATCGCATCTGTGGTTGATGCGATCGACGGCAGGGATGTAGAGTCTGAAGACACCGTATCTGTTGTTGACGCTGTTGACATTATGGTTGTAGAGTCTGACGTAGATAACGTATCTGATGTCGATGCCGTTTCCAGTAGGGTTGTAGAGGGTGATGTAGACGTCTCATCTGATGTTGATGCAGTTAACGTCAGGGATGTGTCGTCTGAAGTAGATAGGGCTTCGGATGTTGATGCTGTTGACGGGAGGGTTGTGGAGTCTGTTGTAGATATCGCATCTGACGTAGACAGCGCATCCGATGTCGACGCAACCTCAGACGTTGTAGGCGATGATATCGCAAATGCTTTTACAGCAACATCATGATCACTCGAAGGCATTCTCTGAACAAACGAGGCAACCAAATCACAATCGCCGGTATCGTGTTGATAGCTTACAGCAATGCAAGCATCGTCGACGTCACACCTCATTATGCACGATGCGAACGAATCCCCGACAGTATAAGTGGCATAAACAGCTGGGTTGCCCGTGTCGGTGTCACAATCAATAGCGAACCCATTTTCTGAAGCCAAGTAGGTACTGTCCATTTCGTTGCAGGATGTTGGTGCGGCTGCCTCTGAAAACGACGCAGAGAGGAAGGGGAGTAGGGCCCAGAGGGTCCAACGAATTTCCAGGGCCCTCATGGTAGGCGATTTCAGAAACGAATGACAGAAGGCAAATGGTACCAAGGAAGCAAAAAAGAGTCAATTTTCTGAGGGCCAGGAATACAGAATGAGATTTACGCGGTTTAAGGAGTTATCTATATTTACTTTACGATGCGGAGCAATCAGACACTGTTGGTTGAGCGTTGAGAATTTTTAAATTACAGTCTCTTTCTGGATAAGGCTTACAGCCAGGCCAGCTGAGTGATGTTCCAGATCTCCTTTTGACCCGTCAATCTTGGCTAGCTAGCCACTAATAAATTAGCTATAGCACATTTCAGGCTAGAACAGACCTTTAGCTTGTAGCCTACTGGACATGGCATAAGCTAAAATGAGATAGTCTCATAGTTTATTCAATAGCTCACCTTTAACTCAATAGTCCCAATGCACAATGGCCCACACAATGTGTTGGCGGCCGCTCACAGCGTGAACGGTGAGTGAGAATGGCGTGTTTAAGAATTTGGCCTGAGATGTGTTCAGCACTGCTTGGCCGAAAACGTGCTAAGCTGAGCTTGGCAGGAGAGACAGTGTGGGTCAGCCTGCGCCGATCAGCCGCGATCAAGGCAATGCAATTCAAGTGTTATTTCCACGCGAAAAGAGCGTTATGAGTTAGGCCCAATAATCAGGTGTTTTCCTTCCGCCAGGATAAGTCCAGCTCATATGACACGCTGAGCAGTTAATAACTAGGAATGTGTACGCCTTCTGCATCGCCAGTCATCAGACTGAAATCTGGTGGTTCCTAGTGAAGTGACGTTCTGGACGTGACTGAGTTATTATTAGGGCGCGGCGCGTGTCTAGGCTCTCCGCCTGCACAATTTCATCTAACCCAATTCGACTCGACCCCTTACACAACCGCTATTGGACCTTACAAGCAGGGGTCAAGGCTTTATTTGCTCCGGACCAATCATAGCTCTCCTTTCAACGAGGACATCATGGTATTATTTTTTGTCAAGATGGCACCGCCATTTGGGCCGTTTTAGATAAAGCTGTCCTTAATCGTACGAGTCACTGACTTTCATGAAGTTCGGCTTAAGGGTGATACTGTCAGGTTGAGAAGACTAAAGGGTCAACAAAAAGAATTGCATCCGTCCTCGGACCCACGGACGCCGCGGGTACCCGGAATGCGGAGTGAGCTACCCGGCACTTGTCACTTTGTGTCATTATTGCGCCAAGTAATTCACCAATGATTTACAATCTGCAGGTCAAGGTTGTAGTCTGAACCGGCAATTGCTCATACAAGCAGAAGTCGCGGGCCCGCGGCCCGCCATAGCAAGATTAAAGCAACTTGATTACTGTTTGCTGAGCAGGCCCAGACAGATATAATACAACAAGGCGCTTACCTTGAGTAAACGGGATTGAAGACGAAGTAAGTATCATCAACCTCGAAAAGAAGCAGCAGCAATGGTACCCGAGCCAGTCTTACCTATTGACGAGTTCAACGTCGCCACCTTCACTTATAAGGAGATTGAAGGACAACCCATTCTTCTTGATTTAGTTGTTCCCAAGACTCTACCATCTGGCGAACGTCCAGTTCTTATTCGATTTCATGGCGGCTTTCTCGTCTATGGCAGCCGTGACAACCTACAACTTACACCCCCCAGGATCCTTGAATATGCCCTTGAGAACAGTACGATTTTGGTGTCTTGTGACTACAGACTACTCCCAGAGACTAATGGGATGGACATACTTGAAGACATCGAAGGTGTCTGGTCTTGGATTCAAAGCAGCTTGGACGATGCCCTTGGAACGATGACGAATGGGAAGAGCCGCGCAGACCTAGGTAGGGTTCTGCTGGCTGGCGAGAGTGCGGGTGAGCAACCCCTCTTCATTGAGGCCGGAGACAGAATACTGACAATGGTATAATTCCAGGTGGCTACCTCGCGATTCAACTAGCCTTGCGTCATCCGACTGCATTCCGAGCTGTTATCGCAAGTTACCCAATGATCGACATGCGAAGCGACCATTTCTGCAAAGCCTACCCCAAGCGAATGGGCCAATATCCGCAAATTGATTATGAACTTGTGTCTCAGCATCTCAAGCAGCTTCCCGACGGGCCTCACCCAACAACCAGGGCCATCTCAAATCTGCCAATCGCAATGGTGCAGCACGGTATATACACCAAGTTCTTCGGTGACGACCGCAGCCTGTTTCCGATAGAGTATCTAGAGGATAACCCCCAGTTGGCGCTGGAACTTCCGTTCATTTGGTTGCATCATGGTAATGATGATAGCGAAGTTCCAATCGAAGGAAGTAGGAAGTTTGTTGCGAAGCTACGAGAGCTCAATCCCAAGGCCAAGTTGAGATACACGGAGCTTGAAGGGGCAGAGCATGGATTTTGGAGTGAGATAAACCTGATCCAATCCGGCGAGTGGGAAGAAGGAGTAAAGGTCCTGAACTCCTATCTTTACATTTAACTAGGTTCGGTGATATCTACACCCGAGTATGTTCGCTCTTCCACCTCTCTGCACAATGGCATCAACTAAATAGCTTATTAATCTGAAAGCCTTAGTGTAATTGAGTGAAAACCACTGAACAGTTGACTGCTGTGTAGAAGGTTAAGCTTCAGGTTGCGAACGCAGGTGCTGAATGAGAACGCGATATATTTTATGACTACCGATGCGTGCTGTGGGCATCAAAGCTTTTGCCTAGCTACCTCCACATAGCACCTCGACTCACAGGGTCGACGAAAAGAACTATGCCCGTCTTTCCTGACTCCCGAATTGAGACATTAGAAGGCTTTGATATGAAGATGTCCATTTCAGATGAACGCCGTTCACTAGATTGAAGCCTCATGTTCTAATAAGCATAAGTCGGTACGAAATGCCGAGGAAAGGAAAAGGTTGGTTGCAAATGTAGGAAGTTTTGAACTCAAATGACGCTATGGCCGTTTGATTTACGCTGGATGGCATCAACTATTGATCGCTACTGAGGGGTTACTGTACCGGCTCGGAGTCCGTTAGTGCCCGGGGTCAAAGCGGCAATGGGCAAAAAGCCCGGGCCCGTAACTTCTAATGGTTCTATTTGCCAAGCTACTTGAATGCTTGCTTGCGATAAGGTTAGGCTTTGGGCTCCTAAGTTAGATAATACAGAAATGATAATCCTTCTGCCTAAACTAGTCGGAATTAGACGGAATTCGATTCCGGGGCTGTATTACGGAGTACATATATGATATCTGCCGTAACGGGGTTGCGCCCGCTAAAGTCGGAAGTCACGGCAAGGCGGTAGTTCACGAATAGCACATGAAACATGGAAGTCAAATGCAACGTCAGGTTTAGAGGAAGAATGGTTCTGGCCAGTCACAATAGACTTCATACTTGGGCAGAACTGGATGCGCAAACAACTACCTGTTTCGGCATACCATGGCGCGGCGTAATATAAAGACCACAGCATTTAATCTCTCATGGGGATGTAATTCCTAGACCCAACATTGGATTCATTCTTACATTTTTAATCATGGCCCAGGATCAAAAAGATTTCCAGATCGCCATCATTGGCGGCGGTATTGCAGGCATTGTCCTCGCAATTTCACTTCTCAAAAGGAACATCCCCTGTAAAATATACGAGAGAGCGCACGCCTTTAGCGACATCGGTGCCGGCCTGGGAATAAGTCCCAATGCGCAAGACGCCATGGCAGCTTGCGATCCAAGCGTCCATGAAGCATTTAAAAAAGTCGCCAATGGTAACACCTGGGAGTCCAAGAAAAGCTTCTTGTTTGAGTTCTTTGACGGCATGGACGGGGCCACTACTCAAACCCCTTTGTTCCATGTTGAGAATCGTACTGGACTCCAGGGTTGCCATCGGGGCGCCTTTGTGAACGAACTTCTCAAGCTCCTGCCTAGCGATGTGGTTCATTTCAACAAACAACTTCAAGGAGTGGAGGAGCATGACAGTGGTGGAATTCGCCTTGTCTTCCAAGATGGGTCGATTGAAGAAGCTGACGCTGTTGTTGGCTGTGACGGCATCAAATCCAAAGTTCGTGAAGTTTTAGTTGGGGCAGATCATCCGTCCTTGAAGTGTTCATATACGCACAAATACGCTTACAGAGGAATGATTGCCATGCCACAAGCATTTGAGGTGTTGGGGGAGGAGAGAGCTCTCAATGCTACCATGTGGGTAAGTTCTCCTTAACAAGTCACCTTTTGTGATAGAATGAAGTCTGATATCACGTCTGAAACGGACAGTTGGGAAAGGACAAGCATCTATTGAGCTACCCGGTCGCCCATGGGACGATCTTGAATGTAGTGGCATATTGTTCAAGCTCTGAAGAGTGGCCAAGTGAGAGCCAGCTGGTTCTTCCGGCCACCAAAGAAGATCTTCTCCATGATTTCGAAGGCTTCCGGCCATCTGTACTGAAGATTCTCGATAATACTGAGAGGCTTGACCGCGTGAGTACACATCTAATGTGTAGCTACATCATTGCATGTTTACTGATATTGGACAGTGGGCCATTTTCGATCTAGGCGAGAATCCAGTTCCGACCTTTGCAACAGGTCGAGTATGTATCATCGGAGACGCAGCACATGCTTCATCTCCACATCATGGAGCGGGAGCAGGCTTATGTATTGAAGACGCTGCTGTGTTAGCGTCCATATTGGCGCATGACACGATCCAAGGAGGTGCAAATATCGAGGCTGCGTTCTCTGCATTTGATAGAAGTCGACGGGAAAGAGCCCAATGGGTCGTTCAAAAGTCTAGACGAGCGGGTCAACTATTCGAACGTCAAACTGAGATTGGTAGTGATTTTGATAAGATATTTAAAGAGCTGGAGGAGACGCTACCCACGATCTGGGATTACGATATCGAAGAAGCGATAAAGATTGCCTCGATCGAGTTGGATAAAGCTTGATTTCGGATCCTCAGCTCTAGGTGACTTCTGAGACTTCTAATACTAAATCAGTTTCGCATCGTCCTTCACCTCAAATCTCGCATACAAAGTATCTATGCACAATCATTGATCGGCGCTAATTGAACCAAGATGCTCAAAGCTTATGCTCACGGCTTGCAACTGCTGCTAGAGTAGAAGGATCATCAATCGTCCAGGCAACATCTTGATCCCGAATAAACGGTGCAAGATCAACATCAACCCCCTCTTCAGCCAGCTCTTCAATCTGAGTACGGCCGTTACCCAAGAAACTCCACATATTGTCGTTTCTATAGGTGATGTTGAAGTCCTCGAACCTAGGCGTCTTCATAGTCTTGAGCAGATGAAGCATGCTGCCAGGCCAGATATACACCCGTCCGTCTGACTTATTCGCCTTGTACCAAGAACGGCAGTTGCCAGCCCAGACTGAGTACTTGGTGTGCCAGTTGTCGAGATGCTCGTTCCACTCCGTAGTGGGAAGTTGCTTGACCTCCATGGCCTTGATGCCCTCGTTCTGCATCTTGATGCAGCATTGCATAGCATACTCAATTTGAACCTCATGCTAATGTTGAAAGTTAATTAGTTTTGTGATTTAATAGTAAGCTTTAGGGTCCGGACTCACCGAAGGAAGTACACATCCTTGACCCCAGTTGCCTGTTGGTCCATTGATGACAAAGTAGTTGGGAAACTTGGGCCCAGTGATACCAAGATAAATGTTTGGATTCTGGTGGTAAGAATGCGTCAATCACATTTATTTCGTAAGATGAAACGCGGCGCACTTTACATACCTCTGACCATTCATCCTTCATCGTAACACCATCAACACCAGTGATTTTGCTGCGACAGCTAAATTAGTGACGTTCCTTTCACTTGTATTTGGTTCCATGAATGGAAAGTGCTTACAAATGCGGGGTATATGAAATGTCAAATCCTGTAGCACAGGCAATCAGATCGAAATCGAATTCCTTGCCTTCGCTCGTGACAAGGCCCGTAGGAGTGAATCTCGAAACGCCTTCGAAGACAACCTTTGCATCTGGTGTATGTCAGCATCTGAAGCACGTTAGTGCAGTATAACCTACGATCTTGGACCAAGCTCTCTAGATAGTCATTGCCAGGCTGCAAGGTGAGATCGTCAACAGAACGTCTAAAGAAGAATATGGATTAACTTACCGTGATTCGTCGACATCCTGGTGGCCAAGATGGAATAAGCTTTTGTTTCAAGTCCTCATCAGCACTCTCGAGCTTCTTCAGCATATCCTGCTTAATAGCAGCAGTAGCCCACTGGCTCATCGGCGAATCCCTAAGAAAGAATGGAAAGTTGCGTGTCAGAGTTGCCTCAAGACCTTTCCGGTACTGTAGATGCGCCGCAGCGTCTCTGCGAAACTCCTCCTTGTCCTTTTCAGAATAGATTTGCGTGCCTGGTTGCTCGGCAGGACTATTGCCCTCCGAATTAGCCTTGCTGAGATCTGTGCCTAGTGAAGGGACAATCCATATCGAGTTTCTTGCAAACACGTGAAGGCTTTTTGAACCTAAGGCAGGTCCATGTTAGTAATTAAAAGATCCACTGTTCCAGTGAACTGACCTTTGGCGAGTTGTGGCAGCATCTGCACAGAGCTAGAGCCGGTTCCGATGAGTGCAACCCGTTTGCCTTCCCAACTAATTTTGGGATCCCAGGTTGCGCTGTGAGCTATGGTACCGTTGTAGGAGGATTGACCAGGGACATCGGGCCCTGCTAGGATGTGAGAAACTTTTGAAGAGATTGCGTGTAATGTACTCACACTTGGCTTTGTTGACCACTCCCGATCCATTCATCAATACGTCGCAGTAGTCCGTTCTCTCCTGACCATCTTGGCTTAACTTGACAGCCCCTGCCAAAACGTATTAACACTCATAGCTTGGCAAGACTAGTTCTATAACTTACATTTCCCTTCAGTATCATTCCAAGTCGCGCTGATTACTGTGGTTCGCAGCTGAGCATATTTCTCAAGATCATACTTCTTTGCAAATCTGAGAAAATAGTCATAAATCTCGGCAGAGTTTGCATAGTAGCAAGACCATTCAGTGTTCGGTTCGAAGGAATACGTATATATATGAGCAGGTACGTCGCACGCGCAACCTGAGACATTAGACTTAAGAGACTGGTAAAGGGAGCTTTCTTGTTATACCTGGGTAACGATTCTCATACCACGTCCCGCCTATGACCGGGTTTCTGAACAAGCAACATTAGCATCTGGGAGTGAACGAAGCCAAGCCGGCTAACCTACTTATCATAGCAGACAAGCTCATAATTCTGCAGCATACGCTCGGCCTTATAAGCAGTTAAAAGACCTGACGCTCCTGCACCGACGTGAATAATCCTCAGCTTTCGAGGCTTTGAGTGTGCTTGGACCGACATCTTGAGCGTACAAGGGTAATCGCAAGGAAGTTTTGTCGCTTAATGTTAGAGGACAATTGATCTATATTAAGATGGTTCAATTTCCTCTTTGCCATATATACTGGAGTACCCAGTTTTGGTCAAAGCTAGCTACAATACACGATCAAAATCTACTACAACGACATGGGACTGACAGCCTAGGCACCGCGCGATGAAGTGAGATACAGTCACGTCGCCTGACCGAGGCCAACAACGTAGTGTTCTAGACCTAAACCTTGTCGGGTAGAGTCACTCGGTCGTCCGCGGCTGTGTCGCGCCGCGGGGCGACGAATCCTGCGGAGAGAACGGGAAGCCGAACGGCTAGGGCCCCGCATTCGAACCCCATGGGGAAACAGTGGAGTTGGATCTCTTCACGCGGCAATTGTCGCCTGGTCATTGTCAAAAGTCATATACTATGTTAATACATGCCTAATGTTGACTGTAGACTAGACCGATCTTGATCAATTTGGCTACTGAAAATAGCAGTTTCACAATTCTTGTTTGATAAAGAAAAGACATTACAACATGGCAGACACTATGCAGGCAGTTGTTTTTCATGGCAAGGGCGATATTAGAATCGAGGAAGTCAATGTCCCAAAACCTGGTCCCAAAGAAGTTCAGGTCAGTCGTTCCCCTGCTGATCGAAAATAACCGCTGTCGCGATATTAACTAAAAACACAGCTGAAACCGGCATTTGTTGGAATCTGCGGAACAGGTAGGTGCCAAATCACCTGGTCGGTTTCGTTACTAACATGAAGATATAGATCTTCACGAATATCTTGAGGGTGCTTACCTGATTCCTACAACACCTCACCCTGTGACTGGCAAAAGTGCCCCTGTCATCATTGGCCATGAGTATAGTGGTGTTGTTTCAGACGTCGGTGACGAGATTGATGACCTCAAGCCAGGCGACAGGGTAGTCGTCCAGCCAATCATCTTTGACGGAACTTGCAATTCATGCCAGAGGGGTCTGATCAACTGTTGCACCAATTCTGGATTCATCGGCCTCAGCGGTACGGGAGATTAACAAGAGACATACATACGGGGTGCGTGGCTGACATCATCACAGGAATTGGCGGAGGGTTGGCCACGTACACAACTGTTCCACGGTATTCGGTCTTCAAGATTCCTGATAATATACCCCTGAAAGTTGCCGGTATGCATTCGGATTCCCAATTTGGATAATACGCGACTAACAGCGTAAGCTCTGGTCGAACCCTTGGCGGTGGCCTGGAACGCCGTGCAGCAGAGCGACTTTAAACCTGGCGACACGGCCCTCATCCTCGGCGCTGGACCCATTGGGCTAGCCATTCTCCAAGTTCTCAAGAGCAAGGGCGCAAGTCAGACTATTATCACCGAGATGGCAGACAAACGACGAGACTTTGCAACCAAGTTCGGAGCCATCACGGTCTTGGACCCCACAATGACGAATGTAGGTGAAGAGTGCAAGAAGCTTTGCGCAGGAGAAGGCGTCCAAGTGGTCTTTGACTGCGCAGGCGTGCAGAGCACTCTGGAGACTGCGCTTGCTGCGTCTAGACCCCGAGCTGTCATCGTGAATGTGGCAATCTGGGCAACCGAGGTGACCATATCGCCCAACTATTTTATGCTGAATGAGAGAACTTTCAAAGGCTCGGCGACATATACGGCATCGGTTTTCCAGGAGGTCATCGATGCTCTTGCGCGTGGTAGGTCATCAAATTCACGCTATGACCGTAGATTGACAGATTGCTGACAAAAATAGGTGATCTGAACCCGGAGCCAATGATAACTAGCTTGATTGACATGGAGGAAATTGAAGAAAAGGGTTTTAAGGCGCTGATTAACTACAAGGACACCCAGGTCAAGATATTGGTTCGCGTCTAGTTAAATAGATGGTATTGTGTTATACTGATATGTGTTGGTAGCCTAAATTCTCATGTTATGGATCGCAGTGACCTCTGAAGTTGAAGTGTATACTTGAGATAATTAAGAGTAGCGTTTGATTCCACCAAGACTTTTCCCGCTGACTTTCGATCCATGGTAATAGTGGTTGACCCTAGCACGTTACTCCCTAATGTATTTTATACATTCTTGCGTAAGTTGCGTTACGATTGTGGAAATCTTATCCATGCTCAAATACGGGGAATTGTGGAATCCGCGGGCCCGAGCCGGCTCATGGTTCAATATTAAAAACGACCCGCCACCACGATAAAGGCACAGCTCACAGACTCAGTCGAGCAGGAATCTCCATCAAGAATGGCGTTTACACCACAATCGCTTCCTGATCTATCAGGCCAAATTTACATTGTCACTGGTGGTAATGCGGGGATGTATGGAACTCTGACCTTTGGCGTGTTTATGCTGGGAGTAAATGTTGGCTAACTATGGTACCAGTGGTTTCAACACTGTGCTGAAACTGGTAGCTCACAAGGCGAAAGTGTACATGGGCGCACGATCCGAGGCCAAAGCCAATGCTGCAATCTCCGAGATCAAAAGCCAATATCCTCATGCAGATATATCCGTTTTGGTGATGGACATGATGAACCTGAAGACCGTCAAAGCCGCGGCTGATGAGTTTGCACGGTAAGTATAACAAGATAATTGGCGATCTTGGATTAACGATGAAGTGCATAGAAAAGAATCCAGGCTCCATGGCCTAGTGAACAACGCGGGTATAATGGCAACTCCATACGAAGAATCTGTAGATCATTACGAAGCTCAATTTCAGGTCAGTCATAATTCTAGAAAGGCCATGATCTGGACTAACGGGCTCTTCAGACAAACTATCTCTCCCACTGGCTTTTGACCTACAGTCTATTGCCCATCCTCACCCAATCTGCGCGATCCACCAGTCCTGGCACTGTTCGAGTTGTTAATGTCAGCTCCGACGGCCATCTCTTGTTTTCTCCCTCGGCAGGAATCGATTTCGATGATATAAACCAGACCAAGGGCAGTGCGTTCTCGCGATATGGCATGTCCAAGCTAGCCAACATCTTACACGCCAAAGAGTTACATCGCAGATATGGTCCGTCGCCTGAGAATGATAGACAGGAAGAGATCTGGACAGCGAGTCTGCACCCAGGCACCATTGATACGTGAGTTATCTATCCTTCTATGATCTGTTTTATGCCATGGTCTGATGAAATGCCCAAGTGGTTTAGGCCGCAACGCCACCGGCTCATGGGCATGGCAAGCGCTTGTCCCGGTGATGCGACTTTTCAGGCTCTACAGTCCCCTTGAGACTGCAGCATATACGTCTCTCTTCGCCATCGCCGGCCTAGATTTTCAACGGGATATGAGCGGAGAGTACTTGAAGCCGGTAGGTATCATTGGCAAGACATCATCGACTGCGCAGGATCCCAAGCTGGCGGAGGAGCTCTGGCGTTGGACGGAGAATGAAATGAGAATCAAGGGAGTCATTATTTAAGCGTCTATAAGCCTACTTGGATATTAAGTTAGTGTATAGATTGGTAAATTCATTATTCTTTGACTTAACGCGCGTCTTGTCCATACAGCTAATCGTATCGCTACTAGTTATTAAACAATAATGTTATTTATTACAATACTCATAACATCTGTTCGTCAATGAGCTCTGACTGGAGAGGTATAGCCACGACTTGCCATTCATTCCTGAACAGGAATATTCTTATGGAGCCAGCTGATTCTTCTGTTTTTACACAGCGAGCATGTCGTACAGACACAGGGGACATAATGGCAGAACCCTGCATAGAAACAAACAAATCGTCGCGTCTAGCTGAGACCGGTCCTCGGCACAAAATGACCATGAAAACTGCATCAGGCACACGGATCTAGCGGGGCCGTTACTAGGTCAAACTAACCGCAACAAGGAAGAGGGGCAGTGAGCACAGATAACAGAGGCTACGTATCGCGCCGCGGGCCGCACAGTGAACAGGTTCCAGCAGATAGTGCAGAGTAACACATAATTTGCGCCGCGGGCCGCACTCGTCGAATGTATTATCACATCGGTGTCCGCGGGTGATGATAGCTCGCGAGCTGCTACTTCGCGCTACTCATGAGCTGTTCCGGTGATACAGTCGCTAAGGATAAGGTCATAAAGCTAATGATGAATGCGTAGTGTTGTAGTTTGCATAAGATAAATACAACGTGATGATACTTTCATAGTTACGATCTGTAAGACACAAGAATACAACACTTCGAATACGATCACAGAAACGACATGACAGTTGAAGGCCAACGCACTCATCCCCTCCACGCGTTGAGCGAGGAGGAAATGCTCAAAGCGGCGGACATAGTCAAAGTGCTTGTCAAGGAGAAATTTGAGGGCAAAGAAGAAGTCAGATTCAAGCACACCACGCTCTCCGAGCCCCCCAAATCCTTGCTGCTTCCATACCTGGATGCCGAGAGTGACGGTGTTCCTGTCTTCGCCCGGCCATTCGTACCTAGATGTGCTCAGGTCCTTTACACCTTCCCTGGCAAGCCAGGTTTCACCGAGAGTATTGTCAGTCTGGACACTGGAACCGAGGTCAAGTCGACTTTATCTAAGCCTGGTGATCATGCCGGCTTTGACAGGTTCGTATCAGTCGCTACGTAGATGAAATGATAACTGACGCCGATTTACAGAGACGAGGTCATCGCGTTTAATTATGCCATTCTTTCTCACCCAGAGGTCCTGGACGCTATCAAGAAGTTGGGTCTAGATCCCAATGTGACAGTCCAATGTGACACTTGGCCATTTGGAGCAGACAAAGACTCTTCATTAGAGACCCCGAGACTGGTTCAGGCTATGCTTTACGCTAGAGCCCCGCACAATCACCTGGAGAGTAATATGTACTCTTACCCGCTTCCTATCTCTCCCGTCATTGACTCGGTCGATCTAAAACTTATTCGGATCGACGCTCTACCCACGGGTGGCAAGGAGGACGGAGCCGCCATCCATACGGCCCCTAATGCTCCTCTTTCTCACTGCGTTGAGAACGAATACCACCCTGATCTTCTGAGCGTCAAGCTTCGGGACGGTCTCAAGCCACTTGTCATTCAACAGCCTGAGGGACCTAGTTATACCGTGCAGGATGGGAACTCTATCTCTTGGCAGAAGTGGCGATTCCGCATTGGCTTCAACTGGAGAGAGGGCATGACCATCCATGATGTGAGATATGATGGACGGAAGACTTTCTATCGTTTGAGCATGAGTGAGATGACTGTCCCATATGGAGGTAAGACAAGGCCCCAAAGGACAGTGTAATTTGACTAACCACCGTTGGATAGACCCCAGATATCCGTACCATCGTCGACAAGCTTTTGATCTCGGCGATGCTGGTGCGGGCCTGACAGCTAACAATCTAAAGCTCGGTTGTGATTGTTTGGGACATATCAGCTATTTTGATGCCTTGCTTACTGCTTCCGATGGAAAGCCATACCAAGCCCCAAACGTGATCTGTCTACACGAACAGGTACATACCGTTGATTGCATTCCGGAAAGCAACATTGTCGCTAACTATTGAGTCAGGACGCTGGTATTGGATGGAAGCATACCAATGCCAGAACCGATGTCGCTGCTGTTACTCGAGCTCGCACCCTCGTGGTCCAGAGCATCATCACCGTTGGGAACTACGAGTATGCATTCTCATGGCACTTCTGGCAAAATGGTACCATCGAGTTTGAGACAAGAGCCACTGGAATTCTCGCGACAAGCTTGATCGATGAGGGCAAGACTAGCCACTGGGGCAACGTCGTGTCTCCCGGCGTTCTAGCCGCCAACCATCAGCATCTCTTCAGTCTCCGTATTGACCCTATGATCGACGGTCTCGAGAATACACTCGTGCAGGAAGATTCCATCGGGTTGCCCATGTCAGAGGAAAATCCATACGGCAATGCTTGGAAGCTGCACAAGACCTTTGTCGAAAAGAGTTGCTCCTTGGATGCCGACCCGCAGAAGGCTCGAGTTTTCAAGATCGTCAACGAGAAGAAGCTCAACCCTATTTCCAAGAACCCAGTGGGCTATAAGGTTATAGCCCCTCCAGCACAGCTTCTCATGGCTGATCAAGCTTCCCTCGTTCGCAAGCGTGCTCGCTTCGCAGAACATCATATCTGGGTAACACGGTATAAGGACGATGATCTCTGGGCTGGAGGAAAGTGGACCAACCAGAGCTTGATTGAGAAGGATGGTGTGGCCGATTACGCGGCGCGGAATGATAACGTCCGTGGTGAGGATCTGGTCGTGTGGGCGACTTATGGTCTCACGCATAATCCGCGCGTGGAGGATTACCCGGTTATGCCTGCTGAGGCTATCACTGTTGCGCTGAAGCCTGCTGACTTCTTTGACCGCAATCCTGCTCTTGATGTGCCTCCTAGTACTCAGGCTGCTAACAAGAGTGTGCTGGTTCCTGCAAACGGTGTTAGTAATGGGGAGGAGCGGGAGGTCTGCTGTCGATAAAGTTCTTACCAGGCATACATTGTTTTACTGGAACAGTGCATCTTTCATGCGAGGTTGATGGAACCGCCATTTAGTCTTATAGATTAAGTAAATGAGATTAGTCCTCTATTATATGTCCATTTCTTTTGTTCCCTTTCACAATAATTAGCCGAGATACTAAAAGCTCTGCTCGCATGGCTTTAAGACGAACTTTCCCTAGACCAGTATGATAAATGCTTGTCATCTTTCTAGTAGTGGTTGCTTATAACACGTTAAGCCTACCGTTGGGCAGCCTCGGCCTCCACGGCCAGTTCTAGCCACTTCATGGACCTTTATTGGCTGTGGCAGTCGATAGAACTCCCCACCCTGTTCATTCTTTAAACATTCCTGCTTGGGTTATAATGCATGTTACCTACCCCGTTATCACCGTGATTGCCTTGAGTTACGATTGTGTAATTTGACATTTTATGTTGATGTTGAGAATAAAGACTTTACGCAAGGGAAAATGCTATTATTTGTTACGATCAGACTACGATAGTTGTGCCAAGAATTCAGAGAAGTCCTCTTGTGACACATCCATCCACTGCATATTCCCCGAAATCCAGTCTCTAACCTGAGAAACATGGCTATTCAGCTGGGGCATCGGTATGCTCGACCCCGTAGAAAAAGCATCATAGTAGCTGCTACTAAACGACATCGCCCCTTGCGTGCCACTCGGCTGGGCGCTAAACCCAACTTCGGCCATTTTATCGAGACCGCCTTGGCTTTGGGTTTTCGCTTCAACGTATGAGATCGCCAGGTTGTACAACACTTGACAAAGATCGTGTAGCTCTTGTATAGCCTCGAATGTACCGCAAAGCGGCTTGAGTGATTCGCAAAACTCTCCTAGTATACGAATGTCTGCTGGGTTAGAGGTCTCGATGACATTACAGAAAACCACGATGAGAGGCACAAATGGGGTGTATATGATCGTCCTGCGTACAGAAACACTTATTAGATCTTTTGGATAAGAGGTTTGGATAGGAGGTAGGGCAGGAGTACCATAGGAGATATAAAGCCTTTGTCTCAGAGCTCGGGTCAGTCATCCTCATGCATTCCCCATGAGCTTCAAACGCCATCCTGGCAGATTCCAGACACGCAGGGCTAACTGCACCATGCCCACTTTCAGTTGAGGGAACAGCCCTGCGTATAAACGTCAGAGTCGTCCAGTACCATACCTCATCAGCCTTCAGAACCGTCTTGATCATTCTATCAGGCGCGGATCCAAAGTCCACAGTGTTGCGTTCCATCAGATGTGCCTGTCCAAGTGGCATCAAAGAGTCATCCATGATTTGTTTTAGTGCTGCAATCAGGCTTCTTGCACGCTCACCACGTTCCTGTGTGGACGTTCGAAGAGCAGATGGACTGTACAGATCCTGATAGGCCCTACCAACAAGTCGAGAATGACGGATCCATTGGGTAAGCAAATCTCTCCATCCGCTGGGTACATCAGCCTTGTCTAGGCATTCTGGTAGCGTGATCTCGGCATCGTGTATTGCAGCTGGTCGTCCGAGGCGTAATGAGAGACCCTTATCGAGGAGATAAGTGAGCCAGAAGAGGGAGATCTTTCGGTCGGTGGTGCTATCGCTGTGAGGAACGAGTTGATGCCAGCCAAGAGTCTGACAAGTCCCTGCTGCGCTAGATACAAGCTGCCAAGCGAGCATTGGTTGTGACACCTCGATGGCATAGATGGCCTATCAGAAGCAACTTAGCATCGATCCTGAACGCATGCAAGCTATGGTGGAATACTGACCCCCAGAAGAAAAGCCTCTACGTTCTCCAGGCTGGGTGGTGCGAGGACGCTGAATTTATTCATCGCTGTCTCGAGGTTATCTCGACATAGTTGAGACAGTTTTCGATACTCCTCGCGAAATAATGGATTCTGCGATGCTTGAACCTTCTCCTGAAACAGGTAACGGAGGGTTGCGTTTGCTATCAAGAATGTCGGAAGTGAGAAATTATCAACTGCAAAGTATATCTCGCGGCAACAATCGATTAACCTGTCCTTGGAGATGAAGAGACTAACTATCGTCAGTGTAGCTAGCTTTGTTTCTTTCTTTGGTTAGCCCAAACTGGGTGGGGAGAATAATTGGTCCTATTCAAAAGCGTACCTTTCAATTCTCGCAGAATCGCTAGAACGGACTGTAGAGGTGGCATTGCCAAGTCCCTTATTCCATCGTTCTGGGTCTCTCTTCGACTCGGTATACGATCGCCCATCGACCGGTAGCTATTAATCTCAATCATTTGCTTCAGCGATGACAACGCAGCATTCACACGCGTGCTTTTATCAGTGGCTGGAGATTGCCCGAGAACCGTCTGAAAGAAGTCGCTCGCGTACACCGTAGCAGCTTTCAAGGAGCTGCTTCCCTCCAAGGCCGTCTCTGAGTCGGTATAACTTGGCCCATTTCTACTGCTGTCTGCAAAGTCCTGGGAGGCGTTGAAAGAGTCTGTAGGTAACGATTCGGGAGGTCTTGGGACATTGTTGGTAATAGGTTGTTCATCAAAGGCCCTACGCAAGAGCTGTTCGATACCCTCCAGGCGATTCTCGATGCGATCTATCTTTTGTTCGCTATTGTTCAGTTGAGCTCTGTCTTTCTTTGTGGATAGACAGCCGAGGGCGATACTTACTACTGTGAGGAGATGAGAACTCTTTGTTTAGACTGTCGCATTCCCTGTGTTGATCCAACTAAGCTGCACGCCTTTTGGACAGTTCGACAGTTCGAACACGGAAATAATCTATCGCATCGAATCTTATTGTCGCTTCAACGTTAGTCACTGCAGGCATTTATCGGAGCGCACCCTACCTTTCGAAGACGGCATCTGTCGCACTACTCCAGTATTAGATGGTCATTCTCGACCTTGACTACCTAGGCTGGGCATGGGAGTAGATGAGATTCTTACCACGCGACCAACTGCCTCTGGGGAATGTTCCTCGGCCATTCTCTCTTTTCCTCAGAGGCGATGGGTAAAATCTGACGCTCAGCTCGGAGCGCAAACGATAGAGTCGGGCTAGAATACAACATGAAACCCCAGCAGGCGATACGATCGGAGAGTCGGGGGAAATCATTCTGGCCGATCAATGCGTAACCGGCTTGATGTTGAGAAAATGAGGTGGGGAAAGGAGGCGGCCCGCGCAGCCCGTGCCTCGCGACCCGCGGGCCCGTCCTGCGATACACAAGCCAGACCTGATTGTCGATCTCGGCATATCTTAGATAAAGAAGCCTACGTTTGCGGGGTAACTAGAGGTAAAGATCTTTGTCTAGCTCTAGTATCGTAGCAATACGCGTTTAGATGTGCGTTAGAATAGAGATATCACCCATGTCAAAACTCCCTCCCTGTTTATTTCCACCGAGGTTATCATCTGTATCTGGAGTCAATCTTTTCAACACCATCAAGTCGCCAGCAGTCTGGCTGTGTCCCCAAGCCGAAAAACAACAAACCTAGTAGACAGCCAAAATGGCATCAACATCTCAGAATTCCGTGTTTGAAGCACCTCCACCAGCCCAGTCTATAGGTGACGTGGATAAGAAAAGTCCTGAATCGCCGACAGTCTTTGCCCCCGACGACTCGACCTCTTCCGTCAGGCGCGGTAGTATTGAACAACCCTACAGAACATACAAGATCCGTTGGTTCGGGCTTTTGGTGTTGACACTGCTCAATATCATGGTCAGCTGGTCGGTATGTTGTTCTTGTAACCATTCCATTGAGACACACTACACATAAGCATGTTCTATCCTGCGTTGTATTGGGTCTTACCACGGAGATCACTGTATACTGACAATACCTCAGTGGCTCACGTTCGCGCCTGTCACTTCCTCTACCGCTGAGTTCTACGGGACAGACGAGACAATGGTGAACTGGCTAAGCAGCATCTTCGTCTTTGCAAACTTCGCCATGACTTTTGTAACCATCAAACTCCTCGACTGGGGTCTTCGTCCAACTCTGATCAGCGGCAGCGCACTTCTCCTAGTAGGCAACTGGGTTCGGTATGCTGGATCTTACTCTTCCGACGGTAACAAAGTTTCCGTCGTCGCTGTCGCTCAAGCGCTTTTGGGCATGTCGCAGTCTCTTGTGCTAAGTGCCCCTACACGCTTCTCTGAAACGTGGTTCACGAGTAAAGGGCGTGTGGCGGCGACGGCTGTTATGAGCCTTGCGAATCCAACTGGTGCTGCGATTGGATCCATACTTGTTCCGCTGTGGACGAATGAACCGAGCGATATCTCTTCTGTGGTATTATACGTGGCCATTATTGTATGTCCTCGCGCCCCGACGTTTTGATTACTTGCCCGACTGACAAAAGCTTATCCATATAGTCATCGGCGGTCGCCATCCCTGGCATCTTTATCCCTGGCAAGCCGCCAACTCCCCCATCCGCAATTCACCATACCGAACGGCCCAAGGTCTTACCCTCATTACGTATACTGATTCGGTCGTTGGAGTGTTACCTCATCATCATCCCATTCTGGGTTTACACTGGCCTTTTTGTCGCCACGACATCCCTCATCAATCAGATCGTCACGCCTTACGGGTTCTCAGACACAGAGGCCGGCATTGGAGGCGGTCTCCTCATCGTTCTAGGTCTCATCTTCTCTGCCATCACAGCTCCCATCATCGACCGAACCAAGAAGTTCATCCTCGTCATCAAATGCGGAGTAGTAGTTGGTGGACTATGCTACCTCGCGTTGGTATGGGTCCCAAGTACAAAGGATATCGGTGCACTGTATGCTGTTCTCTGCTGCATCGGCATATCGTCACTCGCTATCGTCCCTGTTGTTCTGGAAATTCTCACCGAGTTCTCGTACCCCGCGGGCGCCGAGATCACTAGCACTACTGCCTGGGCGGGCGGTCAGCTACTTGGAGGTTGCTTCATTATCCTCGGTAACGGTATGAAGGCTGCTGAGAGTGCTGAGCCACCTCGCAACATGAAGGACTTCACCATCTTTCAGGCTGTGTTGGCAATGGCGATGATACCTTTGCCCCTGATGCTGGGGATGTTTGGACGCAGTGATCAAGTAGCTTTGAAACGCACGAATGTGCACCAGAATATGTAAACAGGCCGCATTAAGAGAGAAATGATAAATTGATAAATTCCTATATTCAATTCCATTCTTGTTGTTAATGTGTAATGTTGTCAATTGTGGCCCTATCGTTTCGAATGCCAGGATGATGCCAACTTAAATACTTCAGACCCCTGCACAACTAATCAGTTAGCCTCAAGTTTAGCTTCAACCATGGTTTCCTACCTCTAACTTCGGCATCCCGCGGGAAAGCGTGCTCATCTAACTCTAAACGCCTCTCTTTATGCGAGACGTAAGCAAACTTCTCAGCCCCTTTCGCGGTTATATCGCCTTTTGTTTCAATATTAGATAAATTTCTCGTTATGACTCCCTTATTTCATTTGACCCTACCTACCGTCGTTGACTAATCCTTCCATCATGATATCTCGCATTCAGCAACTGTTTCTCCTGGCTTGGTCCGTGCCAATATTACTCTCAGGCCAAGTCAACAGTGTCGCGGCGCATGATCTCGATTACGTAAACGGCGAGACGGGACTAAGCATGGAGAGCTTGTCGAGATCCCGAGAATTGAATGTACCGAGATCAGATGAAGAATCGAGGCGTCAGTACTGCTTTGGGACAACACAAAACCAGCTTTATGTTACCGACTTCTTGCAACATAACTTGGACATCTTGACAGGCCATTCAACATGCTGGCTCAACAGAGGGATCGCTGGTCTTAGAACAGAACTGGAAAGAAATCTCACATCGACGCGTCGGTCGGATATGCAGGTTCCGAAGTGCCCAATCAACATCACCAGCTCAGGCAATACCTACCTGATCGACTTTCCCAAGAACAGCTACCGCGTTAATACACTTTCGAAATCTCTCATGATTATAGTAACTGGTATACACGGTAAGCCGTCAGCTCTAGGCTCGATCTCCTACTAACAGGGATTTAGTGGCTGCGATGACACTTGCTTTCTTTATTGTATACCCCATCATCCTGATTTTTTCGACACTGATCGCTCTTGGGGAACTCATCGAGCGACCCTTATTCAAAGCCCGGATCGAAAAATGGCAGAAGATACTCTTTTGCGTCTTCTTCCTCCCTCTTCTGGCCATTGGTATGCTATGCGGGCTGACTGGGATGGGGTCATCAGATCATTTCCGAACAGAACACGGGGTCAGTAGCAATCCGCAAGTGTAGCAGCAGCACTAACCATGAATAATGTAGATTATCGGGTTAGTGACAACAGTCTTGGCAACATTGGCAGTAGGAGTCTACCTCATCGAGAACAACCTCAGACCAAGAATTTCAATAAGCAGAAGATGGCGCCGAGTACACATGATGGTCAACTACACCGACATCTTCATTTGCCAGGCTGTGCTTATGCTTTCGGGTTTTGCCTTGCCCGACGGAATCGATGACTTCCAAGTGATGAGCCTTTGCGGAACAAGACACATATCCACCTCACTATCTTTCTCGGTGGGCATGATGGTAGCGTTTGTGTGGAACAGTGCGATGGCGGCTATGACTCTCCAGTGGTGGCTTGTTCGCAGGGCTAGTGAGGATAAGCCTCCGGGCAAGATGTGGCTGTTAGTATCGCGCGTGTTTAGGCGTAATACTAACATCTGCGAAGATGATGGGTAGGAGGGTAAAAGCCCCCCTGGGTTTGGTGGCAAGGAGTCATTCTGGGAACGCTTTGATGAATGTGTTGGGTATCTTATGGCTGTGGATTTGGACTCGCAGGCCAGTCTTATCATATGAAGTTAGCTACTGACATACTATTGGGGAACATATAGATCATTAGAAGGTAGACGGCGAGCTTTTATAGTATAGTATTTATAAAAGGATGTTTCACTGTGTCACAATTGTAGAACATCGCAATACTTCTTCGAATTATTCCGGTATGTCGGATGATAGGGCTGTACAGTACCTACGCTACTGTGATACCAACAAAGGCCCCAGATCCTTCATACACCTTTTTCTTGTTACCTCCATCTATATCAAACTGGTACACCGAGCCTCCCAAGTCCGTGGCAAAGATACGACGGTTCTTCGAGTCCAGCTTGATGCCAATAGCCTCGTGTAATCCCCGAGCAACAACCTCGTAGTCAGTGCTAGGCTTGCTTGCGCCATCGTGAGTCAACTTTGTAAGTCCATCAAGCTTGGCGCGGTTTATGGTGTTACCGTCTGGCAGCTCGCCTCGATCCGTCCAGTAGAGGACGTTCTCATCCTCATCGACCTCCAAATCAATTGGCTCTGGCAAACCCTGCAACAGGACCTCGATGTCTGTCCTGCTCTCTACATCCTCGCCTGGTCGGAAGGCGATGTTTGCTTGGAGAATACGGCCCTTGCCTCCCTTGGATGGTCCCTTCTGCGTCCAGTAAAACTTACCGGTGGCAGGTGATACTGTCACACCGACACACCACCTCGTAGGGTCTAGCATTTGCGAATCTACTTGCCAGTTGCCAGTCTTCACCAAGACTTGCAGCTCAGATCCATCGAAGTTACACCTCATTATTCTCATTCCCTCACGATCGGCAAAGTACAACTTCGAGTTTGTATTATCGACGGTCAGTTGCTTTGGCGTATGAACCGATCCTTGAGGGACAATCTCCTTCAGGTCTGTACCATCGAGGTTGCAGCTGAGTATAGCACCGTCGTTGGCCGAAGGGTTGCCCATGCAAGTCCAGAAGAGCTTTCCGGCAGACTTCGAGATGTCGATACCATCAGGTAATCGTTGTCCTGAGACGAGAGTCTTTATTGGGCTTCCATCACTGGAGCCAACCAAAACACGACCAGCTGAAGCATAGCCTTTAGCATTCCCGCTTGACAAGCCAATGTCTAGGAAGAAGAGTGAGGACTTGTGATCTGATTTGATAAGCTTTTTTGGAGGGAGCAACCCGCCTTTGTCAGACTTGGCTCCCAACCTGCCTTCATCAATGTACTTCTGAAGAAACTTGACTGGTGTATCAGGCAACCCCCGCTCAGCAACGTAGTGCTGCTCAATGAAAGACACTGTATCGAGACCAACAACGTCCATCATGGCAACAGGTCCATTCTCTTTCGCGTACCACATCTGCTTCCAGAGCTTATCGATCTCCTCTGGGGTAGAGACTTCTTCAGCGAGGATGTTCAAAACCTCACGCTTGATGGCTGCCCAGAGACGATTGTAGATGAAGCCAGTTGACTCCCTGCGTGCGATGTAAGGATGAAACTTGATTTCCTCAAGTTTCTCATACAAGAACGGAAAGATGCTCTCGTCAGTCTCGCCGTCCGTCATGAGCTCGACGACACGGTAGTCTGGCGGCATATAATAGTGCATGTTCAGAACGCGTCGTTTCGTCTCTGGCTTGAGACCCTCGATCATCTCCCTTGACTTGTAGGACGACGAGTTGCTGGCCAGGATAGTGTCGTGGGGTGAGAGCTTCTCCAAATCTGCAAAAGTTGATATCTTGAGAGGAAGTTTCTCAGGGACAGCTTCAATGACGAGCCATGCCTTGGAAACAGCCTCAGCAAGGTCTTCAACGGCTATGACAGATCCTCTGGTCTCAGAGTCTGAGTACTGGAACATGTTGGACTTGCAGTATTTCACAGCGGCGGCCCTTTGTTCAGGGCTAGGGTCACGGATGATAACGTCAAATCCGCTTGCAGCCCAACCGCAAGCGATTCGGCGGCCGAGAACTCCACCACCAAGTATGGCGACGGTGCGGCCTTCGTTTGGAGGGACAGTGAAAGCACCCATAGTGTTGAGCAGCGGTTGTAGGATTTTCAATGAGGTAGAAACTGTGTGAGGAAGTGAAGATAGTGGCAATGTGAAGTAGTTACGAAACAATGCAACAAGACCGTAATGCCACTTTTAAGGAATTTGAGAATGAACCTAACCCATACGTACATAGTCTAGCACTTGAGGCGATTTCCGGCCCAAGGCGACCCGGATTGTCGGTGCATGTCAATACCGATCGGGGTCGGCATGGCGGAAGATACGGGAGACAAAGAAAAGGCTCAAGTTGCCTCAAGTTCCAGCCCCGGAAAGGCGGCATCGACTACTGTGAAAGATGGGGCAGCCGAGGTCGTCAATTGCTTGTACGCGCAATAGCCCAAGATAACATTTTCAATGTCTTTCGTCGTCGATCATCCCGATCGGCTCCGTCATGACGCAAAGATGGCATTAATTCCGCGTTTCTTCCGCAGATAAGATCTGAACACATGAAACTGATCCACAGCATCCTTGCCTTGAGCCTCAGGGCTCCACTCCTCGGCACATCTAAATATGGGGCTGCCCTGGCTTTAGAATCTTCGAAGAACAGCACATTCCCATCTCAGAAAGCTTAACATGCAACCTCCAGCTTCATTTTCCTCTTCCAACGTGCGTGCAGTTTGACCTATCGATGATCTAGCGTCTCCACTTTCGCTAAAGACTAGAAGCCGTGTTTAGGCTCATTATTGACAGATTGCATAAAGTATATTATTAATTATCATTATTAAAGTGTTATATCTCTTATTAAACGATGCCTGTCAACAACCACCCTGTAAACGAATATGCCCCTGGCTCAGCGCAATGCCCTACAATAATCATTCCTCAAGCATTCTTGCTCGCGTCTTCGTCCTCAGCCTCTGAATTCTCATCATCAGAACGAGCATCCTTCTGCTCATTATACAAGGTGATGCGGTAAGCAACACGAAGAATGTAGTAAAGCCAGACGAGGTTCAAGATTTGTAGGGCAATAAGTAACCCCGACGCGACGGCAAAGCTGAGAGGGCACTTAAACTGCTCAGTATCCCAGTTCAACTCATAAGGGCCGACAGTCTTAAACTCGGTAAAGAGGGAATAGATAATGCGGATATTGATGTAGTGACGGAGGTAAATCCAAACGCATGTAAAGAGTGCGTAGAATGGGACTGTAATAGAGGAGTCAATATAGTTAAGGACTTTAGATGTCTTTATTTAGACATTGAAGAGTTAGTAATATGGTAATAATAAAGTTTCAGATAAGTGCCTACCGAAAGGAAAAAATCGCTGATGTCATGTGTGATATAGACAACGATGCCAATGTAGGTAAAATGGAAGCGGTAACTCAACCCGATTAAGGCTATAGCAACGACATGATGAAAAGCGAACTCCTTAAAGTCCTTTCTAGGTTTCTCCAGTCCAAAAATAAGAACAAGCGCTTGTTGAGCCCAGAATGCAGCTTGAAAAAGGTAATAGAACTTGAAGCTGCCGTTGAGTGTCATATGCGGATAACCCTCATACATGCCTCTCGTATTGAAAGGCCACACTGGCGTTTCGCTGATGGCATAAACTCCAAAGGGGATAGCGGAAATGAGATAGATGACTGAGTAGGCCTGTTCCATAAAGCGGGTTTGCTTTCCAGGTTTAAGGATGCCAGCATGTCTTGCAAGTGGCCGGAGAACCTCCTGCATAAAAAAGGACCTGGTTAGGGAGAGGACGACGACATAGAAAGAGACGAATGCGAAATCCTTGCTGCCTTTGCCGTACTTCACTCTCTCTTCTGCAATAGTGGATTCGATTCGGTAAGAGAGGAAGATGAATCGATGAACAGGATTACTTTCCGTCGGATTGAGACTCCAGGTGAGAAGTACGGCGGAGATCAGGGCCAGCGCTGGTGTCCAAGAATGTCGAGCAACGAAGCGAATTGTTTGCTGAGCTAGCGATGCTGGGTTTTTTTGAAGCTGCCCTGGTGACTTCATGGTCATAAGTCCATGTGCATCTGGTTCTCGGGGTTGAGAATTCCTGGACTGGCGTTTTGACTTTGTTCTCCAGTGAGACGAGTTCTCTGTCATCTCTACTCCTGTGATGGATGACCGCATTTTTTCCATGTTTCCGATCCTATTATCTCCTTCAAAGCAAATTATCGTCAATTGCGAGACCGGAGAATGAGGTTGGAAATGTGTAGGCCGTTGGCTGTTAAGAGGATGACTCTGATTAAGGGTTTGAGATAAAGGCGAGAAGATATTAGAGGCCGGCCGATAGGACCTACAGTACTCAATCGATATATACTAAGCAAAGAACTAAAGTCAAAAGAGATGGAGATAAAAATACTATAATATTGACCTCAGTTCTTATAAGAGTAAGACTGTAACTTAGGCTAGATCTTTTAATTTAACACTGGCAAGGCTAGGCCAAAGAAAAACGATAACCATCATCCACTCATCACTAAGTCCCTTTAATCCATTCGCTGATGAAAAACGATCTCATTAAAATGCCTTGTCTTGACTTCCGCGCATACCGAAAATGACCAGATCTCGGCCCCCGCGGGCGACCGATTTTCGGCCCGAAGGTGCATAAAAAGAGAGTATACTGCAGGTTTAATAGTCATTACAGTCGGCCCGGGCTCAGCAAAGGCTGGTGTTTTCAAAGGCCATTTAAGGTATCTGTAGAGGTCCTACCTTTACAAGCCTCAGAGGAAAAAATTAGAGGACTCCAACTACACCAAAATTCGCTTGTCTTAGACCTTTCGAGGGCGCGTCGTTCTTTATTCGCGCCCGAGACAGGAACGTGAGGACTGGGGAAAGCGGAGATTACGCGGACTGAAGACGAATCTAGGAAGAACCGCGCGCGGGAATAAGAGGAGTTGAAGAACTAGTTTCAAAAGCTCCCAAAAGTGTTGGGCTTTCTTATTGCATCTAAAATGCCGCTCATTTCCTTTTGTGTTTACAGTAGGCCGTTTGCTAGATGGCCATCATGTCCATTATCATGACGTCATTTTCGTCAGTGATTGGTTACCCTGAACCTTACTTAATGAGACATTGGGTCAGGGAATATTAAAATATCGAGCCACTGCAACCATAAATTGAGTTCTTATTGGCAAATGAGTGAGTGTTTTTAAAGATATACAGACTTCTATTCTTTAAAAAGCGGAAAGATGAGGATAAATCGCGCTAAGTTTGAGCAATTTCTCTATGATGTGTATTCCCAATGTGTGTTTACTTTAGCTTTATAACCCATATTTAATTCTGCCCCAACGTCAGTATTGACCAACGTTTAAAAATAATATATGTCTAATGTTTACTAGCCCAAGCTGTTTCGCAGCCTTTCAATAATCGTTGGTAACCCAGCTGCAGCCATGGGCTTCCAATTTGCGTCAAACTTAGGCTCCTTACATGTCTGAAGCGCCCTTGCAAGCTCATGCAACTCAACAAAATCGCGACTATCCAATAGACCTTCACGACGATTCAGCCGCCACAAGAGATCAAGCGCCTGCACTTTGGTTTCATCGTCAGTCGTGGTCGATGCGACAAAAGCTAGGCCGGAAATCAGATCGCCATCGAGCGAATAAGTCGGCTGGGCGAGAGCGATGAAAGGCGCCGCTGCTTCTCTAGCTGCTGCCAAGAATGGCTGAAAAGTGTTGGGTTCAGCGACCGCTTCTTTGGTGGAGTGTGAATCTATAGCCATCTGCCAGTATTGCTGGTGCAGACGCAAGTTGCAGTACTGCTGCTTGCCCTCGACAACTATATCGTCTTGCCGTGCCTCATAAAACGCATCAAGTCGGTCAGTCCATTGATCGAGGGCGTCTTGAAGCTTCTCAGTCGCTTCAATTATAAGTTTAGCTTTATTCGGATCATCGCTCCCTTCATAATGCCAAGGCTTTTTATCGTAGAGAACATCCAAATGCCGCAGTGCAGACGACGCTTCGTCAAGATTGTTGAACGGCTTGGGAGACAGAGAGTGCTGAGATTTGTTCGTTTGATACCACTTTTGTATCCCAGAGATGCTTGGATCATTTTGCATGAAGTTGGATGACTCTACGCCAAGTCGACAAAACATCTCGGCAAGCTTTGTAGTCATCCCGCGATCTTCATCACTTAACGACGACAACGGCGAATTGAACAATGAGATTCCTGCACTGAGATGTTGGAGGAGCTCGTCGTAACGACCAGTCAGGCCTTCGAACGAGATGAAGAGTAGACAGCAGATCATGATGATTTGTAGGTCTTGAGAAGCTGCTGTCATGCTTGGTATAATAGTCGCGATAGCCTTATTGTATTGGTGCGTAGCGAAGCTCTTTAAGCCGCCAATATCCGAATGACCTAGGGATTTCGCCATGAAGAGTCGATGCGAGGCGCCGACTGCAATCATGCTGTATCGAATTGACTTGAACTGATAACCCATGGGTAGAGCGTACCGAAGCCAAAAGTTGGTCGGACCAGAAGAGAGCGACAGCTGTGTAGTTGTGAACTGGAGGAAGTGTTGGAAGTATAAACGCTCTGAAGTGGACAACGATGGAATATCGTCAATCGTTAAACATAGGGAAAGTGTATCAGCGGTTGTTGGTGCAACCTTCTTTCGATGCTTTCGGCGGGTTGCTTTGGGTTTAGGCATGGCGTAACCGTCGCATTTGACCTTGTCCTCGGAACAGCGATTGCATGTCGGTTTTGCTTCATCACATTTTAGGTGTCGAGTCCTATAAGCATAATAAGTCGTTCTAGAAGAGGGTATAACGCTACGTACTTGCTGCAGTCGGATTAGCCATTGGACTCGTACGGTAATAGGATCTCGGCAAACGTACCATGTGATGCAGCCATTGCGGCTTTTTGGGGTAGATACGCGCTTATGCTTGACTTTGGCAGTGACAAGTTCTTGGGTGGCCATCGTTGAACGCACGTAGCCGTTGGCAGTGAACACGAGGCAACCTATAGGAAAAATGACAATCCTGAGCAAAGTGAGCTTTTCTAAGGGGAGGATAATTATGTAGCCCCACTTCCTATCGGGCACTGCGAGGGCGAATTTTACGGGAAAGCCAATCATATTGACGGAAGAAGACAGTCTAAACCCATTTGAGACGCTCACATCATATCCACTTTTATAGACCATATCCTAAGTTAGAACATTGCAACAATACTCATTTGCTATATCGATTTAGGACCCCTTTCTGTTTTTCATTGCCGTATCTATACATACTCATCCATGTCAACATATATGAAACTATATCAGTCAGGTTCTAAAGATAGCCTCAAACCCAGAGTCGCGCTAGCCTGGTCCGCACGTTTTTGTCGTAGGCATAGATGAGATCAGCTGACCATTTCAGTGAAGCACTGGATTCATCTGCCAACCCACGTAGACGTGCCTCTCGAACCGGAGAACTGGGGTCTAAACCCAAGCACCAATGGACGGCTGCTGTATATGTATCCCCCATGTTTGACGCCAGTTCTCCCATTGCTCGCGAAAAGTCGTCATCTCCGACTACGCACCACTGAGAAATATCGAGTAGCACCCTTCCTAGGGAGTAGATGTCAAATTCTGCACGATAGCGATACTTTGCTAGGTCATTGGGACGCTTGTTTCTTCGCAGAGGGTGCTGATAGAAATCCCTCTCCAGAACCATCTGCTTGCGCTCATTTGAACCTGCCGTGACTTGTCGAGCGAAGTCAAAGCCCGTAATCACAGGGTCTGTGACGTTGCATTCACCATTTATCTGCTCAACAAATAAAACGTTGTCCGAATTGAAACTCTGATGAAGCCACTGTGATGTCTGAAATTGGCGCAGTATCTTGGTAAGCTTCGCAGCCAGCGAGTATCGTTTCCCTAGAGCTGGGACCGAACCAGAATTATCTCGTGATCTGGAGAATATATCCTTGAGAGACACTACAACGTGCTTGCTAAAGTTAAACTCGATTGGTAAGCTATACACAAGCCCGAACGTTGTGTCGCTATCATCCACAAGTTCGACGTAAGCAACGGGTCGAAGGAGGCTGAAGTCCTGCACGTTTTGGATCTCCAGACGACAGACGAGATGATCAAGTCGATTCTTGACTTGTTCCCTTTTTCTTTCTGTATCGGCCTTGACATTCCTGTTCCATTCAATCAAACATGTCTGTTGGCTGTAAAGAAGTATCCCACGAGCTTGGACTTCGCGATAGGGCGAGCCTTCAACATCTTCAAGGTCATCTTCATCAATCTCTCGACAGCCAAACGCCCCTGGCGCGCTTCCATCACCCATCTCTAGGATCGAGTTGAGTGCTGCAGACCTTATAGCCCCGTCTTTCTCGTCATCAGCACAGTCGAAGATGGTAGCCAACTTGTCGACAGATCCCTGAAGGTGGGTAAATCCCGCAGGGACAATTCTGGATAGCTTGTCAAATTGTCTGTTCATTTTGAAGCGTTCCAGACCATTGTTTTGTTCATGCAGTTTGCGCACATCCTCGTCAATTGCTTGTAGTGTCCCCCTGTACATCTCTACTACCTTTTCCGAGGCTTGTTTGGGCTGGCGTACGAGTCCTATTCTTCTTAGGGCATCCATCATTAACTCATAAGTTGGAGGCTGGCTGAAGAAGCCCATCTCGATATCTTGTCCAGCGGCAGCTGTTGTTGTTCCGGTGCGATGCGAAAGATCACTCCTAAGCTCCTGGACTTTTTGTAAATCTACAGGTCCTATGCGTTGGAAGAGTTCGATGATATTCTTGATCAGATGTTGTGAAGTTGATAGAGTCATTTGAACAAAGAACAGGTCCTTTTCGTTTTCTATGTCAAACTGATGCTGGTCGTCGCTGGACAAATTCCGAGTAATGGTTCCACTTGAAGAATCAAGTACGTAGCCCATGGACTGACACCAAATTTCGAGACGAGTGATCTCGCGGAAAAATCGTATGAGAAGCGAGCACGTCTGTGCATCGAACGCCTGGAGCTCTTCAACCTTCTTCCATGCCCAAGCGATGGTAGTGCCAAGGTCACTTATGACTGACACAGTGCCCGTAAAAACACCATAACGAGCTGAGCCGTGCTCCTCGTCATTGTTTCCCATAGTGATTGATAAGAAACGGAGCTTTGATCTCGGCGTAGTTAGGTTCAAGCTACTGTATTCTCGGTTTCCAGCTTATCAGGTTACATATAACAATAGAAAAAGAAAAGAGACATATGGAACAGGATGAAGAAAGACAGTATGTAGAGGTGAGGGAATAAGAGAGAAGATAGAAGAGAGCAGAAAAATGACAATAGCGAGAGGGGGGGCGCGACAAGAGGAAAGAAGGGAGGGGAAGTGAGGCTCAGACATCGGCACATACGTGTCAGCTGATGCATATTTTACTCAAAAGGACAAGTTTATTGCCTCAGCCGCATGAGAAATTTTCCTTTTACCGTTAGGTTATCAAGGGTGTAATATAGATGGCTTTACACTGTCGTCCAATGATGTGAGCTGGTATCTGCGGCTGAGGCGCCACCGTTAGGGTGAGACTGAGAAACAGCGCATATAGATACGCCTGCCCTCCGTGATAGCCCTCATACTCGTTGGACTTCCTTCTAGTATCCATAGAAAACCTACCCCAGAGAAAAATGGAGCAGCAGGAGTTGGTCGATCCGCCGAGCGTAGTCGAAGCAATGGCGACACTGGAGCTGAACTCCCCTCGAACAACAGAGTCTTCACCCGGAGATATCACTTCGAGCAATTCGAATGTCTCCACAGAGCTTTCGCCAATTGAGGCTTTGAGTCTCATCTGTCCCATCTCGGTACTCGCCATCTGCGCCAGCCCCTTCCAACCAGCTTCGCACGAAATGCTATGGAGAACGCAAATGCAGATAGCAGCCGGGAGCTACGGCAGAGTTCCTGTTGGACACCTTCTTAAGGAAGAGATGAATTCGAATCTCACGCATTTTAGTGGCAGGAAAAGTCGATATCCTGGAGACATTGAGCTTGTAGCATTCAAGTCCCTACGTGATGTCGACGAGGTCATCACAGAGATTGGCGACCACAAAGAGACACCTAGCACCATCCATTTCAAGGATATTATTCCTGAACTGACATTGCTAGCTACTCCCAAGATCTTGTATCATGAAAACATTGTTGATTTGCTGGGGTATGTTTGGGAGCCGTATGGTGGCGTTGGCCAAGTTCGATATGCACCTACTCTTATTCTCGAGTTTACAGAGCTAGGATCGCTACGTTTGTTTCTAAAATCTACGCCTGATCTTGATGTAAGCCGCAGAATACGACTGTGTGCAGATATTTGCCAAGCCTTGATCACTCTACATCATGAGATTGAGGTAATGGGACAACACGTCGGGGTCTTTCACGGTGACTTGAAACCTGAGTTAGTTCTCGAGTTATCTACCTTTGGTAACCCAAATGACTAACCGCTAAAAGCAACATTCTGATTTTCGAGGACAAGGCTGAGGGCTGCTATATCGCAAAACTATGCGATTTGGGTTAGTTATTATTGCCCGGATCCTGGTCTAGCTAATAACATTCAAGGCTCTTGTATGCGCTATTCTGTCCATACGCCACTGGATGCGAACCAAGTAACACCTGGGACTCAAGGCTGGGGGTCTCCAGAGTCGACTGGGTCTGAAGGTCAATTGATTCACCTCTTGTCCTCTGAAATATCCTCATTTGGCTTGCTGGTGGCTTACATCATCCTGGGAATGGATGCCTACCAAATCCCTGAAGTGAAGGGATTCCTCATGAGCGCTTACCTTTCATCTGGTGCCATACATGGACATGATGAGGCCGCGGAAAAGATGAGGCGAGCTCAACAGTGGATGATTAATACTCATTTTGATTTGTTTGTTGGTTCTATCTTTACAGCCGTGAAGGATATGAAGCTTCCAGAAAAAGAGGACGCAATAGTAAGGTCGGTTTTGCATCAAACACTGGCCTTTGCGCCGGAGCAACGCGCCCAAACATTTTCGGACATCTTCGATTCCCTGGATGTTAAATACACCAAAGGCAAACACAGGTAGGTTGTGCGGCTGATAATGTCGTCATGGACCCTGATTTACTAATACACAACGATAGAACTCCAACAGAGCCGATCTTGAACACAATGGACGATCCAACTTCTCGACTTTCCATTCACGTATGTGTCGCGAAGCATACCCTGTCTGTTTAAAATGCTGACCATTGGAGTGGGCACTCGCTTTAGTCACATCTACAGCAACAATGGATCACCACTTCCATGAATGGCTAGGCCAGCATCTGGAAGTAGTATTCAATCACCTCATAAGCAAGAACTCGATCACTCTAACGAGTATCATCTCGCATGTTGCTCTCTTGAGGGGACTTTTGGCTTTCCTTCCGCCAAACGTAGGTTCAAAAATGGCTGCGGGAGAAACGTGGCTCAAACAAGCTGCTTCATATGGGGATCCCGATGTTTCCGTGCTTGCATACCGACTCCTCGAAGCCCAAGGTTGCAACAACTCGACGGACTTTACCGATTGCTTGGTACGTGCTGCCAAGGCAGGGTCTATCTTGGCTCGTGAAAGTGGCTTGGTCACACCATCTCTGATAACTGATATCGATGAGAATGTGTTTCTTGTCAGTGTGCAGGATTCATTTCAGGAGAATGCCATTTGGCCGATGCACCTCTTGGCATTCCTCCGCGATGAATGTGAGGTTCAGGGCCTTATTGAGATCTTTATAGGGCAACAATGGGATTTGCAGACCCAGACCTGGCTTGGCATCGATCAAGTCAATGGTGGCTATCTGACATACTCCATGACCATGCCTGGCACAGCCCTCCACTGGGCTGTACAGATGAACAATCTCGTTGCTGTAAAAGCCTTGGTAGAGGCCGGTGCTACGCCGTATACCTTTACAGAGCGCCGTCGAAATGCATGGGCTGTGGCTGTTGGTGCTAGGCTTCTGCCCATCATCATTTATTTCGTCGAGTCCTGCGCGTGCACCGATGTTGCAGCAAGAAGACACTGGACGGTCGAAGCGTTATTCTATGGACTACCGGAGGCCTATCTCGCATGCGGAGAAAGATACGTTGAAGCGTGTTGCAAAACATTTCGATATTTGTTCGGTAAGGGTATCCTACCTCGTCGGGAAGCATATGCTTCAACCGTATCTCTTGGCTCTGGCGATGACCGTCTACTAAAGAGATTGTTGGACGAGGACTACGACGAGAAGCGGGATCTTGCTATGGTAAAGAGACTTCTTATTGATTCTGTCATCAACGGTGACATCGCAGCCGTGCAAATTCTATTGGGTTATTTGCCTCAGTTTGAAACGAGCGATTACGCGATACACGCACTGACGTCAGCCATAACATCACGAGCAGCTGAAGAAGATGCTGTCTTTAAACTCCTTCTACAGCACGTCTCCAAAAGTTTCGACATTAATGTCCGATTTACACACCTCCATGTCATAACTCACCAGTCGCCTGTCATCAGTGATATAGAAGGACATACATTGCTGCACTCCGCCTTCGATCATGGGAAGGTCAATATGGCAATCGAACTTCTCGACAAGGGAGCTGACCCAACAATCCTTAGCGTTGATAAGAAGGCACCGGAAGATGGAATGAATGCATTTGGCCGCCTATTTTTCGCAAACACGCATCACAACCATCTAGCGCTGAAAAGATTTCTACAGTCTGAGTACATCCGAGAGCATCCAGATTTTCTGTTCGAAAATGCCATCATTTTGCCGGCCTCAAATTGTAATATCTTCCATTTCTTGACCAGCGACGAGTCTTCTCGCGTTTATGACAGTTTTGTTCACCAAATAACAGCTCTGAACGAGCTACTGGCTCAAATGCGGAAAACTCCATCTTCGAAGACTAGAGTCAAGGATCTGCTAAACGCCCAAAGAGTAGGAGCGGGTGGGGAGTTAGGCCTTACGCCGCTTCACAGTGCAGCAGTTAGTGGCTTCGCTGATGCTGTTCGTCTTCTTGTCGCTAAGGGAGCTGATCCGCTTTTCCGTATAATGGCAGATCCAGATAACGGCATTCCCGGTCTTAGTCCGCTGGATTTAGTAGACACGCGGAGCCTAGTGGCGTGGAAAGAAGACTGGTTAGTGCACGAAAGCACACTTCCGAGCTATGGAGTTCCATGGTTCGAGATGGGAGCGCCGGTGGCTCAGAAGTGGGCGACGAATTATGAGGAGCGAACTTGGAAGACGATTCGTGCTTTGAAACAGGTCTTAATTAAAACGCAAGCAGGAGCAGAGCTGTGGACAAAACGAGTGGAATTTCGATCTCGAAATGGACTCAGGATTGAGAAACACATTATGTAAGATGTTGTGTAGTATATGAAGATCAAGAGTTATCCGAAACACCCCCAGAGACAGGAAGACCGAAATATGTAATATTCAAATATACCAAATGGCTATTAGTATGACGAAGCATCTAGTATTTCAGAATGATATACAAGGCATGAATAAGGCCAGGAATGAAGACTCAAACAGGTTAGTAGTGTAAGACTCCAGGAGACGGCCAAAACATACACAAAATAGTCAGGAGCAAGTTTATCCAAAAGTCACCTCCACATCCTCGCTCCATGAACACACCGACTGGGGGAAGAATGATTGCGAAAGCTATTTTGCAAATGCCACTAAGACAGGTTAGCAGTTGCAATGGCACTGCGTATTTACAGGAGAGAAGCGAAGGATAATGACTGACCCAGCAGTGAACGGCATCTTGACGGCTGTAAAAAGGAGTGGACGGCTTGAAAGAAAACAATGTTGGTGAAGTGGTTTATAAAGGAATGATCTGGGAAACTAGATCTCTCAGGGAGAGAACCGGGCTTTTATAGCTGCTTAATAGGTTTTCAAGCTCAAGCTCAAACTATGCACGGTTATCTGGCAGGGCTATAAAAGTCCCATCGTAACATTGGTCTTTACGCCACTGTGTGAGCAAGGGCCGGCATCCACAGCCATGTTACCAGACCTAATGACTAAACGGCAATTATTCCACGAGTTTGACGATAACCGATATTAGAATATGCGGCAGGAAGCTGTCCATGAGGCTTGACCCACAAGGCGAGGTCAATGATTGGCTGTTTCGTGTTCCAGTGAAATGGCCAAGTCCGTAGCGCGTGTTTGCCGTAGCACTATTTGTTGATAAGACGTTCAAGTTGTGGGGCTCGAGTCAGTCGCGTACAGACTTTATGTCAGTAATGTAGTTAAAGTCTATAATTGCCTTCTTAAGCCAGTACCTAACTACACCATCATCCCCATCCACTCCAGCACACTCATTATTCCTATCTCTAGAACCTTCTAACTGCATTATAGAAGGCGTTCCTATTTATGGTATAGTTACATGGCTTGATGTAATTGTGCAGTGGCTGCCACTCACACCAGGACATGCGTTAGTATGAATATCCACGCAGTTCTCCGTAACGAATGGAGCCAAGATGTTTGCTCCATTGCTGGTATCCGTAACCATTTCCATCATGATGAAGTGCGTGTACTTCTTTCCACTAAAATAGGCTTGGACATTGTAGGTACAAATTTTGGTCGGAGTAGCCAAGCAGAATGAATGGTACCAGTAGCCAGCGAATACGCCATCATTGGGGTCGAAGGAGAAATTCTTGAATCCGTCAATATCCTTTGTGCCGACCATATACATTCGATTCGACTGAGAATACCAATAGGAAACCCACTCGAATTCGCGCTGCGTGTTTCGTAGGTTGGGGCAGTAAAAGTTCAATTTGGCGTTCAAGGTTGCGTGTAGAACTTCACGCTTGCGGAGGCTCCTCTCCTGTAGATTGTCTTGGGTCTGGTTTTGGGTGGCTGAAACCTGTAGCGCATGGATCTCTCCGGGAGCGTAGACCTTACCAAGCTCAAGCTCGATGGTGGCGAGCTTCTGGGATGGCAGGTCGTTGGATATTGCCGTTGCTCCGATCATTTTAGGGAGGCAAAGAGCCACCCAAAAAGCCCACGACACATGCATTCCTACATTCTCCTGTCAATTTACATTCTGGTGAAAGAGAACGTGACTCAACTTACCGGACTGGTTTTAATGAAATGGAGGTTTTTGAAAATGCTTGTAGGTGTAGACAAGAGCCTTTAAGTGAGATGCTGGAGTAGAATTCTGAAAACGGAAAAGGAAATTTATGGCCTTTTTATAATGCCTCGAGGCATCGCGGTCTAGCATGTCCCTAACCTCGCGCCTCCCCGATATCCAGTCACAATGCTAGGTATCCTTGCCATAGGGGCGACAGTTTCGTCTCCGGTTCGAATCTGCGAGTTACGAGGCAACCCGGTCTGCTCACTATCGGGCCGAGAAACTCTTCACCTAAAGAACCTGAACATGTCTAAAGTTTAACCAACTCAACGACCCATGTTTGACTCGGATCAGCAGCTTCAACGTCGATCTGACAATGCTCCATAACACATGTAGATGGCCTACCCAATTCCCCACCCTAAACACCTCCTATATTTGGTAAGACTAAAACCAGGAGAACAGAATGGTATACTTTAAGGGCTTGAAACACTTTAGGTTAGATCAGCAGCCTTCTAAGTCAAAGCATATAAAGCAGGGATTGCACGCTAGTCTGTAGGCCAAGGGAAACTGATTTCAGAGTTTCTTTTCATACCTATTAGCCGTTTCTATTAACTATAACCTCGCTATCATTATGCTGCGTAACAATTGTTTCCTAAAGCATGAATAATCTTCTGTTAGTATTACTGAGCTTACATAAAGGGCGAGCAGTAACATGATACCAATATAATTTCTTAAATACAATCGCAGAATAACGCTATGACATCAAACTAGGAAAACCGAGCTCATCTCTGTATACTTGCACGCAAATCTCGAAAAGACCATGCCACGTAGCAAGGCTCCAACATTGGCTCAAGCCAGTCCTGCTAGCGTGCATATACGAAGCACTCCCTTCCTACACGAGAAGGCTAGCTTATAGTAAGTATTACAGATTGAATGTGATACATGCAAGTAACTAATTCTATTTTTAATTCTATTGCTCGCACAATATCACATGCAAACCACAAATGACTGTATGCTGGTGGTATCTAGGACAAAGGAGTGGACTTTCACATGTAACGCATAGGAGGGCCCAAACAAGGCCGCGTTTGGGGCTCGGAAATTTCTAAAGCACATTAAATCTGAAGTTAGGGCCACGCTCTAATGATCTGCCTAGCATGACTTGAATTGTTGCACTACGGACTCAAACGCCTGCCCAGCAAGGAGTTAGCCTATACATAAAAATACATTACTGAGGGATGAGAACAAAGATCTCCCACAGACAAATAAAACACTAAGCCAATGGCGGATGGCAAACGGAGGAGTTGTGACAGTTGATGAAAGTAGACAAGTAATTGATCGGATGAACGTAGGCACGCAATGAGAAGGCGAAATGCCGAGAGGCGGACAATCGGCGCAAAGGAAAAGAAAGATGGAAGAGGGTTAAAGAGGATGCGACAAGGCTGGAGAATAATGTAAAAACATGTCAGATAGCTGTTACAGTGTCTGGGGAAGAGTGCCATAAGTCTTCTGGTTGATTCGAGGGTTTGGTGTAGTTATGCCATAGCTTCCATTCTCAAGGTTGAGATATTGTGGCTCAGATACTTGTTTGGCTCACAGGCTTGTTACATTCATTAGGAAGTACGCGTGGAAGCAAGGGTGTATCTAGCATGCCGTAGAACAGGGAGGCTTTCTGCATGAGATCATGCGAATTTGCGCCCCTAAAGAGAATACGCGTATTTCTTTGCACCAGATATGCCTCGTTCCGTAGTGCTTTGACCGCACGGTTCGTGCGACAGCTCCGACTTGCACGGTTCGTACGACATCTCCGACTCTTAGCGCCCCATTCGACCTTTTCCCCTCAACATTCTGGTTTGCAAATTTCGCTTCAAGCCGAGAATGCCGCAATTGATAGCACTGACCTCGTTGCAGACAATTGGCTTTCCAATCACAGCTACTCCTTCACCTACACAGCTTTTGTTATTGGTAGGGTCACCGGGTTGTGTTGCTTGCTGATCTTTTGCTATACTTTAGCCTCGTTATTCCCCTGTCGGGCCGACATGTCCGCACAAAAGTACCGAGTCACCCCTGCGTCACAAGTTTGATCTACCTCAGGTCCCTTAAGGAATGAAGCCTTATCGCGGGACAGTCAAACGCCACACTCCTAAAGCACGGAGAAGCTCGAAATCACTCAATCACCAGCCGTCCTAGGCACTTCTAGAACATCGCACTGGCGCCCTGCTTACCTACATTTTGCCTTACTGATATCTGTGATTTATTCTTCAAAATTCTATATACGCATCAGAGACGCAAGTTTGGTCCCAGAGAATCATCTGCTTAACCAATCATGGACTTAATAAATGAGCATTGGGGGCTAAACAATCCTCCATGCGTTGCACTTCCGACAGAGCGAAAGCTTAGCCTCCCATTATCAGCTGCTGAACCTAACGAGCTTGTTCAGAGCTGTCATGAGACCGTTTCACATCACATCATCAATGAGTCCACAGTCGAGAAACGCGATATAAGCCGCGGGTTAGGTCTGAGAACATCCAGATATCGGTATGTTAATCATATCTTTCTTCTATTCCTCTCTTTGGGCGTTTGAACATGTGTGCATTATAACTTCCTTCTCTTTCCATTGCCGATTTATTGCTGCGTTTTTCTCTTCCCACCCGAAAGATTAAGGAAACAGAGAGAGAATCTCACAACTTTATTTTATGCTCCATCATTTTCAAAACGCTAAACCTTGTTGATCAGATCGCATATAAAGCGACAAAAGATGCATGTGAACAGATTCCGACGCTGCCCCGGTCACTATCGTCAAAGGTACACCCGTCATTCGCCGCCGCAACGAAAATCACGCAAGAACACCATAGTTCACGTATTTCAAAAGAGAATTCAGTCGTTGATGGTGGCGCTTGATGTGTCGTTGAACGAGAACCGAAGACTTGTAGAGGAACTTAGCTGGTGGCGAAGAAGAGCTGTTGGTGTAACTCCACCAAGCATGTTCTGCAGCACAATTTTGGATGACGATCGTGCAGGGTGCGTGTAGCGAGCGATAACCAGACTCATTCTTACGAACTATTTGCATTATACTTAAGTCTACATCAAGCAATCAAAAGAGCCACATGTGCCTTGCACTCGAACCTTCTTAAACTGGTCAAAACCCGTCATCATCCACCACTTAGAAATGCGCGTTCAAATTGAAATCCTTCTGCTTTTCAGAAAGACTTGATCTGACAAATTTGTTTGGCATCGCTCTGGAAGACTACCTCCCACGAGGCATCTGCATTGTGGTGTATTTCTGTAGAGTTGTCTTGTCTGTATCATCCGCCCACAGCTGAGGGTGAGTATTACTAGTTCGCCGGTACGGACTCCAAAGCCTGCCGAGGAAGGAGCAACTACTTCGGCCCTAAGAGTCCCCAAGACCTGCAAGACAATCCTTGAGGCCTGTTCCTAGCTTGAGTACTTTGAAAAGACAATCCGTAGGCATAAGCGTAGTTCTCCAGAGTCAGTTTTTGAGGCTATAGGGTCCCCCTGTTGAAGGTAAAAAGATAGTGATGCGTTAAGCTTGCATTATTGGAGGCCAGGGTCCAAGACCTTGAACAGGCAAATGAGATATTAAACCGACGGCAGCAGGCAGAAAGAACCCGGCTGCAGAAAGGAAGTCTGCTGAGGGTAGCGAATGGAAGGCAGGTGATTCGTCAAATGGATATTAATGCTCAGGTACTAGCCGAGTCACCGAGAACAAGGGGTGATCGAAAGACATCCGGTACGAATTAATCAAGGACGATTCCGCTACCGCTGCTTACAGCTTCATCTTCACGTATGAAGGATTAGGGATGTAGGAGGGCGCCACCACCGTCCTTGAGACTTGTGTGCCAGCAGAAACGTGTAGAGAGAGGAACATGAGGATGATAGTTTACGATACGATGTTTAAACTACATTCATCCTCTAACCACATGTTGAGGCTACAGATGGGTCAGAAGCAGATTTATCCACAAGCCGCCTGCACATCCCCGCGCCATGAAAAAACCGACTTGAGCGAAAATGATCGCCATTTGAGACACGGAAAAGCTGTGACATGACAAGGCTTCTCCTTAACTAATATACTACAAACAACAAAAAGAATACGGTTCTTACTTACCTATGGTAGATAAAAGTCAAAATCTTTTATTTTAAAGAGTGCGATAATGAAGAGCTACCCTGCATATGAGCTAGGAGGACTCCCTCTCATCTAAAATGCAAAAATCTGGTTTGACATCTTAGCTGACGCCCCAGGCTGTTCAAACCCCAAGTCAACAAGCGCCCTCTTCGAAGCATTGACCATTCCCGGCGGTCCACACAAGAAGACCTTCGAATCCACCTTCGGCGACGGCAATCTCTCCTTCATTAACTCCCGAGTTACATATCCAGACCCAAACTCCCAGTTCGCCGGCGGCTGGTCCAGCATATAATACACCTTGAAGTTCTTAGGGTATCTCCTGGCAAATCTGTCCAACTCTTCCCGAAGAAGAATGTCCTGTTCCGTTCTGTTGGCGTAGATGAGAGAAATCTCTGTTGTGTCGCGGTCATGCTCGCAGATAGCACGGATTACCTGGAACATGGGAGTTATACCAGTACCACCGGCGATCATACCGATCTTCTTGCAGAGATTTGGTCGATACTTCATTGCTCCTTTTGGTCCTCTGAAGAGGACCTCGTCCCCGACCTCGAGCTTCGCCAGATATTTGCTGGTGAGCTTGCCATCTGGGTACGCCTTGATGACCAATTCAAGAATGCCAAGGTCAGAATTGTTAGACACTGGCGTATATGACCTAGCAACGCTCTCTCCATCTATGTCAGCCTTAATAGTAACATGCTGCCCGATCGGCAGGCCCAGAATAGTGCTCGTGGTCGGCAGACTAAACGTCAAGCGATAAACGTTTGGTGCGATGAGAACCTTTTGCTTCAGCGGAAGTGGCGAGTAGGTGACTGGATCCAAGAGGCCTCTCTGCAGCAAGGTGTCTTCTTCAGCTCGTTTGGGAAGATTCATGTGGGCAGGATAACTGGTGAATGTCTTGCTCTTCATTGCCATGGTGGTGAATTGTTTTGCGGCGATAGCATTGGCGATTGCAAGAGATCCACCTCCGACGACTATGCCTTTGAGGAAGCTTGAACCAGTTGAGTCACTACCTAGCGACGCTACCAGCCAGTCTGGTACCATGAGTCCTTGACGGCGACAGAAGTAGTATGCTCCCGCACCTGTGCAGCCAATGAAACCTAGGACCACCAACGAAGACAGTGACGAAGAAGCACCGGACTGGACCTTCACTTCATTTACTGGTGCAAGTGGCTTAAGCTTGGGTTTCTTCTTCTCGAAGCCCTGGATCCTCCCAACACAACAGTCTTTCATGATCTCGAAGGCATCTTCAGAGTGTCCAGCGTTGTCAAAGTCTTCACTGGCGTCTGTACCGGCTGCTTCAGTGAGCACATCTGCACCGCCAGGATGGTCTGCTAGATACCTGGTGACGTCGTAGACTTGGCTCGAGTTAGCTAGTGGTCCAGATGGAGTATTTGTAGCGTACCTTGGCCGTGGATGATTAGCCATGCATCGTCAGGGCTGTTATGCTCAGCGGCTTGCTTGACAGTATATTCGTCCATTGTTCGCAGTGAGACACAATTTGAGTGTTGATTCAATTGTACCAAGGGTAGATATTTGGTGAAGAGCTAAAGAATATTCGAATTTAAATACCAGCAACTTGGCCTACTGCAGACCGTTCTCTTAAACAGTAAAATGCTTGCGCATCAAGCGGGCACGGCTTAGCCACATTGCGTAAAGCTCACCGGCAGATGGTAGATCCCAGGATTGTCAAGGATTATGCCGTCATTTGCATGTGCCCACGACGGGCCGGAGTGCAGCTCCGTAGTGGGTCCTGATAAATGCCGAGGTTTCATCGCCCGTTGTGGGTCCATGCGACCGAGGCTGACCCGCTTTATGATCGACGTCGACCGGAGGCTGTCGGTGAAACAATGCGAATTCCGCTGTTGATGTAATACGTACTGCTTTATTGGCCCGACGCTCTTAATCCATCCTCACAAATGCCTATGCTGGTGCTTGTATTTCTGTCTTCGCGGCTGAACTAAACGCGAGGACCGACATGGCATGGGCCCTTCCGATGATCCCGTTTGCATCGTCCAATCGTAGCGAATATTGTAATCAGACCGAGAAACCTGTAAACACGGACATGCCGAAAGATTAACGGAAACAATGATAAAATTTCTACGATACAGGACTTGAACGTCATTCACTTTACAATGCGAGGGAATTTGGTCTCCACGTTGGGCATCGTATCCTTGCCTCCGGTGTTATTGAAGAGGGCGAGAATGGGTATTTGCATGTGCCATGCATGAGAGCTTTCGCCTCCTGAGATTTCTCCATATAACGGCCAATATTCTTGAGACCTCAATTCTCGAACAGACACTCTTGGCTCTTTACTCAGTTCATTACCATCATCATGTCCTCAAAGCAATTTTATCTCTTGGGTGAGTCGCCGACAACAGCCAGAGAGGTTGAGCTGCCGTCCGCCGTGGACTTTGAGGAGCTTCAAAACATTGTGGCATCTCACTTTGCCATCGTCAAGCCAAACGGCAAGTTTTATCGAGCTATCGCAGCAACGCAATTGACTGACTTGGACATTCAGGTGTCGGCTTTGCTCACAATGATCGAAGGCTCAACGCAGTATCCGAAGTCTTGGAGAATGAAGATCCAATTGCAGTCTCCATCAACGGCAACGCTGTCCGAGACGTGCCTGGCCCTGCTGGCATTCCATACTTTGGTAACTACCTAGAGATCTACCCCGATCATATTGGCAACCACCAGCGACTATTTGAGAAATACGGACCGTTGTTCGTTACTAATAGTATGGGCAACCGTCTCTACCAGACGAATAACGCCGAACTGTCCAACATATTCCTTGCGGAAGACCACTACTTCACAAAAGACATCGTCCCCGGCCATCCACTCCACCCAATCAAGAATCAAGAAGCAGGCGTCTTTCTAGCCGACACCAACACCGAGCAATGGCGTCTTGCTCATAAATTCCTCCCCCCTGCGCTGGGGCCGAAAGCCGTCCGTCATTACGCTCCAACGATGCAGCGAACAGTAGAGCAGTCCTTCAAAGTCTTCGATGAGCTCGATGAAAAGGGCGAGGCGTGGAATGTTTACCAGTACATGCTGAAGCTTGGCTCCCAGGCAGTAGGTAAGCTTGTCCTAGGAATGGACTTTGCCCATTTTGAGGAAGTAGACTCGCCGCTGCACGAGATGGTCCTCAAGGTTGCGGAGAACTTGGAGCTGAATAAGCGCGTGTCATCCATGGGTGCTTGGTATGCCAAGATGCCATTTGGTGATCCAAAGAAAATGAGAGATATAAGCGCTAGGATCATGGAGATGATGACGGAGTCGATTGCCAGGGCTTCAAAGGGACAAGAGGATCTGGAGCTACAGGATGCAGCACTCAAGGCTGAAAATGTGGTTGGTAAGTTGCATGTACCCGAACAGAGACCTGTCCTAACTGACCGCCTAGACTACTTCCTGCGAGCCAAGGACAACAAGGGAAACAAGCTTCCGCCCTCCCAGTTCGCCCCTACCTTGCTCGTAGCTACAGGCGCCGGCTTCACCACCACGTCATCCTTGCTGTCCTGGTTGATCTTCAGTCTTGTCAAGTATCCAGGAAACCAAGAGCGTCTGCTTCAAGAACTCGTCGACAACGATTGGGACGACGACACCCATGTCACAGCTGAGACAACCAACAAGCTCAGCTTCCTAGATAAATTCATCAAAGAAACACAGCGCCTGCACAATCCCTCCTTTCAGCCCGGTCGTACCGCCAAAGTTGATATGATCCTACCAGGAGGCTACAAACTCCCCAAAGGAGCAGTCGTCATCTCAGCACTGCATCACATACACAACAACAAGGACGTATGGGAGAACCCTGGCCGTTTTGACCCTGATCGCTGGGATACAGAACAGGTCAAGAATCGACCTCCAGGCTCTTACATCCCATTCGCGACAGGTCCCAGAATGTGTGTCGGTTTCAACTTTGCGTTGCAGGAGATCAAGGTGTTTTTGCCGAAGCTTGTTTATCGGTACCAGTTCAGCTTGGCACAGGATGGGCCTGTTGACTATGATCCGTACTTCCAGTTGATTCGACCGAATAATTTGTATGTTCAGGCGGAGAAGAGAGTGAAGTGGCCACCAAAGTCTGAATGATCGGCTTTGGGTTGGCAGGTAGTCAGCGTGTAGTTCAATCACACATCCGTAATATGGTATAATAAACTTCCATGTTCTGTCTTATCAGTGCTTATACCGAGTATTCGGACAAATCCCGCGGACAAGCTCCGAGATAATTGTGGCTCGCATCACCGTTTGGGGATAGCCGAAGGCGAACTTGGCCAAGAGTCATAATGCCTCAATTGACTCAGAAATCTGGTTCTGACTCTATTCCTTCTCGATGCAGTCGACAAAATGGTGCTCACAAAAGACGAAAAGGCTCTTCACGACCAATTGAATCTCCTACCTCGACGCCAATTAGCCACCGCCCTCGCTACCCTCTCTGCGGCTTTACTACTCGTCGTAATTGATCAAAATGGCATATCGGTAATCATCCCCACAATCGCCAAAGACCTGGACGCCGGAGCTACCATCTCTTGGGCTGGCACTTCCAGCTTGATCGCCAATACTTGTTTTCAGATGCTCTACGGTAGACTCTCTGATGTCTTTGGTCGCAAGGTTATTTTTGTGTCTGCCGCCTTACTGCTCTGTGTCGCAGATTTGCTCTGCTCTTTGAGTCAGAATGCGATCATGTTTTACGTCTCTCGGGCCATCGCCGGTATCGGCGGTGGTGGTGTTCAAAACCTTGTCAACATCATCATCTCGGACATCGTCACTCTTGAGCAGAGAGGAAAGATTCAAGGGGTAGTTGGGGGCACTGTTGGATTGGGTAATGTGATCGGACCCTTCATTGCCGCCGGTATCATGCAAAGGTCATCATGGAGAGCGTTCTTCTGGCTTTTGACCCCGTTGTCGTTCATCACCGCGGTTTTGTCCTACCTCTTTCTCCCGTCCAAGCCCGCGACAATTGGCTTTCGGGAAGGGATTTCCAAGATAGACTGGATAGGTTCACTAGTCTCAGGTACTGGTATCGTATTGCTTCTGATCCCTATCTCCGGAGGTAGGACCCAAATCTCCCGCGAATGGTGATATCACTAATGCTGACCATTATCAAGGAGGCTCATACTTCTCATGGGACTCGCCACTCTCTATAAGCTTCCTTGCTGTGGGCGGTGCGCTGTTCATGGCATTTATAGGATGGGAATGGAAGATGGCAAAGCTTCCAATGATGCCCAGTAAGAGGGCCTGTCCGAAATTAGTGTCCAAGATGAACCTTACTGACCATTTCAACTTAGTTGACATCTATAAGAACTCAAGCCTCGCCATAATGCTTGCCCAGAACTGTCTGCTCGGTGCTGTTTACCAGTCCTACCTCTATTACGTCCCGCTTTATCTCCAAAACCCTCACCAGTACAGTGCGATCAAATCAGCAGCGGTGTACACCCCGTTGGTAGCGACACAGATGATTGCTTCTGTGGGTTCGGGGCAATACATCAGCCGTCGCCTCCGGTATGGCGAGGTGCTCATATTCGGTTTCGCTGTTTGGACTCTGTAAGTTGTTGTTCGCCATGTCTTCCATGTTTCAAACGATCGCTTACCTCTTTGGCAGAGGAGCGGGCCTGGCTCTACTACTCACGAGACACAGTAGTATTGCCGTTATTGCTGTTATACTGGGTGTTGTCGGAATGGGGGTCGGGTGCATCTTCCAGCCTACCTTGATCGCACTACAGGCTCATTCCCCCAAGAGCCGCCGTGCAGTCATTATTTCCAACAGGAACTTTTATCGTTGTATTGGAGGCGCATGCGGTCTTGCTGTCTCCGCTGCAGTCCTTCAAGCTCAACTACGCGCTACTCTGCCAGCTGAGTACAAGGACCTTGCCAGCTCAACATATGTACTTCCGGAGTCGATGCGCCAGGTTCCTGCGGTCTTGGATGCCTACATGTCTGCAAGCCACAGTGTGTTCATATTGCAAGTTCCTTTAATTGGCCTATGCTTGCTTGGCACGGCTTTTATCCGAGATCGAGGGCTAGAGCCGGTGAAGGATACGTAGAGAGTGGGACATGTGATTAATACATTCTACCTATCCTAAATCTTGTGAGCAAGGAAAGTTTTTGGTGCTTTAGATTCACTCTAGTCTCTGAAAACCCTCAAAGGAGCTCAAAGACGCCCTGTAATACTTTCTTGGATGCTAGGCAAAGGGACTCGAGGGAATTCCAAGCTTTTCCACTTAGCAAAGTCAGAAGAAATAGATGCGAGCTTTGGTTCCTCCAAGCTGAGTTTATCTCGGATGTCGTATCTGTGTTGTAATTGGCCCTCGAGTGTTAGGCAACTAACAGCAGAGTCTTTTTCCCACTTCGGCCGAATAGTGCCCTCGGGTCCCAGTTCTAGGATGCCATTTGCGCCACATACGACGCAAGAGATATTGTTTCCCTCTCGAAACTCAATTTTGAGAAGATGGCAGTAAGGACAACTGCCGTTCTCTTCAGGCCCAAGATACTGGGCCTCTTCGTATGGCTTTCCCATCTGACTAGCCACGCGACGGCCCAGCAGCTCGGCACGCCCAAGAGCAGTTCCTGAATCCGCTAAGACGGCTCCCGGATTTGCGTACCCAGGCAATACAACTTGGTCAATCACACGGGAACGTATGGAGTATACGCAAGTCTGCATTGTGGGTAGAGCCATTGTCCATTGCTCCGGGAATGTAGGGTCAGAACCAGCAACCGCAATAAACCCAGCCACACGAGGCTTGACGGCTCGCGGATCCACATTCGAGTTTTTTACAGACTTATCACCAGCTTCCTGTCGACGTTTCAAGTCATGGTCCATGCATACATCAGCGTAAGGTCCGAGGACGGCGTCCACAAGAGCTTTGAGGGTTCCAGGAGGCTGGTGGCTGTATACCGGAGTGGCAATGATGATGGCATCAGCGTTCATGACTGCTTCAAAGACTGCCTCACGGTCGTCAGGCTCTTTTCTTCTGGATGGTAGTTCTTTTCCATCGTGACGATGCGGTATCAGAGATAGATCAGATCTGAAGGGCAGGTGCTGTCTTGGTAGTACAACTGAAGGCACATGAATCCACGACACAGTAAGTGACGAGTCTGTGGCAGTAGCAGCTTTCAAGGCTGCTTTGAGTAGGATCTCAGAGTTCCCATCAATTGAGCCATTGCAAAGACCAAGAATATGCATTTTGAGAGTTGTAGTGGATAAGAGAATAGCCTTGTTGTGTTGAGGATATGAAAGTGAAGACTTGAAATTACTACCAACTCGTTGATTATTTTTTAACCCGAAGTCCCTGATCAGAGCATATATAAATTATTTTACGGATTACAATGCGCGGTGGCTTCCTTGCCAGTCTAGACTAGGGTGTTTCCCATTTCTAAGCAAGTCAAGCTTTTCGGAATTGCGGGGGTGGAGTTCACCGAACCGAATTACTATCCGGCTTTTTTGTGTATGAGTGCATAGGAGAGTTAGGGTGGGTTTTGTGCATGACTTGTTGAAGATGCACGTGATTCTATACACGTACACTGTCTATAGCTATAAAATTAGAGTTCAACAGTTCTGAAGTAATGTCATTCTACTAATCATCATTGGGTGCATGTCTTTATAGAATTACCAAATGAGGTTGAACTTCAGGCATATCGTTGTTGTGGGGCCGATAGAACGCGGAGCTAAGTCTAAAAGCCGGGGGTATACAGTAGCATATCAAAGCACCGTCCCTGCATTATTATCTCTTCCGTCCACTAATATTCAGACTCTTAGGCTCCATTTAAGACTTGCAACGACTCACACCCGTCATAGAGAGTTATATAGTGGTTAGGCCTTCAGAGCGAGACGCTCTGTCTTGTAGCGCCTGGCGACTACATTGACATCCTTCGCTTCTTACGCCCTGAACTCGGTGGCTCGGTTCTCCCCAAAAGATGCACAGAGACACGATGAAAGGCTTGAATCTATGGCGATGACTAATAAGGATAGATTTCATTCAACCACTTTCACGAGTGTCGGCCGCCAAAGCTCAGCGACTGAACTGAACTGAAACGGAAAATAAGCCAGGTAAGCCTCTACAACCTTCCTGTCACTGGCCAAGCACAGGACCACGATTAATGCCTGGCTATTCATGTATTCATCTCGCCCGCCAGAACTAGAAGAGATTCGCCATCTCGAGCATCTTATCATCAAGCTTCAACAAAGATCAATCGTCGAATCTTGAATCATCTTCCCAAATGTGTATCACTGCCTCTTCACCATCGAGGGGAAGATGAAAGTCGAGATAGAAGGCTAGTCGGGTGAGACTGTGATTCACGACGGCGAGTTGGTGGTAATCTCAGCAGGTTAAAGCTCCAGGTTGAACTTTGTGTCACACCGCGTAACTTGTTTGCAGTCGCAAATGGTCGCGGACTTGGGACCTTGATTCAGGATGCCGAAAAACCATTGGAAGGGTTTGTTTTTCTGGACAAGGTTGCAGAGGTAGACTTTAATACGGTTACTCGGGTTGCCGATATAGATATTACCGTAAAGTGGGTAGGTAGATAAAGTAAGAATCAGAAGTGTTTTATAGATTTCAGACGGAAGATCCTTTATATATAACTTTAACCTAGCCGCTAGGGTTGGTCTCTGTCACTGCCAATGAATCTTAAACTTTAATAGTATGCTTTGCTGCATTAATAACACCCCTTTGCCTTCATGAAGTTGCACCAGCCGATAACCTTGGTTTAAACGATCCAGCCTGAGACTAGCCCACGCGAATAAGCCAATATCTGACGAGCGATCCGCAAACGTGAACCTAGATAATACCGTTAGCTTGATTCATGATAAAGGGAGCTTAAGTACCTAAGGATGCTGAGCTTTGGAATAATACTGCCATTTGCCCTGGTCACACGAAAATTAATCTCGTAGCCCAAAGCACCAGAGCCCTCTTCTCTAGATATTGGGAGGCCATCTCCTGGTTCCCAGGCATTTTCCTCATCATCAATGTAGAGTGAAGCCCTGAGAAATGACGAAAGGTCCTGGATTTCTCGGCCGGTGCTGGTCGTAAGCTTCTGGCCCTGGAAAATGAAAATGGACAGTTCAAGCTCTTTTCTTGGGGTTGCTCCGAGATCGGTTGAGCTATTCTTGCCTGAACTTTGGAACCCGTCGGGCTTCAAAACCCACCCTAATTCGTCGGCAAACATTCCTTCATTCAACATCATGCCTTCGTCCACGCGTTGCATGTCGATGGAAGCCATCTGAACGCCGTGTCTCCAAAATCGCAAGGGATCAAGGTTTGAAGAGGCTCGTCTCGACGCGCTCGGATAGACACGAAGAAAGTAGTGTTGGTTGTGTTGAAAAAGTTCGGTGGGTGATGCGAAAATAAGGCCTTGGACCTTGTCCTCGCGTAGCGAGAAGATGTGATTAGGTGACTTTGCAAGAGGGGTGTTGAAACCTTCAAATCGTTCTTGTCGCAAATAAACCCCAAGCTTGGCTAATGGCTGTATAATGGAGATTCGCCTCGGGTCGTCGTAATCTTCGTCAAGCTGCGAAGCGTCTCCATATTTAACATGACTTGTAATTGTTGAGATTCTGACAAGTATCCGATTTTGAAGGTCCTCCAATTTTGGTAGCCGAAATCGTGGATCGCATCCCTCGAGTGGCTCATCTACCAGCATCTCGCCCCACTCCTCCCTCATGATTTTAACCATCATATCTTGCTGGCCAGGGTTTGCGTGGACCATAATATTAATGATCACAGGTAGCTTATTACTGATAAAAGCAGTGCTTCTGATCAATTGGCAAGCTTCCCTGAAACCACATGGTGTACCAGGGGAGTAACCATCGGTGACGATTGGTTCTGCAGGGGAACTCAAGCGGTTTGATTCAGAGACCGCGGTGTTCGGATCCACAGGCCTTGCATTAGTCGCTCTGATTCGTTCAATAAGTCGGTTGATTGCCTCGAGTGTCCCAGTGGGTTTGGATTCATGCCGCTCATTTACTTGAATATCTCGATCATGAGTGGTAGTATCACCATTCCAGACATCTATGTCAATGGATCGATATCCGTAATCAAGGACCTATTCATTAGTCAGGTATGCCTTCATCTTGGTTGGCATATTAGACTTACTTGTCCGATCACATCATAAGTACTCCGAGGTCCAGTGGATATATTGGTGGCAGTCTCATGGCTGCTGTTGATAAAATAGTTTGATATAGGTTTTGAAAGGTCCTTTAGAGGCAATGGTTTGACTGGATTCAAGTAAAACCCGACCATAACTTGTAAAAAGCTAAACAAATCAGATACAGGTGGATGGATTGACACAAAATCCTCATCTTGGACATCTCTAATGAAATTCGCAAACATAGTCATTGTTTTGGTGGGAGAGTCTAGCCGCCTGTCGTAAACATTGGACAGAATCTTCCAAGCCTCCAGGTTTGATACAGCTCTCCGCTTGAGCCCTAGAGATTGGAGCCAGTCCTCGGGGGTGTCCTGGCCAGACCGGGATTGAAAATTATTGGCGGAGAAGAGGCGGTCAGTGAATCTTCGAAAACCGGAGGTAGACTCCTGAGTGCTTGGTTTAGAGGCGGTGGCATCGCTTGAATGCCCGCTTTCTTCACCGTATCGATCATGACTAGCTATCGTAGTGAAGCCTGGCCTCATAACAGTCCCGGGAAGATCTGAACCCTCTGAACCACTTTCGGGATCAACCTGTTGACAATTGTTAGTACTTTGACGTGCAGTAAATAGTAGTAGGCAACTCACAATCTCAACGAACGCGCTATGACATTTGGGACACTGCATTCCATCTACATCTCTATACCATGTAGCAGAGCATTGATGGCAAAAGACCACATCACGGGCCTGTTCCATGGATTCAAGAGTGTCTTGGGTAAGCTGTGAAACATCAGTCTCGGCTTCATCAGAATCGTCGCCATGCTCGTCAGCAAAGCAGATATCAAGGCCAAGCTTATCGTGTCTCACAGACTCCATCTGTTCGGTTATGAGTGCCAATCTGCCATAGTCGCAGGTTGATAGCTTCAATGTAGGATCGATGTCTTCCGCTTCATGTTCATAGACTTCCAGCCATTGAGTGATAGGAGCAGCTTCGCCACTTTCCCAGTTGAAAGACCCGACTTCACCGCCGATATCAACTTCTGAGGATTTAGGCCACGGAAGAGACCGGAGCGAGAAGTCGTGTACGTGCTCCAGAACGTGGTCTATGAGCTCTGGAGAGTCGGCTTCGCCGTTGACTTCACAGAGGGGACAGCTCTTTATGCCCATCCTAGTCTGTGCGGACGATGAAATAATGGATGAGATGTCCTCCCCATTTTCTGGGTGGGCTTTATGAAGATGGTCCATCATTTCACTCATGGTAGAATAGACTGACCCTTCATCACACAAAGGACATATCCAAACAGGCGGATGGTCTTGTCGAAAATGCTGCTCCAACATCGATCTACTGCTGTAGTACACGTCTGGTGTAGGACAGCTCTCAAATATGCAGGTATATGGGCGTATATCCTCTGCTAGGTGCTTTCTACATATTTAATAAGGCATCAGAAACTAGTGACAGGCGAAATGGTGACGGGCAGTCTCACCTCCATCGGTTGTTGTTTTTAGCCTCTGCTACAGGCAAGGTCTGACAACAGCATGGACACTGAACAACCCTTTGCTCATTATCGTACACTCGTGGGCGCGGGTATCGAGCAGAAGCAGTGATCTGAGTAATGACGGTCATTGGTGTGGATTCCATTTTCTTGGAAGTTGGTTCTCTATATTCGAGCTTACTTTCGGGGATCGAAGCTGAGGTGACTGACATTGGTGCTGGCGGCGGTTTGTGAGGTTGGGCGTCAGTATCGGAGATAATGGGGACGGCAACCTCTCCTACTTCACTCGTCGAAATGCGGACTGGGTTAGGACCTTTTTCCACAGCTTCAGGGGTCGGTAACTCGAAGGCAACAGTTCTTTTCTTCAGACCCAAAGAGTGTAGCTGAGCCTGTATGAAACGATTTCTCCGCTTCAAGTTGGCCGTGATAAGATGATGTTGCAGTGGTGTCAGCGACTCGATCTCGGTTCGAAACTCATCATCGTTAAAGCACGGACCCGACCCAGGACGTAGAACAATAATGGCTTCCAAGTGTTTCCTCAGCTCAGCATGTTCTTCCGGTTTGAAAAGGCGATCTGCTTTGTGAAGCCGCGACCGACGTCCTGTCCTACGAATAGCTAGGGACAGAGTGACGAGACTTTCCAGCGCCGAGTCAATGTCAAGTAAGGTGTCTTCGAGCTCTCCATTGTGATTGAGAAGATTCAAACAGTCCTCCAACGACTGAAACAGCATGACCAGGTTTCCTTTGACCAATGAAAGGTCAATCGGTCGCTCGCTCAACCTCGCATCTAATGAAGCTTTTGAAGGAGCCAGGGCGCCGATACCGTCGATCCAGAGATTAAAGTCTGCTAAGCGATACTCAAATCGCTCATTATGAGACGCTTGCTGATTGGACAAATCAGGCCCGGGAGAGCGAAAAGTCAAGCATGTTTGAAAGGCTTCAAGACACTTGTTGGAAAGGTCCCAAGCAGTCAGACTCATTAGATCCATGATTTTGACAGCCAAAATGTGTAGTGGAACATTTTTTGGGTTCGCTAGACAGACAAGCAGAGGCACAGAAGAGGAGATGGTGAGGATGAGACTGCTGCAAAAGGGCGCGCGGCGGAGGATTTCCTGTCGACTATCGTCACGTGAGCTTAGCAACAGGGGTGTTTAGCCGCACGACCAAACAGATCATCAGACCTCCACTTAACATAGCTCAGCCTTTCGAGGAACAAAACATGCGAGTGAAGATATGGCGACTCAACGCTTCAGCGTATGCGAACTAGTCGCCGAAGTGGCCAAAGAAGTGTATGCTCTCGTGATGGAGTGCGGTATACGCCAGCGGCAACGACTTGCGGGGGAAGTTGGAACGAGGCTGGGTCAAATTGCTCAGGAGTCATTCGCTGGTTATGAGCTTGACGATGCGGCGGAAGCAGCTGCCGCAGGCTTGTTACATACCCTACTTGAGATCTGCATGGTGGGTTTTTTACCTCGGTTCTGAGACATTGACTGAGATATTTAGTTTCCAACTCCAGCCGGAAGCCAGGTCATCCCTGGTCAGGACTACACGCTCATAATGACATTGGTAAGGCCAGATAACAGGTCGCGGTTAAAGAAGTCCATATGCCTGTCCTTCATCACCAACAAGACGCTCCCGGTCAAAGCTAAGGAGCAGTGCGACGCGTTTTTGGCCAGACTTAGCCAAGATGAGCCCAAGAAAAAAACTGGTCTTGACGAAATCACAGCAGGATCGGAGTTGCCGGAGCCTGATGACTTTCCTCAACATGTCAGTAGAAATCTCTTTGAGGCTCTTCACCAGCACGCATATTGCCATCATGTCGAAATGGGGCAGGAGAAGTCTTGGCTGAGTAAATCCAAGAAGATGAAGCCTCATCACCATGAACTGGCTCATCCCATCAGACTGCACCTTGATGCGAAGCCACAAATACAGAGCAAGCATGCGCAGTTCGAGGTCGTGATTTCTTCAGACAATATGAGTTACTGGCAGCACTTATGGCTCGGTATTCCTATGTAAGTATTGTTCTGAGGATGACTCTTCTGATCAACTAATTCGAGCAAGGCAAACGAAAGGTCGCAGAGGCGGTGTCAATTTCGCAAACCTTTCCAGTGACGAGGAGGGAGATGGTCAAATATCTAACCTGAAACGGATCAACTCGGACTACTTCTGTCAAGTATTAAAACGTCAGCTATTCGCCAAACTTAATCTCAACTTTGTCAAAGGCGTTGGTCTTGTATCCCTTCCGCCACCTGCTCCTCTTGAGAGATTCTTATGCCCAGGCCAAGGGCTTCCACTGTCTCTAGCCATCCAAAGCTATAAGTTGACAGACAAGGACAAGATCTTACTCGCTCATGCTATTGCACATTCTTTCTGGCAGTTCTACGAATCGGACTTAATGAAAAACCGCTGGACGAGCGATGATATCTGGTTCATGAATGAGATGGATCACCAGCATTCGCCGAAAGATCAACTTGCACTGCGCGTGTATATGCCACTTGACTTTGAATATCAGCAAATAAACTTGAAGGATGAAGAAAGGTCAATGCTGACGCACCCGTTCCCGCACGTCCTAGGCCTGGGACTTATACTCCTACAAATCGGACTCTCAAGGCCTTTTAAGTCGATGACGCACTTACCGCTTATCTCTCGACTGAACAGAGATCATGGTGCCGCAAGACAATTACTGGGTGAGCTGGAAAAGGCACAATGGGCGCGGTCGACACACCGGGATATCTTTGCAAGAGCAGTGGCGAATTGCCTAGATCCCAGAACATTCACCGCTTCTACCCCAAAACCCAGGACAACCAAGAGTTCTACAAAGGATGGCCTTGCCATCAGCGCTGGCGAAGACGGTATAAGACGGAAAGTCTATACTGAAATCGTCGAACCGCTATCGAAACTCGTTAACATCGCCTTCAAAGCTGACGCTAAATACGTGTCCTACTTGTCGAGATGCAAAGAGGTCGAAACTCACAATAAGCTGCATTCCCAAGTGGCCTCATTCCATACAGGAAAGACAATAGTTCCGGAGGAATGGTTAGACAACTTGAAACATATCAGTATGCACATCATGAACCTACGGGAGGAAAAGCCAGACCACGACTTCAAGCCAGTCAAGATAGCTGTTTTAGATACAGGATGCGATGCAAATCTGCCATTTTACAAAATCCTGAGAAGGAAGAAGTCCATAAGGGCGTGGAAGGATTTTGCAAGTGATAAGGGCGAAGGCATAGGTGGAACAGACTGTATGGAGGATCAATATGGCCATGGCAGCCTGATGACCAGATTGATCATGGAAGCTGCTCCGCTAGCTCACATTTATCTAGCCCGAGTTGCGAAAAATACTGACGAGCTCGAGTATAGCAGTGACCAAATAGCTCAGGTGAGAAACATACATTCCCAGGCAGTATTCGCTAATCACTAGTCAGGCAATCCTATGGGCTGGACTAGAAGTGGACGCTGATATCATCTCTATGTCCTTTGGCTTTCCCCACGACGATAACACCATCTCTGCCGCTATAGATGATGTTGAGCGAAGTCGACATATCATATTCATGGCGAGTGCGGGTAACAACGCAGCTTACCAAAGAGAAGCTTTTCCCGCAAGACATCGATCCGTCATCTCCATAAGAGCAACAGATTGCCAGGGTACCTTCAATGCAAGCAACCCACCTATAGTTGACAGAAATAGTATAGCTCTCGGCACGTTCGGTGATAACTTGCCAACACGACTCAACAATGAGATCACGAAACGATTTGGCCCTCACATCTGCCATCCTGGATCATCTATAGCAACGGCAGTGGCAGCTGGTATAGCAGCATCAACGATTGCATACGCAGAGGTCCTCTCGACAGTTCTTCCCATACCGACGGAACAAAGTCCAGTAAAGTCTTTGAGGAAAACTGAGGGTATGAGAAGATTGTTGGAAAAGATGGCACCGGATCAGACAGGGAATAATAGGTTTATAAACCCGATATGGTTCTGGAGTGAAAAGGCGGACGCATGGAGGGCATGGGCCGCTATGTATGATGCAGTATCACCATTTATGTACCGATAAGAGTATAAAGCACAATACTAACATTTATTCAATATTTCTGATAGGACTTGTGGTCGGGAGGAACAAGTGCAATCTATGCGTTCGCAAACAAACAGTATTCTTCATCTCCAAGACCTTCCATCTCATACTTAGGTGCATCTTCCTCCTCCTTGTCAGCTCTCAACACTTCAGCGTCGACATCAACAACTTCAAAGGGCTCAGGATCAGGACCCGGGCGGCCAGACATGAAGGCCTTTTTGTTCACGAACATTTCCGAGCCGACAGTGCCGCTGCCACGAACACGTATGGCGTGAAGACGGTAAGCAAAAATGATACCGGGAGCAGTTTCGTAGGAATCAGTCTTTGAGCTTTCTTTTCCGCCTGAAATACCGCCGCCAACTTCGACTGGCACGGTTCCCGCGGGGCCTGAAGCTGACAGTGAGGTATTATGTCCAACGCCCTTCTCTTTTGTGACTGTAAAAGAAGAGGTAGCGACTCGAAGTCCGGATACGATGTAAACGGTCCGCTTTCCAAGAAAGCCAGAGTCAATATGCTCCTTGACAGCCTCTGTGTTCACGATACTTTGTAGAAACTCCTTCGTAAACGGCGCAGCTAGAGATCGGACTTCATGATCTACAGCTCCATACGCTAGCGCATTGCGCCGACTAGTCTCATAGCCAATAGAAACAGAAGCAAGCTCTACAAATTTGGCAAAGAGATCGACACCAGCTGTTCGCGTGACATCATTCGAGTGAGAATGGTTCGTCTCGATCAGAGTCTGCACTTCGGGAAGCGTGATTGCGTCGGTGCGGGGTGATGCAAGGGTCTGAGTCGGACGACTGGGATGAGGGATGACAGCGCCAAGCTGGAGGGTCCCGTCGGGAGTGAAGGTGAAGTCAGGGGCGAGGAACCAGGACTTCATGATGCGTGGGCTGTTGCTTTAAGCTTAGAATGTTAGTAGATCAGTTACTTCAGAACGTACGATCGCAATGTCAATGAAGGCCTTGGGCAGCGAGCTGAGCCGGCCCCGCATGCAGTCTGATAGGAATCTATTGGCCAATAACTCAATAGTGTCTACCGGTATGACAGCATTCAGCCGCGTTGTATGGACATTTGTCAACGAGCACCTCCTAGTGACATCTCGTCGGGAATCCCCTTTAATCTCTCTAGATGCGATTGACAGTTCTATACGGGATTTCAGATGAACTCACCCTTTAATGTCTTGGCAACAACAATTGCATAAAGTTACCCTATGGCCCGAGTTCCCTAGCTAGTCCCAATCCAGCGTGGTATCCCGCCGACCAACCCCTGTCCTCGATCTCAACCGCTATAAAAAGATTTTAACTGGGTTAAAGAACCCGCTAAGAGTTTCAGCGCGATGCATTTGGTGGAAAAACCGTCTAAGGCCCCGGAATTTTCATTCTTAGCGACGTCTCAATCGCTCTTGGCTTCTAGAAGGAGGAGATGACCGAACACGTTAGAGTTCGTATTTACCTATTTTAACTCTTTTTAGTAATTTTGCTAACGGCTTTACTCCACTCTCCGGCTGTGCTTTTTCTTAGTGGACAGCCTCTCCCGTATGCCGGCAGTATGAGATTCCACTAGACGGTAGCTCCGGAAAGGAGAATAACCCATGATATACCGATACAGGGGACAAGCCTCGCATCTTCTTGCTATTTAAGATCTTGGCCAGTCCTTCGATAAGTTCAATCAACCAGGCAAGCTCGTCCTTCGTTACTTCAACCAGTCATTCGTTATCACATTCGCTTTCACAAAATGCTCGCCCACTCATTCCTCGCCGGCCTGGCCCTCGCAGCCTTCTCCATCGCTAGCCCAGTAGCCCGGGCAGAAGGCTCATGCTCCGACCCCGTCGTTCGTAAAGAATGGCGCGAACTCACGAGCGCTGAAAAGACAGAATATCTCCGCGCTGCAGTCTGTCTCCGCAACCTCCCCAAAAAGGCATACGAAGCCATAGACGATGTCACAACGCGTATGGATGATCTTGTCTACACCCATTTCAGCCTCAACACGGAGATACACTTTGTCGCAAACTTCCTTCCCTGGCACCGTTGGTATGTCCAGCTTCATGAGGATATGCTCCGCGATGAGTGTGATTACAAGGGTGTTCAGCCATACTGGGACTGGACGATTGACGCCGACAAGAACGATGTCGTAAATTCTCCTCTCTTTGATCCCAAGACTGGATTTGGCGGTGATGCCAAGCTCACCGGTAGTGATGTTCCTGGTTTCAAGCGCTGTGTCGTCGATGGACCTTTTGCCAACACGAACCTTACACTGGCTATGGGATGGCCCGATATGAACACCCCAGGCAACCGTCTTCATTGCTTCACTCGCGAGTTCAACGGTGGTCTTGGCAAGGATGAGGATGGAAATCAGATCCTGGGCGATATGCAAGCTACTGCCTACAACTCTCGGGTCATGGATACCATCTACAGCTTTGACAACTACCACTCCATGTCCGGTATGCTTGAGGGTCTACCTCATGCTCAGAGTACGTCATCTCCATGCACTTTCGATCTACAAATACTGACATGCCGATAGTTCACAGCATCATCTTTGGTGATATGGGTCCCGCTACTTCGCCCAATGAGCCGCTCTTCTTCCTTCACCACGCCAATGTCGACCGTGTCTGGGCCAAGGCAAGAACCCTCTCTCAGTTTTTTTTATCTCCATGGTTACTAACATTTCTCCAGTGGCAAGGTCGCAACGCCACTCGTCTGGCTGACTATACCGGCTTCAACGACCTCGACAAGTGGAACTCTGCCGATATCAATGACAACATGCCTGTTATGCGTCTAGCTGATAAAGAGCCAGTTGTGAAGGACTACATGGATACTCGCGCCGGCCCCCTGTGCTACACCTACTCATCCATGTAAAACTGCGATTGGTAGCAATATTTAATACAAGAAGGATACTCCATTATTTCTCCGCATCGAATATGACCTTTTGAACCTTCATCGAGTCGAACAGCTCGTAGCCCTCAAGAGCACTGCTCAGCGGCATTACCGTCGCGGTCATGAAGCTACCGTATGTTAGCGCGGTTGAATGAAGCTGTATGGCGACTCACTCCAACAGATGTTGCTTCTTAGCAAGCAGTTTCAATGAGTCTTCGAAGATGCCTGAAAATAGTCATTAGACAACGGCTCCCACTGCTCGTGACGTAAACTTACTCCTAACAGGACATCTGCCCATCTTGATAGTGAGATTCTTCCCGTAAGCCTGATTACCTGTCCACGGAATCTCTCCATTGTGTACACCAACACTAGAGATGATACCCCATGGTCTAAGAAGCTTGAAGCCCATATCTAAAGCCGAGCTATGCCCAACAACCTCAATGATCACATCAGCGCCGCGGCCGTCACTCAGTTCCTTGACTCGCTTTTCCAGTTCATCTTTTTGCGTGAGGTAATTCCACGGTTCGGCTCCAAGACTCTTGGCAAGTGAAAGTCTAGACTCGATACCGTCAACTGCGAGAATGGCCTTGGGTTTGTACTCCAGCGCGGCGATGAGGGCACAAATACCCACTGGTCCACATCCGATCAAAACGACGATACTGTCCTCGACCTGCTCTTTACTCAGATCCTTTAGACCATTAGAAGCGGCGTAGCAGCCGGTTGGGAAGATATCTGCCATCAGGCATAGTTTCAAGTCGTCAATCTCCTCGGGAGCCTTTACGACAGTGCTCTCAGCATACGGAATTCTCACATATTCCGCTTGCGCTCCATCAAGAGGAACGGTGCCAAAGAGAAGACTCTTGTCGCACCGTGAGGAGAACCCGTGTTGGCAGAAGAAGCACTCTCCGCAGCTCACAGTGAAAGGGCTGACAATCGCATCGCCCGGCTGGAGCTTGGTGATAGCGGAGCCGACTTCATCGACAACGCCAGTGAACTCGTGGCCCATGATGAAGCCGGTTCCGGAAGGTTGATGCCCGCGAAAGACATGGAGCTCGCTATGAAGTACTAAGTAGTTGATAAATAACAATATTCTTAATTTTGATCATACCTTCCACACAAAGCTGTGTATTTCACTTTGACGATGATGTCGGTTGGATCTTGAATGGTGGGTTTCGGCCGATCTTCAAGGGCAACCTGCTTGACCCCTTTGAAGACGACGGACTTCATGGTAGCTGTAATTGGGTTGCAAGGGCTTATAAGTTTCAAAAACCAGTATCTCTCTAGTTGATTATAATCCGAAGAGATATTGTAATATTTTTTCGATAGTTCTTTGGGTAGATCAGATCATTGTTAGGGTAGGCACAAAATATCTACCCCGCTGTCTACCTGTCGGCCGAGGTTCCCGGCTTACCGTTTATGGACCGGCAACCGCCACATGCTGTCATAGCCCGGGGCTTCAAAAGTTGGGGCAAATCCCAAATATTCGGAAAAGGATTCCTTAAATTAGCGACGCAGCTGACTTGCAAGAGTTTGCTCTCTTTTGACTTTAGGTTCCTGGTGTCCGCGATTGCTCATCAAGCTGTAGAATCCTATGTCGCGGCCAATCGTATTCGCCCCCTCTTTGACGTATATATCTATTATACCGGATATTTCACAGTCTTGTTGGCGGTCTGGCCGGTTCCATGGCATTGGGTCTACTGGTCTCTTATGATAAGCCGTCGAAGACGGGAAGTACAGGAATGCATAGCATTCTGGTGCCCAACTAAGGTTCCTCAGTAAGCCACCATTTCAGAATTGATGAGATCCTCGATTGATAAGGTTTACTAGACTCTTTCCATACAATTAGTAGATGTGCCACAGCGCCGGGAATAGCTTAGACTTGATGCCAGATACTGCAATTCATCGCTTCAAAAGGGCGACACGTCTTAATAGCAAATCACTTCACTTCACAGTTTCGCATTCAGAAAATCACCAACCGATCCACCACCCAACATAACGCTTGATGCAAGCGCAACATGGGTGAAGCCCTCAGGTCTAGGGCGCATCATGCTTGTGCTGTCAATTGTGTTCCTTTTGCTTACAGCAATAGTCATTATCCTACGTTGTTTTGTTCGTTTCAAATATGCAATATTTGGTGTAGATGACGGTCTTATGCTTGCAGGCTGGGTGAGTTTACTGCTTTACGAAATAACATATAAGATATTAAAATTATTCAGCTACTCCATGTCGCTCATGTAGCTGTTAGCATCCAAGCTATCTATGCTGGCTTGGGAAGAAAAGATACCAGCTTGAATAGCTACGAACAGAGATCCATTCTCAAGGTATTGAGTTCTTTAAACAAAAACCTTGCCATTACTACATCTACTAACCTAGAACATTTAGTATACATGGTTTGGGGAATTGATTTATATCTTGTCATTGATATGTCTTAAATGCTCCATCTGCATTACCTTCTTGCGAATTGCTGTCAAGAAATTCCACCGCATGATTATTTGGGGAACAATTGTCTTCATTATAGGTACTCTTCTTTTTGCCGTTATTGGGATGTTTGCTGTATGCCTCCCCATAAGTGATAATTGGGATGACTACAACGCTTGTTCGCCAACCTTGAGAACAAGTACTGGCTATGTGCTGGCTATCAGTGCAATTGTCTCGGATTGGATATGTTCGATCTTGCCTTTTTTCATGCTGTATAAGTCTAATATGCAGAAAGCAACCAAGATTTCTGTTAGCATTATTCTTGGGCTAGCAGTTTTGTAAGTTTCTTTCCTGCTCTACAATTCAGCGGCAAAGTGCTAAATCGCTACCAGTGCATCTATATTTACTATTATTCGAATACCCTATTATAAGGGTCTGACAAGTCCAGAGAACTTCTTTTGTGAGTAGTCCCGGGATTTACATTTACCAGGCCCTAACGTGTTCAGATAATCTCGCATATATCTACCTCTGGTCGATGGTCGAAACCAGTGTCGGAACTATTGCCGGCTCTTTGCACGCCATACGGAAGTTGTTCAGCTCTCATTTCCGTTTCGATACCAGTACAGGCTCTTCTACAGCTTGTGCTACACCATTTTCTGGGACCAGCCGAGCTGTTATGACATCGCAATCAGTGGCAGCCGGAGAAAGAAGCAATAATTGGGAGCGGCTTGACGATAATGAAGGTTCGCCTGGTCAAAAGATTCATGTTCAGGGGGATCTAGAGATGCACTCCTTGGAAAGACCCCAGACGCCCCGGGATTCAGATGGATCCTATGCGGATCTTGTGCACCTATCCCGCGGCTGAAGTCTCGCTTGACCTCACAAGAACTAAGGTGGAGAAAATACAGTTGGTCTATTCGATCTGGAGAGTCGAGTTTGACATGGACGATCCAGTCGGTGGATACGCGGGTATAAACAAAACATCATTCCCGCTATTTCCGATGCTCTGCCGATTCCCGATCCTAACTCCGTCTTCTCGGCATCACTACTACGTATGAGTTATTAACCCGTAGCGGCCAAGCGTTAGAATCACAGGGATACAAATTGAACGAATACCGCAATCAAATCAATACAGCAGGCGCCATATTCGGTTCAGTCACGATCCTCAAAACTTATCATGTCGGCTCAGGATTCCTCTCTGCGTGAGACGAATTGGCCCACTCTGGCCAACTACGTATCTACGCATAACGACACTTATCCGTTCATTGATCCATCTAAAGCCGACCTGTCAGGAAAGTCAGTCTTGATCACGGGCGCCTCCAAAGGGATCGGCAAGGCGACCGCAATTCGTTTCGCCATGGCGGGCTGTTCGAAGATCATCCTCGCCGCCCGCTCTGACATGGCCGAGGTTGAAGCTTCGGTCATAGATGCTGCCAAGAAGGCAAATCGGCCACAACCTCTCGTTTGTTCCGTCAAGCTGGATATCACGTCAGAAGAGTCGGTGAAGGTGGCCGCTGAGACCGCTAAGGATATACTCGGCGGCGACCTGGATATCTTGATCAATAATGCCGGCTGTCTTGAGGAATGGAAGCCTGTCGTCGAATCTGATCCATCAGAGTGGTGGTGGACTTGGGAGGTCACCATGAAAGGGACCTATCTGTCAGCTCATTATTTCATCCCACTGCTTCTGAAGTCAGCTACCAAAACTATCATCAATATTAGCAGCGTTGGTGCTCAAATCATCGTCCCCGGAGCGTCAGCGTACCAGACGAGCAAGTTCGCTCTATGCCGCTTTACCGAATTCATCGACAAGGAATATTACGAGCAAGGATTAATTGCCATATCTATTCATCCCGGGGGCATCAAGACTGAGCTAGCTTTGAATATGCCCCCAGCAATGCATTCTCACTTGAATGACACGGTGGAGTTGGCTGCTGATACAATGGTCTGGTTATCTCGCCAGAGGCGAGATTGGCTGTCAGGCCGATTCATTACGGTCAATTGGGATATGGAGGAACTCGAGAACAAGAGGAAGGAGATACTTGAAGCAAACTTGCTTAAGTTCCGTATGACGATCTGATATTCAACATCAGGGCATGCTTCTGTAAAGACAGTGAAGTAGGTCTAAGTGAGCCATCTATATAGGAGCATGTGAAGTTAAGGTTCAATCGATCTAGCACTAATGGCGTTATCGATTCGCTCCTCTTTCTATTACTAATGGCAGCCGCTATATGCATAAAAAGACCACCGTGAGGCAGAGAGGACTTTGGTTCAACGTGTGAGGCGCGTGATGTGAGCCATCAGCTGGGGGGTCTATCAACTCAAAATAACACTCAAGTAGTAATGATGGCAAACCATAGTCCAGATCGTGCTCCCACTTTAAGAGATAACCACAGCCTCTACCAATGGCGCTTCCAGACCATTCGCGCAAGTCTTCTCCTTAACTTCTCCTCGAACAGGCCTGTCAAAGAAAACGCGCGTCACCTTGCCAGCCTCCTTGTGCGGGGCCAAGCGGGAGATATCACGTACGACATCAGGATTTCTACGGTAGGCCTGCACAACAGTATCGATCGGTGAGACATACGCGGAGCTGGCGCTGCCAGCTGACCCATCAGGATTCTTCCGAGGGTAGACGGGATGGAAAATCGTGGTGTATTGGCGATCTTCATAGTTGAATCCTATGAGCTGTACAGGGAGTTCAGCGAGGGTGTATTTCGTAAAGTTCTCAAGTCAATCCTCAATCAACGTGGCGACAGCCAAGCGACGCTTGATGTAGAACCCAGAGCTTGCGCGGAGTTCCTCATCAAAGTTCTTCCGGTATTGGTACATAACGTGGTGAATCTTCTGATAGTCCTGGTCTTCGATCTGAGACCAGTGCAGGATAGTCAAGTTGGATGACAGCTGGCCATTTTGGTTAAGACGTTTGAACGCGGTATTGAGAATTGCATCTATTTCATCGCCCTTTCTGATAGCTAGTCGTTGAGCTCTTGTAATTGTCATGTTTCGAGGTATCATCATCTCGTACTTGTGGATTTCGTCGCAGATCAGGAAGGCGATGATGGTGAACTTCTCCTGGAGAGACTTGACGAGATCGCAGACGTTGTCTGGGTCAATGAGGGGAGTCTCTCCAAGGCAGATGGCCACAGCGCAGTGGCTATCAGCAGCGAATGATTGGAGGTTGAAAGGGTACATGATGGCTAGTATTGTGTTTGGAGACAAAATGTTGAGAACAGATGATATCGGGGACCTTTTAAAACCTGTGACTATCGTTAGAAGGTGCTTTTTTATCCCTCACTGTTGTATGATCCCTGGAACCACTGAGGGGAATATTTCGGGTTAACATGGGTAACTATCAGGGGAAGCATTGGATACATCGTTGAACCCATGTTCGCAACTCCACCTGTTGGTTCGACCCTATTGAATCCTTCATTCCATGACGTTCTATTCGGCTGATAACGTAGTTTCCAATCGTCATGAAAACTCTGATAGAATGGCAAACTCACCTATAACCATGTAGATATAAGTCTTAGCCGTTATAGTAAATGTGTCGGCACTTTGATAGCTCATTTCCTGGATTCGTGCGAGGTCTCTGTGATAGATACAGCCCCATATAATTATATGATCCGATTTTTGGCCAAAGAATGTTATAAGCGAGGGATGCTGGCCCATTTAGAGCGTCACGCTGTCAAGGATATCGTCGGTACTGTTGGATCAACGACCAATATTACTACTTTGTCAGTGGCCTGTAACACCCCACAAACTCGAGACAATCACCGTTTGTATATCAATCCTGCCACTCATTATTGCCACAAGTATGCAGGTTGTTAAGAATGTCTTTTCAGGGGCATAGTATACAACTAGCTGGTAGTTATATTACAACACTCGGGGCTACTAATAGGTATAGTTCTTTGCGGCGCAAAGAAACAGATCTTAGGCGAAACCTTAAACTCTAGTTATAGTTAAGTAAGAACAGGCAGATCCTGAGCAGAATGCCTATAGTACCCTTAGGAATTGACTTCTATATTAATATTTGACTGCTAAATCTCCAAATAGTACTTAAGATATAGGGCACAGCAACATAAACAGACAGAAAGGGATATCTATAAGATGTTGACTACAAGTTGAAGAAGTTCTATCATTGTGACCTCACTGCGTCCAATGCATCCCTCGCTTGTTCCCCGACATCCCGCGTGCAATCCACGAATTTCCCCCTCAGGGCTGAAGCCTTCCCAGAGCTAAGCCATACACAAGTCCATGCGGGCAAAGCAGCCTCAAAATGAGGTCTCTTGGCCCCTATCTTCGCCATATGCTCGATAACGTAAGGGGCCTCTCGCTTTGTCTTTTCCGGGAACGCCGTTTCGTGAAGATTGGTTTCTATCTCACCCGGGTGAATGCTGAAGACAGATATGTTGTTGTCTACCCCCTTCTCGATCTTCTGCACCTGATTGAGCTCGACCTGCAGCGTGCCCGCGAACCTGGTGATAGACGTTTTCGCACAGTTATATGCCGTGGTCCATGGGAGATCCGCTTTGGCAGCTCGTGATGAAGTGTAGATTATGGTGGCTTGATTCCTGTCGCGTATTTCTGGGAGGACAATTCGGGTGAGCTCGACTGGTGCCCGGACGTTTAGCTCCATCACATCCCACCACTCGGTTGCATTCGTCAAGTGGAAAGGCTGGAAGACGTTGCTGCCAGCATTGCATACTAACACGTCGACAGGGCCTAGCTGTTGGCGGAACTCGTGTACGAGGCGCTCTTGATCTTCCAACTTAAGTACGTCCGCCACGATTCCCACCACCTTGCTCTTGAGGCCTAAGCTCAAAATTTCAGCTTTTGTTTCGTCGACTTGGCTGCTTGTTCGTGCCGTCACGCAAACGTTAGCCCCAGCTCGCGCCATTGCGATAGCAATCTCCCGCCCAATACCCCTGCCAGAACCCGTTATCAGAGCATTTTTGCCCGCCAGCGAACCTGCGAGTCGATCTGGGTCAATCTCGGGATAAATGCCAGTGCGGAGGGTATATGGTGACTGCATCATCTAGAATAGAAAAACTGTTTGAAGTATTAACAAGAATGACAGGAGATCATTGACTGCTGGTTCTAGAATTACATGATATACGAATCAGGAGCGATTTCATACTAGCGGGCGCATGGGGATGCTTTTCGGGTAATACTTGCCGGTTGGACTTCCCGAGTGGACTTCCCGAGCGGGAATTCCGGACGCCGTCATTCGCCGAACCCACGTCAATATCACCGGGATTCCCGACATGGCGTTGAGGGGCCGGGAAACTCTTGCTGGTTGATATATAGCATCGGATTTTATCATTCATCAGAATATTTCTAGCCCGATTAGACCCCGACATCACCGGAATAGCCGCTTCCTCAAAATGACTTTTGAAATTTACATTCCAAATAACCTGACTTTCAAGGACTACATTGCTGTGGTTCAAACAGCAAGGGTCTGGGCAGATGGTTATGATAGAAAGGTATGGGAAAAGCTTTTGTTTGTACATATCTCAATACTCAACTCAACACTAACAAACCTGTTCCAAATTTAGAGTGAAGAGCGGCTCCTTGCCGCTTTAGCACCAGAGGTTTCTGTTGACTACACGTTGATTGTGCCAGCGTGGGGAATAAAGCAGTACAAGGCAGCAGAGTTCGCGGCCCTTTGGCTCTCGGAGGAACACCTAGGCCTTAAACCTTTAGTCACACAACACCTCCTTGCGCAGCCATATTTCAAGAAAGTCACTGCCGACGAGATTGTGGTGGAGTGGCAGCAACTGGCGAGTCATGGGCGACTACAAGATGATGGCGAGAGCGCAAGGGATGCGTCTGCAGCAAGGATCAACGAGACGAGCGATGGGAGGAGCCATATGCAGCATCAATTTGTCAGGATTGGTGGTCTCTGGAAGATCGCGAGGATCACACCATCTCTGCTTTATCAGACTGGGGACTTTATGCATATTAGAAGACCAGCGGGTGAGCAGTAGCTATAGCGACTTTTCGTGTAAGCAATAGACGACCTTACCCAATGCCTTAGTTCTATTGGTCAAAGCACCAAGACAGAAAGTGGCGACTGAAGACGAAGTGCCCAAGATACTGTTCCTCAGCAATATCTCGGAAAATCCGCCCATAACGGCTCTATTCTTTCCAAGCGGAGTATGACGAATGCAGGCATTTCCCCAGATATGCATGACTACTGGACTTTGGCAACTGCTTCTGACATCGATGTACAAGTTCCCGGGCCATTCAAACGAAGATAATGCATAGCTATGACGTAGCAGGATAGGTCGAGGACAAAAGTAGACAAGTTGCATGAGTTTCTTCAAAGAATTCTGGTTGCTTGAGACTAAGTAGGTAGAATAAAACTAAAGGTATCCCGCCATGTAAGCCCATTAGTACCAGGATGATGGACTTAGATATCACGCATCTGCTTTCGACGAACATCCGAATCTTCCAGAGCAGACTCAACGTGGCTGTTCATCTGACTCGCAACTGACTTGAGGAAGCACGTAGCCAATGCATTTGCCGCCACGACTACAGAGATAGCAATCCATACAAACCTCCACGAATAGGTATTGGCATGATCGTTTGCGGCGAGGACTTTGGGGATCAGCGACGCTGGTAGACCAGGAACATGTGACAGGGCAGTTGGGTTCCCGCTGTTGATGGCGCTCAGCACGTCTGGAATCAGGCTCGAATGCCCTGCGGCTGCCAGAACCGAGCCAACGGCCTTTGGTAGTGCGGTGGCCATTTTGTTGTGATAGATGGACGTGAAGATGGTGATGCCGATGGCGCCTCCAAGTGCACGACCGGATACACTGAGGGTTCCTGCGGTACCAAGCAAGTAGGAGGGGACAGAAAGAGACAATGCAACGACTGAATATGTCAACATCTGCAAGTGATTGAGATAACAACAAGGGAATTCCTACCTGGAATGACAGTGGTTACGGCAGTTCCGCATCCAAACATTGCAGAGAACGCATAGGCCCAAGATAGTCTGCTAGGGTTCAGCAGTGCCATGAGGCCTAGACAGATTCATGTTAGAAAGAATTCAGACAAAGTGAACCGAAGCCATCGTCAGTGATGAGGTCAGCGACTTACCAACGAATAGACTGCACCAAATAAGCGAGGCTACCAAAATAGTCCTGTATGACTTGGTTCGCGCCATCAATATGCCCGCGGGCAGACATCCAAAAGCTGAAGTTGCCAGGTAGGGAGTGAGGATAGTGGCGATCTTAACCGCATCGGTAGTGAACATGGATGCAATCTGTTGAGAGAAAAGGACATTGACGCCCAGCAAAAGCATGCCATCAACAACGCAGACAAACAGCAGGATCGGGAAGTTACGAGAGACAAACAAGTCATGATGGAAGATACCCTGGCGTGTAAACAGCCTTTCGTAGAGTCCGAAAGCAACAAGACCAACGCATCCAACGATCAGGGTTGCAAGAACGTGGCTGGAGCTCCATGGATATGTGTTCCCTCCCCAGGTCAATCCGATCATTATGGATGCGATAGATCCCACGAACAGCATGATTCCGAAGTAGTCAACTTGTGCGAACAGATCGTCTAGGCGGGACTGCTGTCGGCGTAGGGTAGTGGGTGGAGGATGGTAGAAGCAGGTTACCAAGACAGTGGTGATGCCATAGACAAAAGCGTTGAGGTAGTAAGACCATCGCCAGGTTTGGTACTTGACGAAAGCGCCTGCACCAAGAGTACCAGCAATCACAGCACAGCTGGCCAGAGTCTGGGAGAAACCCATCGTCCATGGACGGAGTTTGTTGGGAGTTACTTCTTGGCCCGCAGGTACACCCATGATCTGGACAAGCGAGTGTCAGCACAGGCCTTTAATGTTGGTTGTAATGGGAGACTAAAGATGGGTTCAACTTACACAACCTGCATTGGCAAGGCCAGTCAAGATGTTGCCGATGATGATAGTTGTTATCGACTGTGCTGAACCAGAGACCACGGAGCCGACAATACCGATGATACTCGCTATGACGATGAACCATTTCTTGCCGAATCGATCACTCAAGGAGCCCTTGTCATAGTCAGCTTTGGGCCTTCAGAGATAGCATGGGGGTCAAGAGCTTACGAGGACCGGGCCGAAAGCTAGAGTCACCAAAAGATTAGCATTCGAAATCCAGGCTTGCTTGTCGGCGCCGCCCAGATCCATCACTTGGAAGTGAATGATGGTGTTGGTCTATGTTCAAGATACACCGTAAGTACAAACTGTCACAAAAGATTCCAATGCCTTAACGGTAGAACATACTGTGTTGGCTATAGCAGCGCAACAGTTGGCCATGGACAGAGCGAACACGGCCATGAGTGTCTTCCATCGCACCTGGTAGCCGCTGGCTGGTTCTTCCTCAACTAGCGGTGATGCGTTTGGCTCTGGAGTCACTGACATCTCATTATGAGAGATGGAGGCTTTATCTCCGTCCTCCATGCTGTATGTAACAATGCGGATGATTGGAAGTGGTGCAAACAGAGGCAGGGGTAAGTAGCCTGCATCCAATGTTGCATTCAAGGCGGTTGTTCAGTCTATATACAACTTGCGCAGCATGTCCATTGCGTGACTTGTTTCTGTCTATCCAACCGGAATGTCCGAGCTTCCGGCGGAAGACATCTTGCACTCAACTCCAGAAATTTCACAGACAAGGCTGAAGCAGATCCTGTGATTTTGCGGGGTAGTAGGTACTACGGATAGACGGCACAGTCATTTCCCCAGACGTACAAGGCGGGGGACAGCATTAGCGCGTCCTTTCCGGAGGAATTAGTCTCATCGCTAGTATGCTATATCCAATTAGTACAACTGACTTTTGTGTGCCCCGGATTTCCCGCTGAACCTGGGATATCCTGGGTCACTCGGACAACCCGACGCACAAAGGCATCACTGCATGGTGAACGTATTGAAAGCCGACGATATAGCCACCAACCATCACTTAGATAAGTCAACATCTATGCTAGGCTACTTCTAGTTTCATTGGTGAATCTCGTCATCTCGACTAATTCAGCTGTGCTTGATGAACCGTCGACCTTCCGCCCTTGGTCAGACCTCACTCTATACATGGTGCTATCAGATAGGCCTTGCGTATTGCTCGACACTCTTATCGGCCGTCCTGCTGTAGACGAGTTGTATTGGTGGCTTCTGGGGGTAGCATTGACTGAGCTTTGCAGTCTTGGAAATGTCTTGAGCATCAAGACTCGAAGGTTTGGCATGCACGCACACCAGATACCGACATTGAGTTCTATGACGGACCAGTAGCATGTATCAAAGCTATCCCCTGCGGCTTGGATTAGATCATGATGTTTGTAGCTGGGAGATGACTGAATGCTTACATGTAGGGTTGGAGGAATTGCCAAATGCTACTAGATAACGCAGCCTGAGGATGCTGACAACTGTCACACTAGGAAAAGAGTCAGTGACCATATCTCGTAAAGCCTGGATGGGCTTCTGCTTACAAAGTGCCCACGCCGAACATTGATGCAACTGCAAGCTTCCTCTTCCATTTCATCTGTAGATGAATCAGTTGAGAAATTGGGATTGCAAGCATCCATAAATCTAGAATAATTCCAACTGCAGCGATAGCCCATGCTAATCCATTGATCCCTATGCAATGACCCTTATGCAGTTGGTCCCATCCCTTCCAATAGAAGCTAATTGGCTGGCATTGAAAAAGTGCCAGCAGATCAAAGATAATCATGCATAGCACTGCTATTCCAACTGTTCCCCATATCAGCCTTTGAAGGTTAGCGCTTTTCATCATTGAGACTTTTGGTTAGAAGAGACCTTCGAATGACGACACCGGGAAATATGCGGAGGTAGAAGAGAAGAACGCAGATCTTGGTTGCGAAAACGTCTGTGGCGTAAAGGGTCTGGCCAGCGTAGAGAAACTTGAACTGTTAGTGGCGACTTTGGAACGAGACTACGGGATACAAACGCATAGATAAGCTGTAATTGTGTCTGGACTAAATCTCCACGCATCTCGTCCAAGACCATTTCCAGAGACTAACAGAATTATGAGTATTGTCAACAGTTCAAGATGTGAGAATGATACATACGACCATGCAGGCAGACAATCGAGTTGCCTAAATTGACCAGCTAATTATAATACTAATAAGTACGTGCAATCGCGAGACAGCATGGCCAAAGAGTACTTACAAAAGCGCCCGTAATAACGTAATCGTCAATCTGGAGTCCAGGCCCATATCGTATCTTTTCAACAAATCGAAGCCCAACTGTTACTCCAGTAATTACAATTAATGTGATGGTGAGGATATTGAACTGCTCGTGTTTGTCGCGAATGGGGAAGTCACATGCCACCGAGGTCAAATTTATCGTGGCTACAAAACTCAAATTAGTACGTAAAAATGACACATCGATATTCATTTGTTACCGAGCGCTTCTCTGGGCAGACAATGACTCTCAACGCATGGTAGCACGTCGTCTTTGAGCTTTGGGTCGGTGCAGAGACATGTTGCGTTCGTCCCGCAAGAAGACGCTGAGACAAAATCCAGAACACAGCTCTCCTGGAATCAAGGTGTTAGCGTCTGAGCCCTCCCGTCGGGTTGATCCACGTACCGCGCAGCTGGGAAGCTGAGTCAGAAAGTTGGAAAAATCACTGCAAAGAACCCGGCTCATGAACCAAGCCCATGTCACCAGCAAAAGCAACGGATGCATGGTTCAGACGCCGTACCGCAATGGCATGCAGGAGACAGGGTCGAGATCTGGAGAAAGATTGCTCAAGGCAGCATATTCATCGTACTTTTCACGTGCTTTAGATATTTGAGAACCTGCAGTCTTTTAACTTCTCAGTTTGTAATAAACAGAGTCAGGGGAGCCGGCTCCTTTCCTCCGTGAGCAGCCATCACAAATTTCTCGTTGCCAATACGCTAGCAACAGCGACATCTCGGGTTGACGCCACAAACCCCGCATTCTAGGGGGATCGACACAAGTTATGGAGTCTGGAGCAGCCTCTTGCTGGCGGGAATAAACAACCTTCCCGTTTGAGAAATTAGACTCCAATAGTCGTGAAGATCATGTTTGACATTTTCAAGACTTGGCTGGACGTTTATTGTCAAAGCTTTGGTTCGCCACGCAAGTCAGCTTTGGATATTATCATTACATAATATTTGCGATCCGAGATAGTTGTCTTTGCTACCTTCTCTGTTAGACAACTCAACAGACCTTGACATGCCGTGTTGCCGCCATCGGGGGCCAGAGAGAAACATAGTAAATAGACTGTCAACTCGCAGATGAAAGGATGTATAGCATCCTGGCATTGAGCACGCGACCCGGGCCGCCAGTTCATGCAGTCTGCCCTTTCTTACAGGGCCACGTTTAGCCGCAGCCATGGGTCTGTCCCCTTCCAAAGCAATGGCACCCTATCACACGTTCATCACTACTAACTGCGGTCTTGCCATTCCCGTGAGTTGTGAGCAGCCTCAGGCTTCTTTCGCGAAGCCAGTCTTTCTCGACTACTGGACTACCGACTTACCCGGACGGGGCTTCCCAAGCACTAGCCCGACAGACCCTTGCTACCAAGCTAGCATATCGGCTAACTAGACTTCACGGATAGTGACGGAGGCGAACTCGGCTTAAATTTAGCTGACCAACAACTACCGTTTCCCTTGTTTCATCATGAGCATTTGGTGAAACCCGAGCATCATAATCCCGGAGAGGCTTAGGTGATATCGAAAGCACTTCGTCTATACAAGATTGAATCGGCCCCCGGGGTTTCTCATTGATGATGCACTGCTCAAGAGGCCATACCTGCTATATAGAGGATCCGTAATTCCAGCACAATCGAGTTCCTTACGGTCAATAATCCCTTGAATTAAACGTGACAGTCTATCTACCTCCATATCGTAGTAATGAAATACAAAAGGAAATCGCCTCTATATAGTAATAACGCAATACAAAAAGAAATCGCTACCATGCTAATCCATCTGTCTCCGTTCATACCAAATTCTCTGATCACGCTCTAACTTAATCTCCAGAATCTTCGCATATGATATATCAGCAATAGAAATCCCCTGTATGATCTCATTGCTTAAAAGCTCAAGGTAATGCTCCGCAAGCAACCTTTGATGTTTCACCTCCTCTGCGTCAATATCATCTTGATACCGCCTGATCCGTGCCGATATCTTCTTGATAATACCCTCCTTAGTATCTTTCTTATCCTCAAGAATGCAGAATTCACGACGCCGTGCTCGGAGTTCGTCTTCAGCATCTTTCTCTACTTCAATTGCTTGGTCGCTTAGTTGTCGCAGGCTTTGGCTGTGCTGCTCCAGGGCAGCTTGTGTATCGCGTGAGAAGGACTGAGCGAGGTTTTGAAACTGTTGGAGTTCGTTCTGTTTTGTGTCTGCTTGTAGGACGGCGTCTCTCCATTCTTGTATCGCAGCTTCGTGGGACTCTGATGCTTCTGATCGCAGGGCGTCTATCACTTTCAAGTCTTCTCTTTCGGTTTGTAGATGGTCCTCATATTCTTGGAGATTATTGCGGGCTTCTTCGAGCCGACGAGCTGAAGCTGCGATGGCTTCCTGAAATATGGTTAGTTGTTCTTAAGGAAAGGTAACTAGATGACTCACTTCAAGTGTTTGGTTATTAGTCCTGTTGCGGTTTGTGTTTGGTTTCTCATCAGCATCGTGGTTGATGTTGCTGTCATCAACATCCATCTGCATGTCGGGGTCCAGTTCGATCTCAGGTTGAGGGTCATGTTCAGGCTCGGGCTTTAAGTCAGGCTCAGGCTCAGGGCTGATTTCAGATTGGGCCTCAACCTCAGCCACATTGTCAGCAGTCGGCGATCTGATTTCGGTCCCCCGCTTCCTCTGGCGCGACTGTGTATCTGATCGTGGAGGTCGCGGAAGTATCACCTCGTCGTTTGAGTGTTGCCTCTTCCTCGTTCGAGAAGACGGTCTCCCGCCATCAATCCCATTATGAGTAGATCTCCTCCTGTTCGCTCTCTTGTCATGGGTATAGGTAACCCATTCCAGCGCATTAGATGACTGCGTTGATGTCAAAACCCAATCTCCCTTCTGGCCCACTAGCCATTCAGTCAGCTCAGAGAGTGTGACATGATGTTCATCGTCACACGCGAATTCAACAGCGGTAACAAGTGGTGCCAATGTGTGTTTATCTAGCGACTCGGGTATCCGGCCAGGAAGAAAGTCCCAAGGCCACTGGCCACATGCTTTGTGAATATGACGCAGTTGTTTACAGACGGCCCGAGAACTGCGATTATAGGGCTCAGGAATAGGTGCTTTCTCAGATATTGAAGGGCCTTGCGATGACCTTGGGCTGGCCATGTTGAAACCTGACCACCGACGAGCCTGACATGCGTGACGTGCGTGAGCGGGGTGGAAAATTGGCTTGTCTTGCCTTATCTTATCTTATCTGGTGACCCGGCAGATCTTAGTTCCGGCATGGCCTCACAGCGGGGCCCCTAAGCTGATTGTCATTTAGCTTCCTTCATCCTACCGGTACTTGAAATCTAGGGTAACTAGTACTTAATTGCAAATTAATGTAAAGCCAGACAGTATCACAATTAAAAGAGTTTACCTCAGTATATCCTATCAAGCTCTAAAACACATCACTCGACCCAATTCATCTTTTTAAGACTATAAGTATTCTTCACTCGGTTATACAATGCGAACACTATCTGTTTTACCATCGACAAACGTCAGCGTTCTTAGATACATTTTGGTTTTGAGTGGCCTACACTTTAGAACCGACTCAAGTTATAAGCTGTTAACAGACCCATTTCGTAAAACAAATGTCATGGTTACGGGAAGCGCCTAGTCCGAATGATACAATGTCGTATTTAAAGCACGAATTGACTGGGTAATGGCAAAGAACCCGAGCCCGTGCTGCAGATACGGGGATACTAGGGTTAAAATAGAAGGTAAAAAGGTGGACTCCGGCCTTGGCAGTGATTGCAACGGTGATATCTACCAGGGTCAGAGCGGACATATTGACTATGATGGCAGCTAGGAGTGATAGCCTGTCTTGCTGAGCGTAGTATGTATGCCGATCAATTATTCAATCCTGATATAAAAAGGGTGAACTGCCTCCATCATATCCATAGTGCTGTATAATCCTTCTGAATTTGCCAACATGCTGCATAAAACGGTAGTATCACTTGGTCTTGCCACCATCGCCCTTGCTCTTCCAACAGGCAGGGATAACAACGGCCCCAGCAACTTCATCGTCGCGCTCAAGCCAACTGCCGACGTCGACCTTGATCTGCACGCTCGATGGGTGTCGGATGTGCACGGACAAGCCCTTGCCCGCCGTGGCGTCGAGTCCAGTGGGATTGACAAGACGTTTAGTTTCCCTGGTTTCAAAGGGTACTCGGGCTCGTTTGATGAGGATACTATTCAGATCATCAAGGCCAATTCCAGTGTAAGCAGATGAGCATATCCGATGAATGCATATGTTAATTCGAAAACAGGTTTTGCATGTTGAACCAGAACAGGCCTTCACTATCGCCTCACCAGTCACACAGCAGTCTCCTCCTTGGGGTCTCTCAGCAATTTCCAATGCCAACCCCCCATCTTCAAAGGCCTCGTACACATACGATTCGACGGCCGGAGCGGGCACGTTTGTCTATGTTCTAGACAGCGGCATTTACCTCGAGCACGAGGAATTTCAGGGCCGCGCTGTTTTTGGTGCAGACACGTCAGGTGTTACCACCAAGAAGCAGCACGGTACGCTTGTCGCTGCCATTGTCAACGGTGCCACATATGGAGTTGCCAAAAAGGCGACTGTTGTGGATGTGCAAGTTCTGGGCGATGATGGCGGTTCGTCCAGTGGTGTCTTGGCTGGTCTTAGCTGGACGGTCAACGACATTGTGTCCAAGAATCGCGCTGGTAAGGCTGTGATTAACATGAGCTTGTCAGGAGGCGACTCGGTCATCCTCAACGAGGCGGTGCAGAAGGCGATTGACGCCGGAATCCCTGTCGTCGCAGCCGCAGGGAATTCAAACGAAGACGCTTCAAAAAGCAGTCCCGGGAACCAACCTAACGTGATAACCGTCGCGGCCAGCAACAAAGACTATCAGCGATGGGCTCACTCCAACTGGGGGTCAGCTTGTGATATCTTTGCTCCAGGTGAAGAAATCACATCGGCTTGGCCCACGTCTGCTTCGGCTACTCGCGTTGCAAGCGGCACGTCAGAGGCTTCTCCGCATGTCGCAGGGGTTATTGCGTATCTTTTTGCACTGGAAGGCTCGCGCACGCCGGCTCAGATTTGGTCTCGACTCAAGGAGCTGGCGATCAAAGATAAGATCACAGATGTCAAGGGGGTTCCAAACCTATTGGTATACACCGGAATTGGCAAATAATACACCTTGTCTACTTAAGACCTTTTATACATTAAAATTGATATATATATTAAGATAAGTAAGTCTTTTACTTCTTGCGCAAAACAGCAAGTAGATGATCTGCACATCCAAGATATTCTTCTTTCTCAGAGTACTCTTTGAACAGTAAATCTGCCCACGCCCGTATGATCTCACCATCAGCATCAATGAGCTTGGCGTCGAGCCCACCACCAAGAATACCCTCGGTAGAGCGGAGACTGATGAGCTCTGCTACCTCAGTAAAGTAATCCTGAAAGAATTCACGTATGCTGCCGCTATCCGTATGGAAGGATTGCACTTCTGCCTCATTGTTCTCGTTGAACCTTTCATAACGGCCGTCCGCAAGCTGATCATAAGGAACGAGTATTAGTGATGGTTTCAGATGTAACCTGGTCGGCAAGGGCAAAGGCTATCTTTCCCGGGCCACCTCCTACGTCTGCAATACGTTTACACTCAGTATCAGCAGTCTCGGAGGTATTTAGAGCTTGTCGAATAGCGCGCAACGTGAGCTCACGCTCCATTGGGTGGGTCGCTAATCGATTGTTCTCGTAATCAGCGACTTTACCATAACGGTCAGCAACAGCTTAGCGAGAGGTTGGCATTTTTATAAGAGTCAAGAAACGTATTCTTGTGAGCCTCTGAGAAGTCGTATAAGGAAGAATTTCTATCTTTAACGCAAGCTCTCGGCTTCATAAATACCTCATATACCTCACCTACGGCCTCGGTGGGGTTTACGACTTGCCCAATATAGTTTAGCGAGTTCGTTGCAAGACAGAAGATGAGCTAAATGCAAAGAAAGGAGCTATAGTTTAAAGTGAAAGGATAATGCTGGTATAAGAGAGGTTCTCTTTATGCTAGCTGCAATAATAAGCTGGCCAATCTTGACAGATTGTTCAACAATGAAGGTGAGATTATAGCAAAAGTCTACGCCAGTAATGCCACTGCCTTGTTAGTCGCCACTATCATGAATAGAGGAGTGTCTTGTCGCAGTGTCCTAAAGGTTGTATTAAGTTGAGATATAAATAATGTTGTTTAGTGTTAGTCTGCCTGTTATTAGACTTATCGTATAATCGAGGGTCCCAGAATCGCATGTCAGTAACCAAAAGGAATACCTAAAAAAAGTCTTGTTTACACTGACTTGAGTGAATTCTTTAATAGGTGGTAGAAAGAGACCTTGCCCCATGGGACATTTAAATCTGGGACTTCTAGTGAACCCGGAATCTACTGGAATAGAGTAATATTGGCCAAGAGGAATGACTTGATGTTGAACACGTCTGGGTCAAACTTGGGTCTTGGTATTGGTTCACAAAAGGGTCACAACGTGTTTTTAACAGTATATCAGCGATGTAGGTTATAATCAACTGTAGACATTACATATTTTCCACCAATTGATACGGTGTTCATCAATTAGCTCGATCCGGGGTTTGGACTCTTTGGCCCACTTTGCTCGGGTCATCAGGAGCCGGACTCTTCTGTTTATCCATTTCTCCCTGGCTCGTCATTGACAAATAGATCAACATTTCAATCTACTAACTGAGACCTTTACTGCAATCCACATCTAACCCGAAGCCTTAGTACGGTATAGTTCATACTCATAGCTTGAAAACAAGAATGGGGCCACTCCTTTAAGATCATTCTCAAATAGAGGCATGCTGGCATAGTACTACAATATGTTAGTTGGCACCAAAGTAGTGGTAAAGAGAAACACACCTCAAAAGTTCCATTGGAGCTCAAGCTACCTGTCTGAACAGTCCACTCCCAGGCTAAAGAGCCATCATGCGGAAGAGGCTGTGCAAAGCTTGTAGTCATCAAAGTATAACCATCCAAAGCTGCTTTCAGATATCTGTCACCCTTGATATAACCCATGCGAATAGCTTTGAAAAGACTGGCGACAAACATGGCTGTCCCTGAACTCTCAATGTAGTTGCCGGACTTGTGTTCCAAACCAGGGTCCATCACAAGCCACCAGCCCTTGGTAGCCTTGTCCTGACATGCTACGAGGGCATCAGCCAGGGTTTCCAAATACTTCAGCAGGCGCTTGCGACCCTGGTGCTTTTCAGGAAAGTAATCGAGAGTGTCCGTCAGCGCCATGATGTACCAGCCTACACCGCGACTCCAGACATGGGGTGCAGCTCCAGTCTCAGCATCAGCCCAGACCTGGATCTTACTGTAATCGAATCCATGGACAGGCAGGCCGTTAGTATGGCTGCTTGAGCGCGTACCGGCGTCGATGAGGTCAAACTGTAAGGCAATGTCGTCCCATGCGGTGCTATTATCGGGCTCAAACTCGTGGGTCCATCGTGCGTAAAAGACGTCTAGCATGTAGAAGCCATCGAGCCACATCTGGTCGATATAGGCCGGATATCGATGATAGAAGCCTCCATCAGGCGTGCGGCCGGTGCGGTCAATCTGCTTCCGCATGTGCGTCGCCGCCTTCTTGTAAATTTCGTCTCCCGTTACATTATATATATCTAAGAACTTATGGCCGATTCGAATGTCATCGATAGAGTTGCTGTTGTTATACATAAGAACAGTGCCATCGTGCTCGGGGTATAGAAGGATATCCGCTCCACGCTTAACGTAGTCAAAGTACTTCTTATCACCGGTTCGGTCATAGGCTCGAAGGATTCCGGAGTAATATGCAGAGACCGTGTAGGCCAGAGTGGGCTCAACTCCATGCTGCATTTGAGAGTCGGCCATCCAGGTCAAATATCGTGGACGGCCTTGAAACTGTGTGTGTTTGAGCTTCTGACCGGGCTGGAAAGTGAACCATCCATGAGGAAGATTTGTGCCCGCGGCAAATGCAGTACTGGCCAAAGAGCCCAGCACAAGGAGAGAGAACCGCATGATTGCCTATAGAGAATGAAAAGAGATAGAAATTGAGTCTTGTATTATACACCAACGCTTAACAAGATGTTGCATGGCTTAAATAATTCTCATTATTATCAATAGGGTAGCTACATATAGACCCCAGCCTGACTACAATTTCGATGAATCTGACTTTTCCGAAGTACAACACAATGCATAGACATGTTATCTGATCTGCCTGTAATGAAACTTCAAGGATAGGACAGCAGTATCGTCACATTGACATCTTCATCGGGATTCAGACAAAGCGGGGTAGGATTAAGCTTAATTGAATATGAGCAGATCTGCAAAGCAAAGTAATCTTTATGGTGGATAAATATTTCTCAGTCCTAAGCCGGATTATTTATGTGGTGACCTTGTGACGGAAAAGCAAGAGCGGAAAAGGCACATGACTGGATGTATGCCTCGGCTGACTTTTGAGCGTTGATTCGCTATTATGCGAGGGAAATTGACTAATCCTTGCTTTCACCAGTGATTGGTTTAGCAAGCTCGTGTTGGTATTGAGAGTTGTTCAGCTTGGACAATGGTCTTTCTTACCGAGAATGACACGAGCCGCGACGAGTTGTATTCTGAGAAGGTTATCATGTGTATTATGCCTCTGTGTTTATTTCTTAGGCCTCTTTCTATTCTGGTAAGGGTCATTTGCCTCTAGAGACTAAATAAACATAAATTATGCATGTCTTACATATTATTATCCTTCTGGTCAACCCTGGATTTTGATTGATGCCTTGCCCCTTGCTAGTAAGCCACATACTCAGCAGCTCATAATAAGGTGGAATTCTTGGCCAGGGCTTGGAAAGCACATGTCAGTGATTGCTATATGTTTAAGGGTCGTGCGGTCACAGTTGCTTAATTCTTTACTATCATTGGGTAGAAATCTCTACGGATCCAGTCTCGTAATCCATCATGTGTCTCACTTTGACCAATAACGGAAAAGGCAAGAAACAACTTAAACGATACCGAACCCGCGTATAGGCTTAAAGTAGCCTTACTTGTCTTCCCATTTTAGTTAACGAAGGTGGGCCCGGCTCTTTGTGGACTTTCTAACCCGATGTGAATATAGACAGGTTGGGTTTGAGACAGCCATCGGCAAAAGCCGACATAGCGCATCTTCCCAGACGAAGCTAGCCACACCGTTGTAGCACGGATATCGTACCAAGCAGCAAGCACTTTTGTATCTAGATTAGAGTAGTCTTCCCTGCTAGTTCCTGTTTCTAAGTCAGCTTTCTCCACTTCACCGTTCCACTGACGCAGCGTTTGACTATAATGAAACTTTAAACTAAGATAAGATTGCGCCAATGGTTCCTGTCAACATATTCCCTGCATTTGCCAGCACGTGGTCTGATCAAACGTCCTTCCGGGTTCTTAATAGAGTCCGAAACTGGAGCTTCAGAACTGGCGCCAGCGTTGTTTAACGTGATTTGTAGATGAATCATGGGTCTTCAGTATTCTTAGTTCTAGTGTCGAGTTCAATGGTGGATGGCGCTACGAAAAGCCGAGCGGCAGATCCCAATCTATGCATGTACTCAAAACAGCCTCGCAATTGGGACGCTTGATTGCTTGACCGACTCCCGTTTACACTGATTCAACAACGTAAATAGGCGTCAGGCAAGTCGGCCTATAACCCTCAGATCCCGCGTTGTCAAAGCTCGAGCCTACTGTAGAACTGACTAGGAACTGACTCGCCGATAACCACGCTATAGACAACCCAATCCTGTACCAGAAGGTAAAACACCGATGTTGTTATTAAGGTTCAAGGAACTTTTGGAATCATGTATCGATCAAAGGCCAGTCAAGCCTCGTATTCCAACAAGTCAGACCCATTGATTAAAAGTATAGTCATCAGGGTTGAATTTAGTATGCAGTTGTTCTTTGGTGTTCCCCTGCCTGACCATACTAAACGAGGAAGTTATCGCGCATATGCTCACCGAGGCATAGACATCTGGGTTCCGGTAGACCTTGCAACAAAATGTGGCCTTGGAGTGTTGAGAGGGTTCTTGGTATCGAAAATGACTATAAATAAGAGTCTGTCTCGTCGCTCTCATCGAAACCTCTATCCTCATAACACTCATCACCGCCTACTCTATCACCTTACTTTCACATCAAACATCAAAGCGAGCTTGCACTCATAGTAGCTTTTCAACTTGACGAAAAATGCATCCTCAGACCATCTTCAACGCCCTGGTTGCTCTTGCTGCCACTGGCATGGCCGCTCCTTCGGAGGCCCTCAACAATCTCCATGCTCGAGCCGTAGTCAACCACGACTCTCTTAACCCTGTCAAAAAGACAATCGAAGGAGGTGCAATCGGTGCCGCCATCGACAGGTGGCAGCCTCTTCTTCACATTGCCGATGGTTGTCAGCCATACACTGCTGTTGATACGAACGGTAACGTCAAGTACGTAATCAAACCAGTGTTCACATCAAATACGTCTTATAACTAACCTTGTAAAATAGTGGCGGACTCCAGGACAGCGGCAGTAAGACTGGTGGCTGCAAGGATACCAGTAAAGGTCAGACATATGCTCGTGCCGCCATGCATAATGGCAAGCTTGCCATCATGTACGCTTGGTACTGGCCCAAGGACCAGCCTGCTGATGGCAACCTTGTCAGCGGCCATCGCCACGACTGGGAAAACGTGGTTGTCTTCATAGATAACTATCAATCTCCTGGGGCTACCCTCTACGCTGCTGCGGCGTCTGGCCATGGCGACTACAAAAAGACCAAGAACCCTCAACGAAAAGGCAATAATGTCATGGCTGAGTACTTCACTAGCTTTGGCAAAAACCATGAACTGCAGTTCAAGACTAGTCCCGGACGCACTTATTGGATCTATGACTGGGCTGCTATGACTCCCGCTGCCCGCCAGGGTCTGATCACTGGTCCATCTGGCGATCCCAAGAAGCCTTGGGGCAGCGCTAATGTCCCTTTCATCGATGCCAACTTCGGCAACAACCTCAACAAGGCCTGGTCCTGAAAAGGCTAATGTTCAATGAACTTTTCTTGTTACTCAGAAGCATATGTCCAAACACGAAGCAGCATTAAGAAGGCGGTGGACGGTGAGACGAGATGGAAGAGTGAACAGGGAAAGGCCAAGGAGGAACGCGATAACTTGAGGAGGGAAATACGAAATACACAGAACGGTGTGTTGAAGCATGTATTTAGCTGGGGAGGAGGAGAGGGAGAGGGAGAGGGAGTAGACATTGCCCATAGCGACGACACACTTCTTTGCCTACCTCCAGGTTGTAATTATTTAAGTGCGATCTACTTGCGTCTTAACAACAAATCAGCTACCATTGTGTCTTTGCGAACTAGCCAAGACAAACTACTGGCCGTTGTGAATAATGCTACAGCTTAGTCAAGGGCTTGAGAATTACACATTACTAACATGGTTAGCTAAACGAATACCTAAGAAAAAGTGTTAAACTCCTATTGGCCTCTAGATATATTTAGCCTGGCAGTAACGTAGCAATCTTGGGGTAACGTAGCAGATTACATAAACATCAGTTGCGGGGATAAGGTCAGATCAGCGTCGCAGTACATACTACTAGACCTAACCTTTCGTTCGTCTAAAAACATTGACTTGAGCATTGACTCGATAGCCATACAATGTTCGCATTGCCATTCCTTTTTGTCGCGGCTGCGGCCGCTATCCATGATAAACCTCTGGCCACTGTCCCAGGACAACAGGATGCAATCCCCAATTGGGACTTTCAACAATTGCACAAAACCTCCAGGAACACTGCAGCCCTTTCCCAGCCAGGCGTCGACACTTCATCCTGGCATCATGCGCCTGTATCCAGATGCACTTTGATGGCTTGCCTCTTGGTCGAAGGCACCTATGCCACAGATGGTCCTGATGGGCTCTGGTACTCTGATAACCTTGACCGTTTTGACCAGAGCCCATTCTCTGCTCCTTGGGTGTATAGGAACCAATTTAGCTTGTCAACTGGGCACATGTCATCAAAGCGCCATTATTTTCTTCAAACCAACGGCATCACCCCCGCTGCAGACTTGTTCCTCAATGGCAAGCAAATCGCTAACAACATCACCCAGTCAGGTTCCTATGGCGGTCATACGTATGACATCACGCCTCTTGCACGAAAGGAAAATGCACTTGTAGTCAAGGTCTATCCTACAAACTATCAAGACCACCTGGCCGTCGGATTTGTCGATTGGAACCCTTACCCGCCTGATAATGGCACTGGAGTGTGGAGGGAAATCACAGTCAAACAGACCGGCGACGTCTTTATGGGTCCAGTAAGCGTGCTTGTTGACATGGATACACCCATGGAGCAGAACAAAGACCGCCACGCGGACGTCACCATCAGGGCCCATGCACGAAACCTGAGCAAAAAGCCAATAACGTTTATCGCCAGAGCCGAGATCAAAACTCCAGACGGCAAACACCTTAAGGTGCTTACCAAAACTATTCGCCTCGGGGCCAAGGACTCAACAATGGTTGAGCTTCCGGCAAAGATCCAAGGTCCACAAGTTTGGTGGCCATCAGCTTGGGGGCAACAACCATTGTACTCGGTCCAGCTGACCTACTCTATCGGGTATGTTACTTCAGACATCAGTCCTCGTACCAGCTTTGGCATTCGAACTGTCTCTTCTGAGCTGAATGCGCACAATGACACTTTGTTCAAGGTGAATGGTCACCCAATCCAGATCAGAGGCGGCGGCTATACATCCGACATGTTTCTACGGTGGGACTCCCAACGTTTTGAGCATATAGCGCGCTATGTCCTGGATATGGGTATGAATGCTATCCGCCTCGAAGGCAAGATGGAGCATCCAGAACTCTACGATATTGCTGACAGACTCGGTATCATGATTATGGCCGGCTGGGAGTGTTGTGATCGGTGGGAGGCTTGGCCCTACAACGACGATTTTTCTCAGGACCCTCCCCAACATTGGTCCGAGGTTGATTACGAGACCGCCAACGCTTCCATAAGGCACGAGGCAGCCATGATGCAAACCCACCCAAGTATAATCGCCTTCTTAGTTGGAAGCGACTTTTGGCCTGATGACCGGGCCACGGCGATATACCTTGATGGCTTACATGACGCTGGATGGCAAGTCCCCATCATCTCCTCGGCTGCGAAGCGTGGTTATCCAAAGGCCATTGGCCCCTCCGGAATGAAGATGGAAGGGCCCTATGATTGGGTCCCGCCCGTCTATTGGTTTGACAGTGAACCAACAGACAACAGGTCTGGATCCTCTTTTGGATTCGGAAGCGAGCTAGGCGCTGGCGTGGGAACACCTACCAAAGGAAGTCTCACCAGATTTCTGACAGACAAAGACATGGAGGACTTGTGGAAGAAGCCAAACAAGGGCCTCTATCACATGTCACAGAATACCTCACAGTTCTATGATCGGTCCATTTACAACAAGGCGCTGTTTGCTCGGTACGGCAAGCCTACATCTCTAGACGACTACTTGATGAAGGCACAGATGATGGACTATGAAGCAACACGTTCTGAGTTCGAGGGATGGGCAAGCCAATGGAGCGCTTCGCGTCCGGCCACTGGTCTGATCTACTGGATGCTCAATAACGCCTGGCCTAGCCTCCATTGGAACCAATTTGATTACTATCTCCACCCTGCTGGATCGTATTTTGGCACCAAGATCGCCAATCGAGTTGAACATGTAGCCTTCGATTACTTCAAGAGCTTTATCTGGATCATCAATCAGTCCCTTGCGCAATCCGGTCCGCGCTCAGTTCATGTCGACTTGGTGGATTTGCAGGGGAACCATATCTCTCATCAGAAGCTTCACTTCACCACAGAGCCCAACAAGTCTCAAATGGTTGGTGACATAAGCAGCTCCATCAAAAAGATTACAGATGTCGGCGTGCTTCGCCTGCTTCTGGTTGAAAACGATAGTGAGAAGGTACTCAGCCGCAATGCCTACTGGCTATCCAAGGAGAAGGATATAGTTGACTGGACCACCACGTCGTGGTATTCTGTCGACGTTAAGCAGTCCGCCAACTTCACTGCACTGAACACGATGGAAAAAGCGACCATCACAGCGTCGACCTCCAAGAACAAGACTTCTGGGGGTTGGAGGCTCCGAGTTGAGAATAGCGCTACAGTCCCCGCTGTGTTCATCCAGCTCAACCTGGTAGATAAGCGCGGCAACGATGTGACTCCGTTGACCTGGTCGGACAACTATTTCACTCTACTTCCGCGTGAGTCAATTGAAGTTGAAGTCACCGACTGGTCGGGCAAAGGTGCTATGGTACAAGTCTTTGGCAAGAATGTGAAAAAGTCTCGGATTAAACTGGGCTGAGTAATAACTAAGATTTATAGTAAGGTGTCCAAGACTTGTTAGATGCTTTTTCATTAGTTTCACTCAGTATGCTCTATTTATAAAAGCTGATAGTATTTATGTAAGTAGGATTTAAATTATAAGTTCTGGTACAATTTTCAACTATCTGTGTTTTAAGTCTGGATACTAATATAATACAAGACATATCTTAGTTAGAGCCGCTCGCACGATGAACCCATTCTTCATAAAGTTCAATATATGCCTCCTTGACGGTAGAAGCCCACCACCACTGCGCCTCACTCTTAGAGCATCCAACAAACTGCATAAGGAATTTCTTTTTTCCATACCCCTCATCCTTCTTCACATCCTTCTCTTTAATAATCCGCAGGAGATGGACAACGTCTGAAGGCAGCTCCACGGCGTTCTGACGGCCTCTGTGCTTCTGCCAGTATGACAACAATTTCTGCTCATTCTTCAGGTGGATGTCGCGCTCAGCGAACCAATGAACCAGAGTATGGCGGGAGTCGGGCTTCTTGAGCTGGACCCTGAGTAGGACATATGGGCCTTGAATATTGGGCTCTACCGTGATGATCTCAACGTCGTCCCGTGTTTCCGTTTCGTGGTCTATGATTTTCCATTCGACCCCATCCTCTAGAACTGATTGAGTTAAACGAAGTTGGAAGAAGGGTTATAGCAGATTGTAGCTTACTGGAAGCGGGAGAGACATCGCGAATCTTCTGCGTGATGGTCTGCGAGACTATTGCAGACTCATCGGTATTGTTGTTTGGCATGGCTTCGAGTTGCCCTTGGGAATACAGAAGGAATATTAACAAGTTGTCGCAGGACAATACATAAATTTAAAATGAAAGGTTGTCAGATAAGATGAAAGATTCCGGGAAGAGGCTTTATTTATGTCTTTTTTACTCCATCTCGCAGTTCGACTAATGCATGGACATGCGATGCTTGGAGCAGCGAGGCGCAGGGAAGTCCTACTAGGATAACTGTACCTGCCCGGCGGTGAGATACCAGCATGGGTAACACTACAATGACCTAGAGTATCATGCACGGCGATTGCTAATAGAAGGTGTTACAGACAGGCCTTCAAGTGCTGAGTTTTACAGGGTTTGGTCTGCTGCAGCAAATTACAGAGTAAGGTAAGCGACAGTCGGAATTGGATGGTGACACAAGCTTAGAACATGTCGGGCTTTTGTCTGATATTGGCAACGAGCAACTCTTTGCAGTTCAATAATCGGGAGCCACCTAGCAAAAATTTTTTAAGACTCGAGTGTCCGGTGCGTGCCTTACTTGTCGTTCCCAACTTGAAGAATTAGGCGATCGCAACTAACCTGCCGTCCACGCCGTGATGGATGGGCATGCGAAACTTGCAGCCATAAACCATCAACTCGTATCTAAGATTGAGAGCAGCACTGGACACACAGCAACCGCTGAAAGTGAGTTCAACAAATACGTTAAGGCTGGACCTTAAGGCAAAGCAGCAATCCAGCATGCTTTGACTGCCTTCCCTACGTCCTTCTTAACAAGATATGCAGGGCTGCTTGAGAATAGGCGTAATTGAGAGTACTACCAAGCTGAATTGCTAACAGTGTATGACAAAGCTATGTATTTGTCGAAAACGCCCCGTTCGTGTTGTTGACAAAGGCATAAACGAGTCAAAAATGTGGCTTGCACTAATCACGTCACCACAAGATAAACCCTTCAAGATAAACAGAGAAGCATCGGCATCCTGTCCTCTCGGCAACAAAGGATCAAGAAACAAAATGACAAAAAATTGAATGCAAGAATTAACCAAGGGGTGGAGGGAAAACAAAAGCACTCCTTCGATAAATGATCCCTAGATTATGCTGTCTCACCTCAATTTTCGCATCTTTATGGATCCCTGCCAATCGCGTTTTGCTGTAGTGCAGCCACCTTAATTCTTAGCGCCTGAAAACACCCGAGAGGCCCCTGTCGCTCTGGAAACCCGAGAACCTTATCGTGTTGGTTCCTTCTCCTTGCATACACGATGACGAGCATTTGTTGTTGGGCCAATCTCGACAGATGCAGCTGCTCATATGCGGAAATAGGTAGGTTATAATAATAGCTCGAAGTGAGTTCGTCTTAGTTTATTCATGACTTTTCATCTTCTCTTATTAATTTATTGTATTTCTTTTATTCTTGGACGCACATATTCACAATGCGCAGTCTCGCTGTACTGGCTTCTTTATGCCATCTTACCTCCGCACTATCGATCCCCGTTTACCCGAAGAAGAGGGAGGTTTCAGTTGGGGTTGCTATTTATAGTTGTACCCAGCCAAACACCATTGCTCTCACTTTCGATGACGGCCCATTCGTGTACACAGATTCTGTCCTTGATCAGCTTGCGTCAGCTGGAATGCCGGCCACGTTCTTCCTCAATGGTTACAACATTGGGAATATCATGGACTACCAAGCCACTGTCAACAGGATGATGGGGGAAGGACACCAGGTTGCGTCGCATACGTACGTGTAAAACATCAACCTCTTCAAATTGTGGTCACTGACGTTATGTAGCTACGGCCATCCAGATCTCGCAGGCCTTGCAGATTTCGACGTCGAGCAGCAAATGTCGCTCCTGAGCAATGAGTTCATCAACATCATCGGCAAGTATCCTGTTTACATGCGCCCTCCCTATTTTAGCTTCAACGCTCGAACTCTCGGAGTCCTTGGTCAATTGGGCTTCAAGGTTATTATTGCTGATATCGACACCAACGATTGGCGGTACTCGTCGTCTGGTGGTGCTGAACCCTCTTTAGCTTCATACTATGCTGGGCTTGACAATGGTGGTTCCATTGTTCTTATGCACGATGTTCATCAGAATACTGTTCAGAATATCCTGCCTCGAATCATACAGGCAACCCTCCAAAGTGGAAAGAGAGGTATGTTGATAGTATTGCTCCGAGATGTGTCTGACTAATTCTCCTCCAGCTGTGACTGTGGGGGAATGTCTTGGAGATCCCGAGACAAACTGGTACCGAGGTGGAGCAACCCAAACACCAGAATGGAATGGCACCGACACTCCGGTCATCCCAGTCAGTCAGACGCCAGCACCCGAGAAAGCGGTTGTCTGGGAGTAACTTTTGTTTTGGGTCTTTGGGGGAATATCATACAGTTATAACAAAAGACGCAAGTCGTGACACTCATTTCAATTTACATATTATCTCTCTTCTACTTACAGTCCCAACTTCGCATTAGCCATCTCGCGCACCTCCTTCTGACCCTGTGTCAACCCCTCTTCTTCCGTATCAAGCCTCTCGAGACCCATCGCCTGAAGACCCGCCTTGGTAAGAATGTTCTCAACCCTGGCTCCGCAATCCTCATGGTCGTATTCCCTCTCCCATGTCCCATGCGATCGCGTAAAGTCAATCGGAACATCGCCTTTCTGAAATGCATCACGAGTCGTCAGGAGAGACTCAATATTATAGGGTGTTAGCGGATTGCACGCGTTGTATGACACGCTTGAATCGACAAGTCCGGGGTTTGTGGGATCCACGCCATGGACCAAATCACAGTGCCAGAAGACATAATCACCGGGTCGGACGGGAGGTATACCCACTATGGCTCGCTTGATTTCGAGATCTGGATGGCCCTCAACAGTTGGGAAGAATTGGGTTTGACCGGGAGTTGCGCCGGGGAACGTAGGCAGAGAATCGTTGTACTCTCCGGTATGGAACAATGGTCGCAGCATGATGTATGCCATAGATAGCTTCAGACTTGGGAGTACTCGAAGTGTTCCCTCGCCAGTCTGCGTATTCGAAAGGGACAACCATCCTTGAAGGCTTCTCCAAACTGAGCAAGCTGTTCCTGTGTGATAAAGATCACTCTGGGCTTTGACACGGTGACCTGCAGACCACGCATCCCAGTCTTGCCAGTTGCCCTCGAAAATGTCCGCGTAGTTCTTTCGGTTCTCTTCGTCTTCCCATCTTTCAATCGCCCCGCTGTCCATGTGAGGGTCCAAGGGAAATTGCCCGGGGTCATTGCTTGGATAGCGGATGCGAATTCGATCAGGGTAAATGACTTGACTATCGAGATCAATAGGGATTGTTGGATCAGATACGTGCCATAGCCTTGAGACGCATTTCATGGCCTCCAAAACTCTTGGATGGGTTCGCATTTCCATCTGTGCTTTGGTCCAGAACACGTTCCAGGCCGCGGGTTTGTGGTGGGGATGACCACCTACGCCTGGATGACGCTTGGTGTAGTCCTTCAGCGACGTCTCCCAACTGACCGCTTGGTCTTCGCTGACGACATTTCGAAGGATGAGACAGCCTCGTTCATGCACCAGCTTGGTGAAATCATCGGGAAGTTTGCCGCCTACAGCAAGTTAGAAAAGGATTTCTCGAGAGCATATGAATTCTTTTATTGGGAAACCGCATACCGTTCTTTCGGACATCATCAAAGTCAATTTCTGGAACCAGGGCAGCTCCGTGCTTGTCGATGTGTTCAACTTCCTTACGCAGAATCTTGACCAGGCGCTCATATGACTCTATCACCTTCTGTTTATTCTCAGGCTTGACGAGTGACTTCTTCAGAGCAGCAAATCTCTGGTCCAGCAGGTCGCAGCTATTTGTCTTTGTTAGCGGAGTGACTCAAACTTGATGGCATGCCAAAGCAGCTGTAGACTTACTCCAGCACAAGCTGCTGCGATAGTTCTAGCTGCTCTGTTTTGGTATAAGACATTTTGCTCAAAGGATATAAATGCCAAAGTGGAACTGATGGTTTATTGCTGGGGAAGGGGGAGTGACTTGTTGGAATCAACAATGTGATGAAGAAAGAGAACGAAATGACTTGATGGTACCCTGTGTATAAAAGCAATTTGGTGAGGCCAAATGCGGAACTCCAATCGGCTATAACCCATCTCCCCCAGTGCGTACAGGGACTACAAAAGCTCCCATGGCTAGTCTGTTCTCAGGCTCCTCGATTTCAGGTGCAACTTGAAGGGTGCTTTCATGGCCTGAGGGAATTAGCCGATCGCACAATGATCTTGGTCCACTCACTAACCAGATCCCGTTGGCGTGATCTCTGTCTTCAATTAAGCGATATAGCATCTGAAATTGCCGATCGGTTTGACGAACTTACCCGATATCATTAGTTATTTCTAGATGGAGGCGAATTCACTCATACCGAGCCAGAGCAGATTGAATAAACCCAGAAGGTGATAATGCCTATTAATGCGCCTAAGTTTCGACCTGAGTCACACTCATCCGACTTTTTACGCCTCGCCGAATCTTTCTGATCTACTATCGCGCAGATCTCCAATCATGAACGCTGAAGCTTTTGATGTTAATGCGCCTGAAACGTGGCATTTAGCAGCGACGATTGACAATGAGCTACAAGACGTCAGTAAATGATATTTATGATAGTTATTAATGCTTCAAATTGTTAACCAGAATTGTGTAGATGATCAAAAATGGAACAAAGGGGAGGTTCACTGGCGATACCAAGCACCTTACCTTAGCGCAAACGCGGGCCAAGTTTGACAGCCTCTTCCAGCAAGATGCTGATATTCTTCGCTCGAAAATGCAAGAAGAGGTGTCAGAGGAAGAAATTCATATTCCCGTCAGGGATGGATTCAAAGTCAGGGCGCTCGTTTACCGTCGCAAGACTGACCAGTCGAAGACGGACCGGCCTCTGGTAATTCTTATTCATGGTGGAGGCTTCATTCTAGGCAACGCTGAGATGGAGATGCCAACCTGTGTTGAAGCAGTGCGGAGATATGATTGCGTCGCGGTGAGCTTGGAGTATCGTCTTTCTCCAGAAGTCAAGTTTCCTGTTGCATATGACGATTGCTGGGACGCTCTCATATGGGTTGGTCAATTCGTTCCAAGAATAATTCTTTGACTAAATATTAACTTCAACAGCTGTCCAAGAACGCGAACACTCTTCAGGCCGACCCAACGCGTGGCTTTGTCTTTGGTGGGACTTCGGCTGGTTCACATCTCAGCATCCCCCTGGCTCACAAGGCTCGGGACGAAAAGCTCTCGCCTCCACTCACTGGGCTTTATCATTGCGTTCCTCCTGCTCTGATGCCACAAGCCCTTACTGACAACTATAAACCCCTCTACAACAGTAGAGAGCAGCTGAAGAATGGTATGGCGCTCACTGCAGAGTCTACAAAGGTTTATGACAAGGCAGTTGAGCCAGACTTTGCTTCGCCACTGTGGAATCCTCTCCTTTGGCCAACTGGGCATAGAGGCTTGCCCCCAACGTTCTTCCAGATCTGTGGGGCTGACCTATTGAGGGACGAGGCACTGATTTATGAGAGGGAACTTAGACTCGAGAGTGGGGTTCAGACTAAGACGGTTGTTTATGAGGGGCTGCCGCATGTTTTTTGGTATGATTATCCAACTCATAGTGCAAGCGCCAGGTTTGCTAAGGACGCAGCTGATGGTTTGGGGTGGCTACTTGGTCGGGAGAAGTAGTTTCTTGTGACCCTGCTATGTATCATGTTTATCCAAAAATCTTTTACTATGATTTATACATAATGTGAAGTTGACGAACAAATTGTATCTATAAAAAAAGATGAGAAAGAGATGTACTCGAACACCGCTAAGATCTGTGGCTCAGAGCTTACAATCACTCAATAGAACTTGGATAACTTCAACTTTATCATCAAATGCAAGAACTTGTTTGCGGTATGCTGTCGAAGACATCAAAGCAAAAAGTGCGGCTATACACTCGGAGTCACGGCGTTAAGTAGTACGTTACTACTTGGACTGCCGCCGTGATACTGATTCTGCACTGTATCATCTATGAAAGCAGTTGGAACGTAGGTGATGTCGGTCAATTTGGTGACAGCATTTAGATGAATGATACTAAAGCAAAGGTAGTTGGTTATATTGGCTTATCGAATGCCAAGGGAGCCAGCGACATTGCAGTGCATGCTCTAGTCGGAAAAGGCTACTCCGAGGCCGAGCGTGCGACAGAGACAGATCGATCCTTTTCATCTTGATCCTTGGCCATGATACCATCTTCACGAACCTCCCCAACTCCATGACCGTTGTAAACTACCCCTTCGAACAACTCGTCGATCTCCTCGAGAGACAGTCCTTTTGTTTCGACCCAAAATACAGCAACGAAGATGGTCTCTAGAGCATCCCAAGCTCCAATGATGAAGTAGAGACGCCAGGAGATGGCCTCAAGGGCAATGGGGAACACAAGAGTGGTTCCAATGCTGTATCTTTTAGCATGGTCCAGGATAGAACGGACTTGATAGGAAACTCACGCAAATATCGCAATTGTTCCAGCCCATATGGCCATTCCGTTGGTACGGATAGAGTAGCTCAGAACTTCTGGAGGGTAGAGTTGCGTGATGGGGGTGATTCCAACACTGTACGCACCCATAAAGAGGAAGATGCAAGCGACAGTACCATAGATCCCAGCGAGGTCTTGGCTAGTACTGAAAGCTAGAAAAGTATTAGTTAGAGTAGATGTAAGGGTCTATGTTAGCTTACTCTTGGTCAGTGCACCGATGACAAACATTAAGATGGTCATTCCGACGCAGGCAGAGAGACAGAGCGTCTTTCGACCAGCCCTATCCATCAGGAACGTTCCTATCATTGCACAAATAAGACACCAAGATTGCAGTACAATGTTCTAGATACAGTTAGCAACGCATGATAGTATTATAGCATCTTCACATACGATTTGTAGTTGGGTAGTCTTGTTCGTGATACCAGCGTTCGTGAGCATGTCTCCGAGGAAAAAGGATGCAATGTTATTTCCTGATACTGTCAGTATCCATAGACGCTTAGCCTGTCGATCTAGGACTTACCGCTTGCCATGACAATGACAGCTACCGATACCGCAAGCATCAGTCGTCTCCGAGCGGAGCGAGTCGCGAAGAGCTCAGTGTATGACGCCGTCTTGCCTTCAGCTCGCTCCCTTTCTCTGCTATCAACCACGCTTTGATATTGTTCCCGAACTTCCTGGTTTGACTGGTCTCCATTGGCCACAATTGACGCTATGGCTTGTAGAGCTTCGTCCATCATATCTTGATGGGAAAGCCATCGGGGCGATTCGGGAGTCAGGAACAGGCAGAGGACGCAGATCAGGGAGAACATGCTCTGTAAAAGAATAGGAAGACGCCAAGACCACTCTCCAGGGATTTCAGCTGTTCGATAGGTAATACCTGCGGAAATCAGGGCGCCAACGTAGTAGACGGAGAAGGTAATGCTTAGACCCAGTCCGCGAATCTTGGGCGGAAGAGTCTCGGCGAGCCAACTATATTTGAGAAGAGGTTAGTCGAAGCTAAAGGCGTGCAAGGTGTAGAGAACTCTTACGTCGAACCAGCAATGCTTGAAAGTCCAGAAGCAACACCCAGAATGATGCGACCAGAAAGGAACATGGCAAAGTTTTGGGAGCCAGCAACCAATCCAATGCTGAAGAGCTTGGTCAAGAGAGCGACCAAAATGGAGTTCTTGCGACCAATCGCGTTGACGACAGGACCCATTGTCAGGGACGCAATGCCCCATCCAATGAAGTTTGCAGACACATTCAAAGCACGGGTAGTAGTGTTGAGGTTCAGAAACTCGGTATAGGAGGGAATGATGTTGATTCCGCTCATGAGCGCCGAGTCGTAACCGGCTGTTGTTGCGTAGACTGCTGCGCTGGCAACGAGGAGCATGACTGTAAGGCGACTCGATTCGGGCTGGAAGGGCCCAATAACACCGGTTGGGGACCACATGATGTTGGCTATCTTGGGTAGTGATAAAAGAAGTGCAAGGATCAGGTGAAAGGCAAGGTCTGGAGAGTCGGAGTAGAGGACATCGAGAGCCGTTCGATCACGAAGGTTAAGTATCAAATGAAGCCTTGATAGCCCAGAAAGATAGAGAACGCCACAGTTCTGAGACCAAGTAGCTTATCAATAGTTGACTCCTTATTGGGATTGGCGGTATCTCTCCCAGCCTGCATATCTTATCCCGAGTGTTTGGTTACCGGGAAAATCTGGAGAATGCGGGGTGAAGGGGTATGTGGAGGGGATGGTCTGGACTCAGAAAAAAATCACACAAGCTAAAATGTCGTCGGGTAATTTAAGACAAGCCAATGTTTGATGCCGATCGGCTATATCGTAAATTTCTACTATGTAGTGTCTCATCAACAGCCCTGACAAAGTAAAAATCGCGGGAAAGATTCGACGCGAAACACTTCAAAATAGCCCGCTGTTCGTTCATCTAGTGGCCGACTTCCTACAGCAACCTGTATAGCTTGATAAGCCTGGCGATAGTTTACTCCATGGGATGCCAGCTCGCTAAACCGCTCCAGAACCCAAGATCTATGCAATATATCGTCTGACTCAATTGCCACGACGAACAATGGCCAGCCTAGCCGGGCTAGACCTTCCTCTCCCTGATCTCGGTATGCTTTGAATGCCAGCGACATGATTTCTTTCATGGCCTCGCGTTGCTCTGGCGACATTGGTTCTTGTCCGTGAGTGATGCGGAGAAAGCAGACATATACGGCGTGAAAGCAGGAGACGACCGACTGCATCTCCATTGCGAACCGTCTATGAGGCCCATCATCAGGTAGTTCGAGGCGGTTAGCGATGCTAATCAACTCTCCATATCTAGATCTGACGTTACGGATGGCACCTGCGACAGATTGTCTCCACGAGGCGTGGGGGACGTTATCTCGATGCTCAGCTGCAGCCAGGGCACCAACCATGAACTTCAGCTGAGCGCACTCAGCGTCGAAGCATGATAGGTCACTACACTGTAGATCCTCCAGCAGCTCTGTCTGGGGATATGACCTTCCCCACAAGTCGTAGTTGGCAAGAACAGAGCGCTTTTGTAATTTTCTTGCGCGTTCTAGTCGACCTTCCGCTTCTCTTTCAGACATGTCGAGTGAAAAGCCTCCTAGAAGGTTGTTGACTGCCCCGCCAAAGCCATTCAGAACAGCACCTCCATCGGCATGTGAGAGCCAGATGAGTATCCGGCAGGAGACAGGGCAAAAGCTCTCTGCTTCAATGATATGTGCGATACGCTGCTCACTACCTTCACTGCTGTTGAGTTGCGATCGACCTAGTAATATTGAAGTGGCGCCTCGAAGATGTGCATCAAACCCAATGCCACAACCATCCCCGAACTTGAGCTCGTACAAGAGCATGAGCCATAAAGTAGCTAGAACAGGTGGCAGATAGGTGATCTCGCTAGGGACCTGCGTGGCCGTGGCTAGCATCTGCAAACCCTCTCTATAGTGCTGTATAGCTCTCAATCGTCTAAACTCAGCATCTGACTCAGAACCAGTTGTCTTCTCGGACCAGGACAGGCCGCTGACTGCGCAGACCATGTGAAGAACCATGGGACTCTGTTGAGCCAACTTCCAGACCAACCCGGGGCCACTGTGCATCGATATCCGCGTCCCGACCATCCCTGGAAGAACAAATCGGAAGAAGTGGATTGCCGAGTGATCGGAAGGGGACAAGATAGCGGCACAGTCGAGTGAGAGGTCAAGTGCGAGGCCATCGTCGGCAATGGAATTCAGTGGTGGTAAAATGATATCTGCACTCTGAGTATCGGATAGAGAGCCTGCAGAGTATGCCTCTCCAGGATATGGGTGACCACCACGGGCTGTAGAGCTGGTGCTAGGCGTTGACGCCACATCTGCACTGGCAATCAAGTTGGCAGGATAAGACGCGACAGGGGAAGTGATAACGCGCCTGGTGTACTTTTTGCGAGGGAGGCGCGTATAGTCGCAGGACAATTGCAGGCGGATGCATCGTCGGCAAATCGGTCGCGTCTCGTCGCACTTTACTTTTTTAACCCGACACGTCTGGCATCCGCCTCGTGACCGCTGAGTCCTCGGCTGATGTTGAAGTTGAGATTGCGATTGGGATTCAGATGAGTGTGGCGGCTCCTGGCTTGAGCTTGGAGAGCCCATGTGAGGTTTGTAGGCTTATGTCAATCGCCTATTTCTGAATTTGTCGAGTTGCAGTAATTGAGGAATTGAGAGCGAGAATTGTGGAGTGAAAAGGCGAGGGGGCTGGTTTGTTTTAGCCTCGGCATTTTAGTGAGAGAGTAATAGTCAACTGACTCGGTGAGCTTGTCCATATCTGCACAACCCGCTAGCTTGGCTGACCAAATTGACTAACGGGCGAAGCCACTACTCTATCGATCTTTACGGTGGCCTTATCAACATCGCCGCCTTCTGACGTCACAGCGTTATTTACGAACTGCCAGGCCAGGTTCGAAGATTATTTTGACTATAGAATGATTTGAGAGAATGGTAAGATACAGCAAAGTCCTAAAAGCTATACTTAGATACACCGACAACATCTTCATGCTTGCTCGAGAGCCACTACCCGCCGAAGCCTAAAGGGCACTAGTATACAGGAATCTTGAAAGCATCGAAGCTGTATGTCCAACTCTCGATTGACTTCTTGTCATCAACACACGCGAAACTCTTATCGTTCTTCCAAAGAGGTCGCTTGGGCCATTGACACAACATCTGCGTCTCTCCTTTGTAATCGCCCGAAGAAACAGTAGCATTGAGTCTCGACGGCTGCTTACCATTCTCGACCCAATCAATCATAACGTTCATGTTGTTTTGAGGATAAGGACCTGGCTGGAGAGAGTTCGTGCCGCAGTGAGCAGCTCCAGGCACGAGATAGAACTGGTACCATTCGGAAAGAGCCTTTTGTGCCTTCTCATCGGACAGCTTTGGATACATGATGGATCGAACAGACTGCCAGTAGTGAACGGAAGAACCTGAGGGGATGCTGGGATCTGATTCGCCATGGTAGTGGAGGAGCTTGCCGCCAGCTTCCCTGAAGGTTGTGAGATCGGGATGGGTAGTCTGTAAACTGTCGTAGTAACGGACCATACCAGTGTTCATCCAGTCTACCAGAGTGTCATACGTGACATTGTTGAGGTTATCGAGGTTATCGAGATCAAGAAGCTCAATAAACTTTGCAACGTACATTCCACCAGTAGAGGGGATGTTCAGAGTCCACTCGTCGGTTTTGTTGTCGTAGGTAGGCTCACCATCAGATAACTCAGAACCAATCTGCCAAGACAGGTACGCTCTCTCGTCTTTGCCGTTCAAGACGCCATCGTAAATAGCTTGAGCAACGGCGACACCCTCCGCAGTAATAGTGCCATTCTGCTCTGGGGCATTGCTCGTCTGGCTTCCGGGAGACTGTCTCTTGCTGAACCCAAAGCCAAGTGAAGAACTGGTCTCAGCCGCACAGTAGTATTCTTTGCCAATGAGGGACTTGAGGTTGAAGTGTATTTTGCAAAGATCTGTTCGAGAGATGACACCATCTTTCCTTCCATCGAGACCATCGCAGGCCTCGATAGTCGCGTTGACGATCTTCTTGAGCTCACAAGGAGGGGGGTAATAATCGAGAGTGTGCTCAACGGTAGCTGGGTAGACGTGCAGGACTTGCTGCTGCGCGAAGCGAAATGCAGGAGCTCCAGCGATAACACCGTCATACTCGTCGCCCCATCGTTGAACCTGGCTCATTCCCTCTCGCCCGCCATCCGAGCAGCCCTCGTAGTAGGTATAGACCTTGCTCGACTTTGACATGTCATAAAGGTTCTTGGTGATATACTTTCCGATCTGTGTCATCTCTCCGAGAGCTTGATAGGAGAACATGTATGTCGCATCCCAGTTGATGGAACCGTTGCCGAGAAGGAATTTCTCGTCGAGGCTGTAGTTGAAGGCATCGTATCCGCCATCAGTGGCTCCAGCGGCGGCTCCGTACTTGAGGCCACCAGTAGTGTCAGTGTTGAGAGAGTAGCCACCACCACCAGCAACATAAAACCGGTTCTTGAAGTCATCGGGATCAGGAAAGGCATACTTGAGGTTGACGGTGTCACCCTTGGTGCCGTGAGTGTACGTGACAGTGACATTACAGTAGTTATAAGTATCGGTGTCACGCCTCATCGGTCCGCCTCCCATACCAGCACTGGTATTGTAAACCGCCGTGGAAGCGGTGATGGTAGATGGGATCATGTTGATCCCCAAAAGGGTCCCGTTGGAGGGCAGTGCAGCTTTCAGGTTTGAGGATGTGCAGAGTTCCGAAAGAGAAGATGCGAAGGATGGAGAGGCTAGAAAAGCCATGGCGATTCCGAATGATTGCCGCATGTCGGCAAGTGAGATGTTCTTGAGCGAGTGGAATGGTGGTGAAGTGATGCTTGATATGAGTGCTGATTGCTGGACACGGCGCGACTCTTTCATGATCTTATACTTCCTCATCGACTGCGGCTTCGTCATCTACAGGTCCGAGCCCGGAATCTGCCACGCGTTAGTTTTTCCATATTTAAAAGCTTGTTACAGAAAATTTGATTGAATGAAGTAATTGATCAAGTCAGAAGCTGGTGGCGATCCGAAATTGGCAAGGAGGCTTAGACAAAACGCCCACTTTCCGCGTGTGGAGGTGTTCCGAGTTAAAGTGGAGACACGGTTAAGTTGGGCATATAGCAATGCGAGATGGCGATGTCTCGATAACTGCTAGAGGTCATTAGTTGACCCGGTCTCTATAGCATATATAAAGCCCTAAGTGAAGTAATCCTTTAAGTATAGAGATATAAATACTTAAATAGATAGTCTGGTTGCACTTGCTTGATTTCGTGTCTATAACACGCAACAATATTGGTTGGTTTATAAAGAAAATGCAAAATAAACTTATTTAAAAATAAAAAGCCTTAAAAGAGGTCTTCTAACAATAAGAGGCTTTTAAGCTTGTTCTTAACTATTGTATTAGGGAGATAGAATATATAAATATATATATCCTTATAATAAACAATATTTACCTTAAATATAAAGAACTGCCATAAGCGTATATATATGAGTATAGGGTTGTTTAGTCTTCCTCTTGCTCCTGGAAGTAGTTGTCTATGCATTTGACATTAACAGCCTAAATATGGGCTTTCCTTCAGTCATTCCAGAAGCCGCTATCCTGTATTGCTTATTTAGTTAGAGACTAAGTTCGTTTACTCGTTTATCAAAAGAGGAAGCTTACACTGGGAGGGTGGTGATGGCACGACATGATTGGCTACTCGGTTATGGGGTGGAGGAATTGCCGATAAAAGGCGCTCGTGACAAGTCCCTGCTTCACCCAACATCTAATACGACCAACCAGACGTATATATATTCCCTTATTGTTCTTGAGTCTAACTTGAACCTGTCGATCTTTAAGCTTTTACCTTCTTTTACATCCAGGACGATCCGTCGGCCGACCTCGCCATCATGCCGACACCCGAACAAGCCTCAGAACTAAGCAACATCACTATCCCCGACGCAAACAAGGCCAAACAAAATGTCGATCGAACAAACTACGAATCATTCGATGTCTTAAAGGAGGTTTGGACAGGCCTTGATCTACCCGAGATGGCCTTGACGTCTGTTAGGCTTCCGGGTAAAAAAGGCCCGGCTCTTCCTTCGTCATTTAAAATCGGAATTCTCGGACAAGCTTCTATCGGGCTATCTGCGCTTGCAGCTGGCCAGGTTCATGCCTTGCGAAACAAAACCGTTGTTCCTCCGGTCACAGTACCGCTCGAGCATGCTGTCATAGAGTACAAGTCTGAAAGATTGTATACCGTTTCTGACGAACTTGCTCCTCCATCAGGCGGCGCTATTGGTGGACTGCATGAGACGTCAGATGGATACGTTCGAATCCACGATGGATTTCCAAACCATGTTCAAGGTACTCTTGACTTACTTGGCTTGAAAGCTGGTGCTACTCGACAGCAAGTATCTGAGCAGACTGCAGATTGGGCCAGTATCGACTTGGAAAACTGCGGAACGGCAGACGGGAAAGTCGCAATTTACGCTCTGCGATCATATCGTCGATGGGATAAGCTCCCCCAGTCGAGGGCCATCAGCAACTTCCCTATCAGCATCAAGCAGCTGTCCAAGTCAACTCCAACTGGCCTGCCAAGCAGGATGCAGCCTGGGAATCTCAAGTGCCTACGAGGTCTCCGGGTCGTTGAGATGAGTCGGGTAATTGCTGCACCGTTATGCGGCAAGACCCTGGCAGCCCATGGAGCTGAGGTTATTTGGGTGACTTCACCAACTCTACCAGACCTGCCGAGGGTTGATCGGGAATTTGGCCGTGGGAAAAAGACTGTCCAACTCGACATACACAAGCCTGAGGATCGAAAGCAGCTTCTTAACCTTCTCAAGGACTGCGATGTGTTCGTTCAAGGTTACCGACCTGGCAGCCTTGCTTCATACGGGCTGTCCCATGATGAGTTGCGAAACATCAATCCAAACATCATTGTTGCCAACATGTCTGCTTTCGGCCCTGAAGGTCCATGGTCAGGCCGCCGTGGATTTGACTCGCTTGTGCAGACATGTTCAGGCATGAATGTCTCTGAAGCTGAACACGATGGGAAGGGCGAGGCTGCTCGCCCAACACCTTGCCAAGCCCTTGATCATTCAGGTGGATATATGCTTGCAGTTGGCGTCATGGCTGCGGTGTATCATCGCGCCGTCAGGGGCGGCTCGTGGAGGGTCGATGTTTCATTGGCCGGCATGATGAAGTATTTAAGAAGCCTTGGTCAGTACCCTGGAGCGAGCGGCTTTGAAGCGAAGGACTTTGAAAAGCCCGAGGATGTGCCTGAGGAGTATTTCGAGGTCCATGAGACGGGTTTCGGCACCATGAAGTCCATCAGGCACAGTGCTACTATTGAGGGTCTGGAGGTCGGCTGGGATATCATGCCGAAACCGCTTGGTTCCGATAAGCCTGCATGGGATTAGAATAGTATCGCTACTCACTTATCGTACAATAACATCGGAAAGATCTTCTCACCTTATGATGACGAGTGCGTCGCTTCCCTACATTGATTGATGCATGTGTATTCGCGATAGATGTCGATGGAGAAAAGTCTCCCCACGAGAGAAAACCTGTATCTGGCTATGTCCGGCTTCTCTTC